AATGAAATTGTTGTTTGTCAACTACCAGTGAGCTTTTGTTTGGGTTTCACGTTACAGCCCTTTTTCTGGTCTTTCTGGACACAGCCACCTGTTACTCCATCAGCAGCTTTATTGAAACCTCTGAACAATCATGGTGAATTTTGAAAAGCTGATGTTTCAGCCCTCCCATTTGGATGCACAGAAAAACTCTTAATTCAGTGTCAAAAGTAATCTGAGATTACATTTGATTTGCTTTTCTTTACTTTGCTCTGTGATTGGTCCAGAAAACTCGCATGAAGCTCTTCACCAATCAGATGTGGAACTGAAACCAATCTCCACTTGATCGCCTGAATTTTCCAACTTAAGGCAGTTTGGTTGTTTTTACTCTAAGATCTCATTGGCTCTTAAAGGCACTTTCCTGTCTTCTAATTGGCTGTTGCAATTGCTTTAAGTTTTAGTTTTTCAACACTTAATCAAAGAGCACTGCACTCTTTAAATAAAGCAGCCAACAAATTCTCCCCATTTAACACAACATCTACACTGCAAAACTTTGGATAAAATAATCCTGTTCCCTAAGCTTGATTTAGTATTAGTGATAGCTTCAACCTAATTAATTAAAGGAAAATTTGTGTATATTTACACTTTAATTTTATTCAAACGAAACATTTTCACATTGTTATCCAACCAGAAATTGTTGGGAATTATGTATATATTACTTACAAAAAAATACCCCATAACATGAAAACTTCTTGGGAGTTTTTCCTTTACCAATTGGCAACATTTTGAGTTTTATTGAAAACAAGCTAAAAGTGATTTTCCCTCTCCCACCATCAGATGCCTAATGGCTTTCCCTTCCCCTCCCCACCCACACACAATAATGACCTTCATTCTACTGTTTGGATGAAAGCAACTCAGGGTTCATTACATATAGTTAACATTCTTAGGATATTTATGTATTATTTAAAAGTTGAGTTTTCTTTCAAAGTTTGACATTTCTTTTTTAATATTTGAGATGCCAGAGTTAATGATTTGTCATTTCTCACATTTTTATAAAAAAATCTCCCATAAGCCTTAAACCCTTTTATACCATAAAGTCACCAACATTAAATTTTTCCTTACAGAGTCAGCCATGAATCAAACAAAGGATACAAGAATATAGGAAATGATCTCTTGCTGAAAAAGCTCTGATCATCACACAGATTCTGCCTGTAGGTTCCATAGGAAATTTTTAGATAATAGTATGGGACATACCATATTAATGTTGGAGTGTAATTAATGGATTAAAACTGTTTCCTTTATCTGCATTTTCTGACTCAAGTCTAGAAAAATTTAATGTTGGCTATCTGTCCCAACTTTCCAATAGCTTCAACCAATTTCACATTGATCTGACTTTTGGCCAGTATGATTTCTTTGTTAAAATCATACATTTCTCCTCTGATTAAAATATTTCCACAAATTTTAGACTGATCTGTGGTTTCTATGAAATGTGGTTTGTTGCACTGTTTTTCCAGATACCATCTGAGAAAAACAAAAGTTTATTGTTCTAGACCATGTTCCTGGGGTTCTGTTTGCTCTTCATTTGCTGCAGCTCTTGTTTCAGGTGGAATGGCATTTTTATCAGTGTCTGTAGACTCCTTATTGTCCATGTCTCTGAATCTTTTTAAATCAGAAATGACATTCTCTAGTGTTCCAACTCTTTTTCTCTGTAACCGTTCTGCAAGGTTATGAGAAATGTACAAGGTGAGAATAGGTGTACACTGTAAGATACAGTGGCTCAATGGTGGGTCAAAAGGTCACTGGTCAAGACCTGGCTAGTTCTTCATGTTGCGTTCTTGGGCAAAACTTTTTCAAAAGGGGGGTCATACTGCATCAAACAGAAAGTACTTACCAGATTGATATGCCAACCTTCATGCCTTGTTTTACTTAAAGTGACAAAAACAGTCTAACAGGGAGATTCACGGGCACCTCAGGACCCCCTCAACCCCCCCCAGCTACCCCCTTAACTCTTACAAGGCCTAACCTGCTTTCCCACCCTCCACCCAAAAAAGAGACCTGAAAAAAAATAAGAAGAAAAGCTTAAAGTATTCTATACAGAAGGGTATACATTAGCATTGTTACTTGTTCTGTCACAAGCCTGCGACAGAATATCTCATTTCAATGCTCTGTTGTTGAATTCCCGATAACTTTTTAGGAGGCTAAGCACCTTTTTATTACTTTTATTCGGCTCTTCACACAAATATGGTATTTCTAAACAGGTCAGATATACCTTTGACTATTGTGTAAACTAAACAATAAACAAACCATACACAAAAAAAATTTGTCATACCAGTCTTAGGAATTTTTCTTGTTATAAGAGATGTTTCATCTATGGACTCTTCAGTGTAATCAAATGCTGAGGGTTCATGTGCTCTGCAAAAAACATTATGTGAATGAAACAATGATGCATGAGAAGAAGATCATTGATAGCAAATCACAGTTATGCAGTATTATCCATGATCAAATCATAACTATAGAGCAGTGATCCATAGATGTCTGGTAGACTCTCTTCTGTGGAAACTGAAGAAAAACAGGATGCTGGTTTGTTTCTCTTTGGCTGCTCAGAGATGACCAGCGCTTGGCTTATCACCTCCAAGCTAGCCTATCAAAATGCCTGAAAGGCACTATTTGCCTGAGTGATATAAACTAATTACCAGTCATTGGATGGGTTGTGCACAATGCATATAAATAAATAATAACCTCTATTTGGTGAAAAAATATGCATGGATGTTTGTCCACAGACAAATTATAATCCTTCAAATATTCCACAACGCCCGAGAAAAAAATGTTTTCAAAGAGCTCACTCTTTGCTGCATGGGATGTTCTCTCTTGAGCAATCTCTGGTACAACTTCATGCACATTACAGCCATACAACACTCTCTCATCATGAATAAAATTTTAAACTGAGACTTAATGAAGTGGACATGAGTTTTGAAAATTGGGGAATATCACTCTATGGGTTATATCCTCGGATATCTCCCAGTTTCAGCCGGATAATATTCAGTCACGTGATCCATTTAGACCAACTGCGCGCGACCAAAAGCAATTGATGGATCATAACATAATTTGACAAGTCTCTCAGTTACTACGCGCTTTTTCCATTGATTTCTTCTATCGTAGATCTGTATACATTACGAAGTATACGGTTATATGGAAATATTGTCAAAATATCCTCAAAGGCTTAATATTCATAAATGTTTCAGCCATAAACTCACTTATCTTTATCTGTTGCGGGAACAGCCGGAGTCTCATCATTTTCAGTAGTTTTAATATCAGCAGTTGCCTCATTAAGTTCCTCAGCTTCTTCGTTTTCTTGCTCTCTAGCCTCGCTGACCACGTTGTTTACACCACTTCTGTATTCTTTAACTTTCAATTCTAAATACCCGTTCTTCTCGATCTCGCTGTAAAGTCGCAAAACATTGAGTGGAATTTCCCGTTCCTTTCCACTCTGGCTTTGTACAGCTTCAGCACTGTCCTCTTCGCCGTCACTACTTGGTACGTTCCAATCGCTCTCTTTGTCAGACATTGTTATTTCACGCAAGTTTATCACATTTTATTCTTAAGGAAAGCCCGCCATTTTGAACAAAGCGTATGCTTTATATATGACAACACAGAAAGTATTCTAAGTCGTTCGTCATCCTTGACGGGAACGGGGAACGGTCAACAGATCTCTCGCGTGGGGAGCCTCCACGCGCGTTTCCATGAATGCATGCATTACGACTCCAACGATTCCTGAGAGGCCTATTCAAGCACTTAGTTCTTAAAGGACGCTGAGAAGACAATTTAGGCAATGAGTAACCACAAGAATGCAGAAAATAGTAGTCCGCGAGTAGCGCTGCAAAACGCGCGTTTCTCCGCCCCTGGAATATTCGAGACGAGTCGCGGAGAGGTTTGCGGTAGGGGAGTTCTGGCTTAAATAATCATCGGTTTCAGACTCCTAGCATAATCTCTCTCCGGCTCGCTTTGCTTAGAGCTTAATATTTTCCCGCGGGCGAATAAACGCTTGTGCCAAAGCGTTAATAGGAAGGGTCTGCCCGCACGCTACGAAAATAACCACGTTGTTCTTCTGCTACAGAGATACCTTAAAACGGGATGGCCGAATGTCAGTCGCTTCTTCTTTTTTTTTGGTCTGTGGTCCAGCTTTAATGAATACAGAGTTTAGTGAAAATTTCTTTGGTTGTAAAACTTGTGATATTAAAGACCGAGATGAATAAGTGGACTTGAAATGCAAATGAACGGACACTTTGCAATGGGGGTCCTACTTTCACCCTTTACACTCTAACATCAGTAAAGATATTCTCCATGCTGTTCTCCTTACATTCCCTAAGGATCTGATAAGGAGAATTTGTGTAAAAATCAACAGCTTCTTTAGTTGCTGATCATTTCCTTTTTTCTCGTGACCTCAATATTTGATTCAGAGGTGATATTGTAAGGAGAAATTAGATGCTAGTCACTCTTGGGGGTTTAAGGATTAAGAGGTTATTCTACAGAGGAGGGGAGATTAAAAAAACGCACTAAATTAACTCCCCCCCCTTCCCCCCGTATCATGTACGTTTTTCATCGTATCAAAACTGAGAGACAAAAAGGCTGAGGCGAAGACTTTCCATGGGGGTTAGAAATCTACAATTCTGTTCCTGTTGGGAATGTCTGCTGTTTGTTTTTGAAGTTGCTCTTCACTATCAGGGAGAAAATTTCGACAACTCAAATAATAGTTTGTAAGATTCAATGGAACTCAAGGTTATCCTCATTGGTGTGGCCACCAATTTTGCTTTATTGTCTTATTAATACAGCTCACCTTTCATAGTTTCTAATTCTACCACTGTAGACATTATAACTTCACTTATCTTACTATAAAATTTGTTGATGACAAAAATAAAATACGAGTGAGCTTTAAGTGTATTTATATGGCAACGAAACTCATTTCCAACACATCAATAAAACTTTTAAACTGCAATGACAGACTGAGTAAATACCAACAACAAATATAATAGAAAAAATTTTATTCAGATTCGGAGGATATTTGTGATTGGGCAAAGCAGTGCCTAGTGAGGCCTGATATAAGTTCTCTCCGCTACATCTAACTCAAGTTTAATTCCTACGTTCCATCGACTGCCATTGTCTTCAAACGTCTTTATATTAAAACACAATATACAGGTGGTTGTCAAAAGCTAAGCCGTACGAGAAAGGACGGTGTGATGGAAACAGGCTGGTCCAATTTCAAGCTTGAAGTCTTGATCTTTTCCGCCGATGTCATAGGCTGAAACGTCCATGATGGGTAGTCTATTCCTCTCTCTAGTATCAATCTCTAGAACTGTTTTCTCCCATTTGCCCGTAGAATCACTTTGCTGTAAAAATCAATCAAAACAATTTTTATCGATGACTTTTGTGTGCACACTTCCGGTAAAATGGAGACTCATTTCCGCGTTAAATGGTAAAACTTCCAGGTGAATAAGGGCACATAAAAGGTTGAAATCTGATTGGCGAAACTGATACTTCACGAAACAAAAATTCTCAGTGGGAGGAAAAGTATTCAGTCTTGAAGGCTAAAAAGTCCATAATTCCCTCTGATGTGAGACGACCAGAGGTATGGCTACCCTCCCCTCCTCCCATGGAATGCTAGTCTATCATAGGTTAACCACCCTCGCACGGGATTTTGTCAGCTTTCCTTAACAGTTCACAGGGCACTTTAAGAGTAAAGGGCCTTCGCCCGTGAACACAATAACCCGCCCTGAAGTCGAACCCAGGCCTTTTGATCGGAAGTTAAGCGCAATAACCACTAGGCCACCGCACTTTCAATTCTGGTGGAGAGAGTGGGGGGCGGGACGAGGGAGGGAAGAGGTAGCGATGATTTTCACTTACCATGCATCCGTTGGAGAGTACTTTGGGTCTGAGTGAGGTCTTAGATGTGGCATGATATTCCATTTCGTTAGAGCCCTTAAGTTTGATTGAGTATCTTCCATCTTCCCAGGCCATGGAGTTACGGCAGGCGTAGGTGATGTTCTGATTTGCAAAGTTGCTAAAGGTCTTCAGGAAGTTGAGCTGCGTGTAGTGGGCGTCGTATTCCAGCAGTTCGGTCTGAAATCAAACAAGAATCGCAATTGAGAATTCGCAACTTTTGAAGACGTAAAGCTCGCTCACACAACTTGTTGGCCAGTGAAAGGGTAGGATAAGTTCCACTTGGTCAAAAATGACCAAACAGCCACGAATATGGATAATGACTTCTAGGAGACATCTCCCAAGCTTACCTCTTCGCTTTCCTTAAACGCTTGGCTCAACCATTTGTCTTCCTTGTCTTGAAATTGTACTTTGATTGTAAGGTCAGAGATCTACGATGAAACCAACAGAAAAACAACATTAGCGCTGGCCATTGTAAGGTCAGAGATCTACGATGAAACCAACAGAAAAACAACATTAGCGCTGGCCATTGTAAGGTCAGAGATCTACGATGAAACCAACAGAAAAACAACATTAGCGCTGGCCATTGTAAGGTCAGAGATCTACGATGAAACCAACAGAAAAACAACATTAGCGCTGGCCATTGTAAGGTCAGAGATCTACGATGAAACCAACAGAAAAACAACAATAGCGCTGGCCATTGTAAGGTCAGAGATCTACGATGAAACCAACAGAAAAACAACAATAGCGCTGGCCATTGTAAGGTCAGAGATCTACGATGAAACCAACAGAAAAACAACATTAGCGCTGGCCATTGTAAGGTCAGAGATCTACGATGAAACCAACAGAAAAACAACATTAGCGCTGGCCATTGTAAGGTCAGAGATCTACGATGAAACCAACAGAAAAACAACAATAGCGCTGGCCATTGTAAGGTCAGAGATCTACGATGAAACCAACAGAAAAACAACATAGCGCAGGCCACATTTAGCGCTTAGTGCTGACTAACTAAATCAACACATACCATATTAGCAAAGATAATTAGCTTTATTAAATCATTTCTTCTAGTCATCCGTTCATATAATGGAGAGCAAACGAAAGTACACTATAGAGCCATTTCTACAAGAACCGAAGCCACCTACTTTCGAGTTCTTGGGGTAGATACACGACGAATTCTTGCCCTTGTCACAGAAAACCCAGATTGCATCCTTGATTGTTCCACCGTTAGGATCGATCCAGAACATACCTTTCAAAAACAGTAATATATAAAAATTAGAGCAATGATTAAAAGGACTGGTAGGGAGGATGTGGTAAGGGCCTGGGGAAAAGAGTGGTTTTAAGATGATCCCCCCAAAAGATGACCCCTCCTTTCTAACCTGTTTAATGTTCTCGGTTAATGCAAACGAGAGAAAGAGCGGGCAAATGAAAAACGGCGAGGGTTAGGTAGGCGTTTCCTTGACGACCACAACCACCATTTGTCACTTGCCTACTTCTTTCCTAGTCTCCACTGACTGAGAGAGCCTGGAACAGGCTAACAGTGATGAAGGAAGAACCTACCGCTCTTGTAACTCTTGTGATCAAGGAACAGATCGTAACACGTTCTAGCAGGATATTTCCTGGTACCGTCTGGTTTTATTTTCAGGTCAATTTCTTTTTCTTTTGCATCTAACCCTCTGAGTATATCCATGGGCTAAAGGATAAAAAACATGGCAGATTTAAAACAAAATTTAGAGAAAGAAGAGTAAATGCAATATAACATAAACTAACAGAGACTATCAGTGAGAATTCCGTTGGAGGCTAGAAATCAAACATGATCCTTTTTTCAGGCATAGCTTACCTTTATTTCTCGAGTTGGTATTTCCTGCAAAAAACGATGAGAAATAATTTAGAAATTGTAATGAACAAAAGAATGCTAAATTTACTCAAGCCTTCGCCATACATTCTTCACAACTGTCCTGGCGGAATATCGGTTACGAATGCATTTCTTAAAAAGTGCGTGATGTGGGAATCAGAAGCAAGAATTTGTTATTCATTATCAGCTTAACTTTTTGTTTTGTGTTTCACTCTTAGAAGAAACTCCGGGTCACAATTGGTTTCAGTTTTGAATCTGATTGGCTGAGAGGGTTGCGCGAGTTTTGTGACCAATCACAAAGCGACCTTGTGAAGGACCAGAGGAATCCCGGATTATAATATAACCGTTGTACCACGCGCACTCTTAGTGGTTGATGGGTGTGTTTTAATGAAAGTATGAAGACACGATTGTGACGGTTAAGATTTGCGTGTGTTTTGAGAAGTATCTAGTAAAAGATATAGCGACCGTTTTGCGAATTCAAATCCCCTCATCTGAGCGCTTAGCGGTTAGGATATTTGTAAAAAGTTATTGAAAACCTTTTATTGTGTCTTTGGTTTACGTTACTTTAACAAATACTCCCAACCCTCTCGAGTCTAAACGAAGACAGTCCTCCATTGCTTAATTTTCAGGCCAAATTAAAGTTTCCCTTACCTTTCCATTGCTCGAGTATAATCGGAATGATGGACCTTTTTCAACGTTTGCAATAGCCAAGTACTAAAGAAAAGGAAAGATTAGAGCGTGAAATCATCAGTAAAATGATTCCTTAGAGATGAATCAGGCACAAGTAAGAAAACTATTTAAACAAAATTTGACGCTATTTTTTTTACAAAACTACAGAGCGAAGCATAAATACTTACCTCAAGTAATCCTGGACGACCTGGTTCACCCTAAACAACACAAGAAGACGTGTTTCAGATCCTTATTGTTTGCCGTTCAAAGTTGAAACCAAAAAAAATTTTGTTGTACATATATTTTATAGGTTTGACTTGAACAGCGGAAGCAAGAACACGACTTCTTTCAATCCGGTAGTTTAGTTTTGATTTTCGTTCATTAAAGAGGCCTAAAATTTGAAATTGGTATCGCGACATACTTTCCTAGGAAATTTATGAGACTCGACAAAAAGGAAAACCTCTACATCTTTCATACGGATAAAAGAATGGGCACATTATTTGGATTTCCAATGGGATTTTTTCACCCCGGAATTCCCTGATTTAATTCACAGTTCTTTTACAGATAACTTTAAGATTACCCACGACCACTGCAACTACTTCTGTTGTCATTCAACTATAACCGTCATCTAAACAGTGATCGTTATGAACACCGTTCACATTACTCATTATTTTGATCATTGTCACGACCGTCATGGGTATCAGTATCATAACCATTACTAGTACCCAACGTTATCGCTCTCGTCGTCTTTTCTTAAGGTTTTTTTTTTAAATGGTATGGTGCTCCGCTGAGCGCGAACCGAACTCCGCTATTATCACTGCCATTGCTTTTATCATTACCAATATCGTTCTAACGGGAAGAAAGTACAGTAATTTTAAAATCCTGAACTTACGGGAGGTCCCGGAGGTCCTGGAGGTCCGGGTGGTCCCTGAAAAGATATGATTAATAGTAATTAATAATGCATGAGAACGAGTACGAGTCTTAGGGAACAATGACAGACAAAAATTCATTTCGGAAAACTACAAAGATCCTCTTAAAAACAAATCGATTGAAAATTTCGATTAAAGAAAGTTTAAACCGCTGTTTAGAAGCAAAAAAATTATATTAGAGAATATGTGTGTTCAGTGCTTACTTGATATCCTTCAGGTCCCTATGAGAAAAAAAATAAGAGAAAAGGAAATTATTATTTTCTGGTTATTGAATATTCATTCCTTGTACATAACAAAATGACTTGCTTAAGGCAACAGAAAAAGTCATCACAGAAACAAAGCCTTCCTCCCTTCTTCCTTCTTCTAATTTATTAAAGCGTGATACCGTCCAACATGGCTGCGAGCATAATATTCCAGTTTCAAAATAGCTCACTTCCATTTATACCAAAAGAACGAATAAAGGAGGTAAGTTTCTGGAGAAAACGTGGTGTTGTGTTCTTACGGGGTATTACAAGACAATTTGGTTTAACGACTGAGTTGATAATGTAAGTTGGCCACCGTAGAAATTCTTAGGCTGAAGTTTTAAGCGTTAGCCTTTCGACAGTGCGAATGCCAGCAAGGCAATTTTCGATAATAATACGACACTGTCCCACTAATGGAAGTATCTTTCAGAGAAACTTAAACTTAAATGAAACATCCTAATTACTCCGCCTGGTGAAGCAGGAGAGAGCGTACTTACCGGTGATCCTGTCTCTCCCTATGGACAAAAAAAATAAAAAACAACCACCAAATAATTAAATTCGCGGAAACAGTGAAAATAAGCACAAAGTGATGAAGAAAAATCAAATAATTAAGACGGGTTTCATTTTCAGCTAGTGAACCCTTCTTCCGCTCAGATCGACTAAAGCCTTTTTCCCTCAACAGAATCACCTTTAAATTAACCCTTATGGTAGGCAAAATGAATAAAGGAAATAATAAACAGTCAAAGAAGCTCATTGTTGAAAGAATTCAACTTCACAGTACCTTAGAAAATACATAGAGAACAGAGTCGCGATTATGCATAAAGATCACACGGTTTATAAGGCTAAAATAATTTCAAATACATACCACGTCGCCATCAGGTCCTTTCAAGCCAGGTTCACCCTATAGAAGAGAGAGTTCAGAGTTTTAAGTTTAAACCAACATACCATCAAAATTGTGCGCAATAATACATAACTACGATAGCTCAACCGTTCTGTGTCCCGCCGAAATCCTTTGACTCCCAACTTTAATTAAATTACAGATCTGTAGTAGAGCAAGTGTTGATGAGGTGTCGAAAGAAATTCAGAATGGCTTTAGTTTTGTTGCACTTCGCTCAGTAATGAGTATAAATAGCTCACGCTACTCTCGAAATTCATCTGCTGAAAAACTGAAACCAATCGCAATTTGGACATTTGCGTTTTCCCTGCTTCAAGCAATTTTCTTGTTTTCACTTTGAGTCCGTGTGATGTTTTCGGTCTTTGCTCTGATCAACTGCTGTGATTTCTTTGATTTGGGTTTTATGACAATCATATGGAAAACGTTCTATTACAGCGGAAGTATCTTCGCTTCCCATAACTTCAAGAATAATTCGCAAACACCGTGTTAAAACTGCGGTTCTTTCTTTATTTCCTCTACTAGTTTATGAGTTGAGCAATAAATTTCTTGCTGTTAAGGTATCCTACAATAGATAAATTCTAAGTACGGGAAAGAAGCAATCCTTAGCAACGGGAATTAAGATTGCCTTCTGTATTAGAGATGTCCGAGGTATTACTGAAGTGTATTTAAGCTCGCTCTTGCAAACCATTTACAACTAAAAGAAAACACAAATTGACAGACAAACGAACACAAATAGGCTCACCATTGTTCCGTTTCTTCCTGGTGGACCAGGATTTCCGTTTTCTCCTGGCGATCCCTATAGCCGGGGACCAAAACAAAAAAAATGTAACTTTTCCGCACAATTCCGTCCCGTTAACACGTAATGAGGACAGACAAGTCTTTGGAAGGAGAGAGGTGGGGGGCTGGGTAATCTCTTTATAACACCATACTCCCTAAACTCTTTAACAAAGAAAATCTACCGTGGCTAAAGCACATAGCTTTCGTAATAGAAATCTGCAAGCTATTTCGTCTGACTGTCGATCATACATTTCTCTCTGGACTCTTATCAATCCTCACTAAATTCAGATGTGCCAATCAATGCCTAGGAGCAAAGCTGGCAGGAATGGCAGAGAATTAAAAAGAATTGATCAGTTCCCTCGGCAAGTAAGTCAGCACAGAAATCCAACTTGCGATGATTTTCTAAATTCCTGCTTGAATGGGTATCAACAAATTGTGAATACTCAATAATTCATCCTAAGAGTGTAAGGATTAAGTTAAAAGCAGCTTGAAAGACAGTCGCAAAATCTCTCTCTCTCTAAGAAGTTGATTCTCGCCACCCATTCATTCATTCATTCCACTATGATAAAACTGTTATTTGTAAAATTGCTTCCGGTAAAAATGTTTTTTTCCTTTTTTCTCTTTCTCGTCAAAACCTACGTGCACCAACTAACAACTTTTGAAGCTTATTCAAAGAAAAAACGGCCCTTTAAAACGTGAAAGGAGTTCGGGCGAGGTTTTGACGCGCAAAGGTACTAACCCTCAGTCCTGGAGGTCCATCTGATCCTTCAACACCTGGTGCTCCTTGGTCGCCCTTTGAGTAAACAAAGCAATTAGTTAATAGCCGTGTCTCTCGCAAACACGAACATTTGAAGAACGGGTTAAATCGAATCTGCTCCAGAACTTGGCTCAGTGTCGCAGCGCTAACCAGGGAAAGAAACCCATCCACTCCTTTGGAGTGGAAATCAGAGAAAATTTGCTTTACCTGTGGGCCATTAGGTCCAGTCTCTCCCTTAAATCCCGTCCAACCTTTGTCCCCCTTCTCGCCAGGTACACCAATTTCACCTTTCTCTCCGTTGGGTCCTTGATTTCCCTAAATGAGCAAATAAAGCAGATTCATAGTTGAATGAGTAAATAAACGAATATCGACGGAAGGGAGGAAGGGTAGAAAGTAGAAAGGAACGAGAGAGTAAGGGGAGAGATGGATAGATAAATAAGGAACGGATCAATGGACGGGGGAGAAGGGAACGGAAGGACTGAACAGGGGGAGGGGCGGTAACAGGAACAGCGGATGCAGAAACGGAGTGAGAGACGGAGGAAGGAAAGGAAGAACGGACAAGCGTGGGCGAAAGGAAAGGAAAGAAAAGAGTGTAGGCAGACAAAAGAAAGGAACGACAGAGGGAGGGAGGGAAGTACGGGTGGGGAGACGGAGGGAGGTGGGGACGGACTGGTGGGTGGAAGGGAGGGAATACAGAATTTTCTCCATTAAAAAGACAAATCATAGACTTTTGAATAACTTTGACCTTCATTTAGTTTTGACTAACTTTTGACTGTATCATGGATTTCTTAAGGCCCACCACGATTGTTTATACACGCCCCCCATTTAACCCAATTTTAAAGATGAACTGGGCTAGCCTGTCTAACTATCGCAAATAAATAAATGTAGTTGAAAACCAAGATGAGGCCAGGGACATGAAATGCTCAGGAAATAAAAATAGAATGAAGCTCCGCTTCCAACTATGAATCTTTTTTCTCACCGGGGCTCCAGGAGCACCTCGTTTACCAGGAACACCATCTCTTCCCCGACGTCCCTAAACATGGAAAAAAAAAAGGAACTTTCAGACTTCTCATTAAAGAACGCTATTTTTACATACTTGTTTCTACGTCATGTGGCTTAACTCTCTAAATACCTGGGGTGACCCACAATGAATTTATAATATCCATAAATTTTCAATGAACGATTCGAACACGCGCGAGAGGGAAGTCACACGCACGATTGACAGAGGTAAGCTCTCTCTAACACCGCGGTCAAACATCAAGCATGCGTAAGATGGTCAATTTTGGCCTAACGGTGGTGTTGCGCTAAATGTTTAAAAAAAAATCCAGTCGATTCATCCTTTTGTTTTGACCTTGACTAAAACATTTCAAAATATTCGCACCTTTTCTCCTGGAGGTCCTTGTGGTCCCTGATCTCCCTTAGGTCCCTCAATACCAGCAGGACCTGGGTTACCTGCTTTTCCTGGTTCTCCTGGGGCACCTCTCTCTCCCTACAAATTGATCACAGACGAATTTAAGAAAATAGCAAAGGATCACATGACAGTATCGGCACTACACGCGCGGAAGGAGGACTACACGCGCGGAAGGAGGACAAAGGGCAAGGAGCATATAAAAAAAGTTTATCATTGAGTCGGGTCACGCCAGACGGGGAAATGTTTAGGCCTCGGTCATGACGTGAGCATTGTGCGCAATATTCTTCTCTATTCGGCTTTCTTGTTCAGACAATAGGTACATATTAAGTGTAACTTACAATACTGACCTTCAAACCTGGTCGTCCGTTTATACCTCTCGTGCCATTTCTTCCATCGTTACCCTGCAAAGGAAAAAAGACAAGGTGAGATGGATGGCCTTGTTAGAAGCCTGCCACCCGATGGGCAGTAATGAGCCCTCCCTTACCAAACCTTCAAGAATCTGTCAAGCTCCCCCCTTCCCCTTCCCCTCCCCCTTCATCAAAAACGCCAAAATAATAGTTTCTGTAAGTCCCCAGGCTAGCAGCACTCCAAAATGGGTGGTTGCTTGGGTTCCCTGTGTTGCTAGTTTCAGACGCTGACAAAATCTCGACTTGAGCGATTTTTGTTGGTCCCTTTTGCCTTATGTCCACCGTGAGAAGCAACTTTAACCCTTTAACTCCCAAGATCTCATTAGTAATTCTCGTTACTGTCTACCATACAGTTCTTTTGATGTTAGTTTGGAGAATTTGGTATTGGATCGACTAACAATCCCCTAATTAACATTTTTTTTCCTTATCACTTATCTGCTTGATATTGTATCGATATTGTATCGATATTGTATCGATAAGGAGAAATTATGTCTTGGTCACTTATGGGAGTTAAAGCTTTAAGGATTTTCGCTCTCTTCAACGGGATGTTTATTGAATCACTGGCCATCCCCATCTCCCTTAGCAAAGCGCTTAGTTTCATCGACAGGTGGCAAGTGCTCCTGGGTGGAAAAGGGCAGTGTAACAACACAGTCTCACGATCAAACGCGAATGTTTTAATTTCGCGTTTGTACGCTATCCCAACTAAGCTGAATGGGCCTTCTAAACGACCTAGGCCTTACACTAAGTTTACATGTGACAAACGTCCTGCATGCTGCTAGGACCAGCAGTGACCATGGCATCCAGAGAGGATGTGGAAGAGAGAAGACATCGGTGTTTACAGTAAGGATTCAACCCTGTCTTAGTACTTACGTTCGCTCCAGGATTTCCTGGTTCACCCTTTGATCCCGGTGGGCCACGACCTCCCTAAATAATAGCAAAAGAAACGATGTACTTAATGTGATTTACTAGAAGTGCACTACGAGTGATAGCCTATGCACATGGCAAACACCAGCAAGTACACTCCATCGTTAAGGACCAAAAGCAGTGACATTTTCTTTGTCTCCTCTCTATACTTAGAAATTATGACTAAATTAAAGGTCCTGAACAAAAAAAAGGTTGTTGCGGTTTTCCTCAGTTTGAGTGTTCTCCAATTGCGCAGGTAAAGCGCGTTATTGTCGCAGATGTTTTCGCGAAATGGAGCGACCTTACCAAGGTGTAGACCCATAATTAAGAACTTGATGAAGATAGGTCAACAGCTCTAGAATCCCTTCTTTTTCCAGCCTGGGTACGGGCGCTTTATTTTTTTTTTTTCTTTCCTTAATTCGCTTTTTTAGCGAGAGGAAACGAGGGCGAGGGATTTACAAACGATCTTTACTGCATTAAAGCCAAGCTTACAGGTACTCCTGGTGCACCGCTGCGTCCATTTCGGCCTGGAGGGCCTGCGTCACCTTTGGGCCCCTGTGCTCCTGGACCTCCTCCAACTCCTGGCGTGCCGGGGGGTCCCTACATAAAGCAAAACAATTGTTGAATTCGCTGCATTTACATACATTTCAGAGCGCCGCTGAAAAATAGCTGGGGCGAGGGTTCCCATGCTACGTGTGTCTTTTGTAGTTTTATTTTAGCGAAGTATTTTAAGTTTTTCTATAATTTCGAATCGCCGGATAGATCCTCGTATAAAAATCGTTGTGGCCGTTTTTTATGGGAACACAAGGAATCTGGGCGCATACAAGTTTTGTGTTGTATTTTGGCCTTTTTTCCGTGATAACCGATGTCTAGACGTTTTTTTGTTTTTTTTTTTAACAAACCGGACTTCAGCCTCGCTGTCGTCCGATTTTGTTAATCACTCGAATAATTACCGACCGAATTCGACTCCACTCAGTCCATTATCAACTATTTATGTTATTGTTTTTTTTGTTGATGTTGTAAATATTGACTAAATACCATTGGTCCTCTGTCTCCCTTTGGTCCAGCGGGTCCTCGTTCTCCAACTTCTCCCTAGAATTGGTTGAAAAACAATGTTATTCCTAATAGTAAGCAAACAGCAGTCGTCGTCATCATCATTATCAACTGACGGCTGCCAAGAAAATCTAGAAAAATGCAAGGTACAAAAGTTGAGTCTTATCCAGTCTATAGCAAAACCAAACTCAAGGTATTCACGATGGCCGATCAGAGGAAAGGAAAACATCTTAAAGATCCAAGAAGAATTTAAAGTAGAAACAACCAAATTGCCTTAGGCGCGGGAAAACGCTTACGACAAAGTCATGATTAGCTTCAGTTTTGCATGTGATTTTTGGACAGGGTGGCCGCCTGAATATTCTGGATCAATCACAAAGTGAAATCAAAACAAATGTAGCCTTGGATTACTTTCGACACTCAATTGAAATTGCTTTAATATGCAAAGAATAAGTCAAAAGAGTTGTCAAAGTGCATATGAAGTAACAGGTTTACTCCTGTTTGACCACTCACCGGTCCACCATCAGAACCTGGAGGCCCAGGCTCACCATCTTTTCCATTGTTACCCTGACAACAAGGAAACAGACATTTTTAGCACTTTCTTTCATCTTTTGCACCCCCCCCCCCTGGTGCATAGAGTACTGGAAATGTCTGGAAAAACGTATGCCATCTTTCCTTTCTATTTAACCATCTTGGAGTTTAGAAGTCTACTACACAACAAACTAATGAATGAAAACAATCATTGAGATTTATGCATTTGAATTTGGATTTTTTTTGCAGGGGAGGGGGGGGAAAGAAAGGAGGGAAGAAAACTATAGAAAAACCTTAAAGCAAGATTGGAACTAAGAACAAACCCAACCCACAAGTGATGTCACGATCAGCGATCAAACCTGCACCACAACTTGGGGAGGCAAGCGATCTCACTTTCATACCATCTTCTATTTCCAACAACTGCACGGTCGTGATTCCATTTGTGAAATTTAGATGTTTGCTTTGTTACTATCTTACTTTTGCAAGAAATTTTGAACTTTATATGGTTTATGAAGATTGCTATTTACAAACTCGATACCCAAACTTTTCACATGTATGCCAGACTTGCTGGTCTCAAAATTCACTCCTAGAGAGTGGCAGCAGAAAATAAATTCAGCGGTAAAAGGTGAGCCACAGTATTTCTGTATTGATATCAGAGGAGGAAATAAGTAACTACTCACAGGAAGCCCAGGCAAGCCATCTTTACCAGATCGGCCTGGTTCTCCAGCTGCACCCTAAAACACACAAAAAGGTGTTATATTTTAAACAAACATCTTAATTTACTTTCATGAGTATCAAGAGAATATAAAGAAATATTACATAACTTTCCACGCCAATAATATTATATTGAAAAATTCGTGTTTTGCAGGTTTCCTTGCCCATAGAAATCTTGTACAAACATTCCAGAATTTAATTTAATTTAGTTCATCCCTTAACAATGATGAACTGTTTTAACAGTAATAAACATGATGTGATAATTCAGATGAGCTATCAGGCTAACCAGAAGCTTATATATATGGTTTTTTACGCCTCTTAGCCAATCAAACCTCTCAAACTGGATGAATTATTGATGCAATTTCAATTCAGCTCATGTGCATTTTAATGGAAAAGCGTTCCTACAACGTGAAAGATTTCAGAAGTTTTCGACTGAATTTCGACGGTCTAAGCTATTTTTCATTCAGACGAAGACAACATTCTCTTTCACTTTCACTATTTCCTAAAACTACATTTCCTCATCAACGCGCTGTGATACTGATCAATGAGTTTAAGTTGTCGCTCACCTTTTGCCCATCTGCACCATCTCTCCCTGATGGCCCGGTATTTCCTGGAGGTCCCTAGAAAGAACACACATACCAGGGTGAATTCAAATCTAAAAGAAAACAGCGATAAGTTCATATTTTAAAGAATAAAGCTCAGAGTGTTCTTATTCTTGCGATGTTTGCTTCCAAATTTAAGTCGTCTTTCATAATCTAAGAGCACTTTGCTTTCTGTTTTAATGCTTGAGTATCCTTTTTTTTTTTTAATTATTTTCCTTTTTCTCGCTTTTTCTTCTTACTGTTTTTTTTAAAATCTCACCTAAAGATTACCTTCTTCAAATAAAAAGTTCTACAGATGGCAATATTAGTCCTGATGGCGTCTCCAGCTTACCCTGCCTTCTTAATGTTCTGCTAATACTTCATTGTATGTGAGTGTGTGTGTGTGTGTGTGTGTGTGCTCAAAACAAAACACTGAAATATGAACATAGTGTAGAAAACATACCGGAGGGCCTGGTTGTCCTGGTTTTCCTGGAGGTCCTTGGGTACCTGGACTTCCCTACGTAATTAATAAAAATCAAACTGGTTTTAGTAATTGTGACGAACTATACATACAAACTCCGAATATAAACCACAATTACCCTGGAACTTACAAGAGTAAACAAAACAGAATTTGACCTTAAATGTGTGTTGGTTACGTAAAAAAAAAACCCTATCATAACAAGCAAGACCACCATGTTGTTTAACAAGTTATCATGATAGTAAGTTACCAAGTTACCACCTTCACAAGTTTACCACGCCCAGTGAACACATTGTATCTTAGAAACAGGAAATATGCTGTTATTTCAGTACATCCGAGAACAAAATTGTATTTCATACATGCTGAGATTGACACTGTGAAGTACTATGATCGTTCGTGTCTGATTGGACGAACGACGTATTTTCAAAGTCGTTCGCTTTCAATCTTTGAATTGAAATGTGAAAAAATCTCAGTATGGATGAAATAAAAACATCATACCATAGAAAGTGCTTGAACGACTTTTATTCATTAGGTGCAATGCATCAAAAAACCCACTCGTTCGTTTCGCTCGCTCGTTCGTTTTTTTGATGCATCGCAACTCGTGAATAAAAATCGTGCGTGCGTGCGTACTTTCCTTGGAATAATCTCTATATCCTCTAGCGCCTGGCATTTTACCTGCTGTCCCTGATCTCCTTGTCTTCCCTTAGCTCCAGGCGCACCAAGCTGGCCCTGTAGACAGGACGGCAGAAGTCAGAGACATATCAACAGATTGCCAACAAAAACTAATTTAAGACCACCTTTGTTACAAAAGGGATTTCTATGTATAAAGGAAGTAAGTTTCTATAGAAACTGTGATGATGCGTCGGTGGGAGAGTATAACAGGGTAATTTAGTATTACAACTGAGTTGCTGACGTAAACTGACGCCAAGCTTTCTTAACTAATTTTAAGCAAATGTCTACCAGCTTGAGGGGCGAATAACTAGTTAGATCTTGGGAAGTCAAGGTCTTGGTAAGATTTTCTTTAGACCATGTTCTTACAATATCTACTAACGACTGGGAAGGTTAAGGTCTTGGTGACTATTTTTAGACCGAGTACATACATTAACTTCTAACGACGGATGGGACAACTTGGAAGGCAAAGGTCCGAAATTTTTAGATCAAGTACCTTAAAAAATCTACAAACGGCTGTTGGGACATTTTGGAAGGTTAAGGTTTTGGTGAGAATATTTTTCACTCTATGGCCTTAGCTGTAGTTGTCTGAATGCTTAAAAATTGAAAAAATAAAGAAAGAATATCTTACGAGTGTTCCAGTGGGGCCCGGCCGTCCAGGAGGTCCAGGAGGTCCTTTCACACCCTTTAATAAACAAAAGCAACGATAAATATTAATCACCACTGATGGGGAAGTTTGCAATAAAAAATTAAGTCATTCTAAAAATGCATTCATATTGGCAAGCACTAAGGCTAATTTCTATGCTACATGGCTGGTTAGTGGTGTAGATAATTGATACACAAATTGTTCAATTTAGGAGGCGGCGTGGCCGAGTGGTTTAGGCGCTGGACTGGCGCTATAATGAGCTGGTCTCGGGTTCGAGTCCTCCTCCCTCTCCTCCCTACTACTCACTGGATTTGTTCTCGGTCGCCCCGAGTTCAACCCCTCAGCTGCGCTGTGTGAATAGCTAACTGGTCTGCCTCCAGCCAGTTGGAATTTTCAAACACTATGTTTATTTGGAATATTTGTTTCACTCTTTGCGCATATGAGCATATTTAAATGAATATATGCGCGTTATAAGTATTAAATTTACTAAAATTTGTTATTATTGATTGCTTTTAGTTTTTCATGATCCTTATAACACCTTTGTCAGAGGCTTAGGGTGCCAAAATAAAAGGAATCCAGCATATTGAATGAGCATTTTTAATAAAAAAGAAATTATCTTCAGATAAAAGCTGTCATACCGTATCTCCACGTGGTCCACGAGGGCCAACAGGTCCTGGAGGTCCCCCAGTTCCCTTGAAATCAAATTGAACTCACAATTAACTTAATAAAGCAAAAACTTTTAGTAAACAATCATATAAATTAATCCCTACAGCAATTTTTTAAATATAATGTAGTACCTACCATTTGTCCTGGTCTCCCTGGTGGACCGGGATTTCCTGGCGGACCTTGAGGTCCCTAAAATATAATCAATTAAATTCCATTTTTAATAATGTTTTGGCCACCTGATGCAAAATACACTTATGACTCACCTCTCATAAATTGAAATACATTTGTTGTTAAAATAACCCCCAGATTAAAGTAAAAAGTGTGGATAAAAAAAACATGACGTCTGCATTCAAATTGAATAACTCCTTTTCCTGGAGGTTTTCCCAATTTTACAATAAACAATTGTAAAACTATGAAGGGAAAGACTAAGAGAGGGCGTGGCTTTGTATCTCATTTGGTAGCTGTGCTCACCTGGTATCCAGGAAGCAAAGGTTCAAAACCTGAATTTTTCAGGCTTCTTTTCTACAATTGCTAAAAATTTCAGCCACTTGGGATGATCACTGCTTTACTTGAGTCTTGACATTGTAAAGTATGGCATACAGTAACAGTATAACCTAACAACTTACAGTGTCACCCCGGCTACCAGGAGTGCCATCTTGACCATTCACACCATCCTCACCCTGCAATACAAAAACAACTTTCAAACATCACTATCATGTTTGAACAGAGGCACAACATCATGGAGTCTACTTGTTAATTAGAATGCAGTCAAAATTTGACTTAAAAAATTAACCTTTTCTCCTGGTGGGCCCGGAGGTCCTGGAGGTCCTGGCATTCCATCTTGTCCCTGTGAAAATCCAAAATGAACAAAATGTTAGGATGGTTACAGTTCTTAAAGAGCCTGGAATCTGAATAGAGCCTAACTTAACATGCAGTTCAAAAAAATTAGCATTGGCTTCATTGTCAAACAACCTGCCCAAAGAGTAAAGGGGGTAGGTTTCTCAGTAAAGAAACTGAGGTGCTGCAGCAGTGGAGGAGTAAAACAAAATAATTTGGTTTTATCAACTGAGTTGATAATGTAATTATTGACCCCTATTGAGAGCTTCAAAGCTGATGTTTCAAGTTAACAAGTTCGGTGGGACAACTGCAGGCCTTTAGGATGGGTTAACCAGGGTTGTTAGGTTTATGGATTTTAGGTAAAAGTAAATACAAGAGGTTCTAGGAATGTTGATGGTGTGATTTGTGCAGTGCACAAAAACAGTGGCCATCAATTCTTGTTTAGCTATTAGGTCGTTAATTAAGTTTTGCTAATGTTTTGATTGATGGAAGTGAGATTTTTGTCAACTTTTTCATAAAATCAAGTGTCAGAAAGTTGCCACAAAGTTTCTCTTAGGTAGAGGTTGACAAAAAGCTACTACTACTTCCAAAAGCAAGCAAACAAAAATAGAACAAAAACAACAACAAATCTATCAGCAAAACAAGAGTTAGGACTTTTTCATACCGGCTCTCCGTCTTTCCCATCAGGCCCTCGTTCTCCAACAGGTCCACCATCTCCCTGTCAACAAAATAATTTGAAAAAAAAAATCACATAACCAGATAAATGTCTGCTCACTTAAATTCAAATCTGTTTTCAGATGCTCTATTGACTGGAGTATTCATTAAAAGTTATCCTCAGAGGGGTACATGAACTTTCTTAAAATCCTTCCTCCAGGTTCAGATCTCAGAGGGGAATGGTTTCCAAACTAATATTCCAATTCTTGGGAATAAGCTTAAAACCTCTGTAAGATTGGAATGTTCAATGTTATCATCAATCATGAATTGGGAATTTTCACACAATTCTACTAGTATTCTACTTATGTTCCAATTTTCTGGATCAAGTATTTACTTTTCCACATTAGCAAAGTTCATGAAAGGTTTTCTTCAGTTAAGGATCAGAATGTAAAGTCACCTTTGAGCCCTTTGCTCCAGTGGCCCCTTGTCGTCCTTGCTGTCCTGGTAAACCCTTAAGAGAGTATGAACAACATTAATATAAAAAAATTTGTATGTATTTTAAAATCATGCTTGGGTTACGTCATAAACAAAAGCTTCCATGCTAGCAACTTGAGGATCACCTCCAGTTGCAAACAAGGTTACAAAAGGAAGACAAAGAAAATGGCTTTCTGGAAACTACATCTGTCATGCTGAGTTCAGAGATAATTCACTCAAGCTTTAGAAACCCCCTCCCCCTCCCCCAAAGAGAGAAACAAAGAAAGGTAAACCACTAAAATAGGCAGCCACAGTAAGATTGGAGAGAGACAGAGACACAGGCTTTCAGGAGGTTTAAAAGATTTGAGCGGTAGTGCAGGACCAGAGGCAATGCAAAACACACATAAGAATAGTTTGAGCAGGATCTGCTGCAGACTAAGCTATTTAACAGCAATAGTATTGACATATCAAGAACTTCCTGTCCAAAATTAAGACAACAAATATGACAAGTGAACATGTACTTACAGCCAGACCAGGGGAACCAGCTGGGCCAGGTGGGCCTTGAAGACCTCTCTCTCCCTAAACAGAAATACACATAACAAAATAATTAACCTTCAATTTGTCATAATTATCATCACTGATGAGTTTCAATTATGTTAATGCTTTTCTCAAACTTTGAGCTGAAAGTTGCAGTTATAACTTTGATGAGAACCAAAAGTGCAAAGATTTGACCTAAAAATTGTGAAGTTGACCACAAAATGGCTGTTTTGTCTTTTCTATTCCTGCAGTCTGATGCACTGCCTCAGACAAGCAAAGTGGTTGGACATTACATTTCAGCGCTCTCTTCTGGGATGGGATATCAAGCAAATACTGGTGCAATTTGTGAATAAATCACACAACTAAGAGCGAGTAATATGTAAGGATCATTAACAAATGCATGGTTCACTGCCAGTAGTATACAGTAATTCAGGAAACAACACATTTTTGACTCACAGCTTTGCCGTCAGCACCAGGTGTTCCAGGCTCACCAGGGTCTCCAGCAGCACCCTATGTAGATGAGATAATACAATGATATCAATAAATAAATATACAACAAAATAAATAGATAACATTAATCGAATATCCATAAATTTAAACTTGATGCAAATCAAATTGTGAATCAATTCACATCTCTTCTATTACTTTACCAAATTCCAAGCATGAGCATAGACAGTCCTACTGGTACTCAAATCACCAAGAATTAGATTTGATTATTCAAGAAATCAAGGTGAAAAAAAATACTTACAGCAGCACCTGGAGGTCCACGATCTCCTTGAGGGCCTCTTTCACCCTATAAATAAGTACATGATATAGTAAATGACTTGAACCTGGTTTTGTCGAGGAAAACAGGGCTCTGAGAGAGTACCCCCATGATTAAATATCCTGCAGCTATACATGAACAATTTTTCAGAGCAGTAAGCAATGACCACTGATTTTGGTCTATTTGAAAAAATTAAAGAAGAATATACCCTTGCTCCTGGAGTTCCATCCACTCCACTCTCTCCTGATGCTCCCTAAAATGACAAAACTATCCATTTCACTTCAAAGATTTTAGTAGTAATTCTCCTGAACATCTTTCACATATTTCTGATGATGTCAGTTAGGAGAATTTGGTATCAAATCAAACAATACTGACTATTTTATACTTCTTTTAAATTCTTATGCCTTATCTCCTTCATAGCATTTCAATTTGGTAGGGGGAAACTACTGCTGGTGAAGAGCTATCATACCATTGTCTCAGAAAAAATTCAAAGCAATGGTGTTTTTATTACAGAGTTGAACCTCTGCCACTCACATACTGAATATAGAAAGTCCATAATTTCATGAGTTTAATTCAAGAAAATATTAAATTTTAAATGACCAGCTCCCAGTTGGCTTGTTAGCTCAGTTGGTAGAGCACTGCAACAGTTTCACAGAGGTCATGGGTTCAAATCCCGTTTTTCAGGCCTTATTTTAACTGCTGCTCAAGTAGCATTCATTACTGCCAAGATTGCTTTCATATTCACAGCAGTCACACCATAAGACAGCATTGTGGTACATCACACTCTCTATTAATAGATAATGGCACTTACAGTCTCTCCAGGCTTTCCAGGTAGACCTGGTGGTCCCTGACTACCAGGGGCTCCCTAAACAAAAATACAAACAGAAGCGATTTAACAAAACAAGTTGTCACAATGATTCATCACATCCACCACTTAAAAAAAATGCCACAAAACCCTTTTGATCCGTTACTTTGAGTATAGTAATTATACATTGAATCGGAAGTCAATTTTTTTAACTGAATATATACCTGGGACCCTTGTGCACCAGTCTGTCCTCTTTCTCCGCGTTCACCTTGCCTTCCCTGTTTTGGAAAAATGAATTAATAAAAAAAACAACAACAACATCAACAACAACTTGACAGGGGTACATCAACAAAGTCACTTAGTGACAACTCTGTTAATTATTTCCTCTATTGGCTTGTCTCCTTAACCCTTTAACTATCATAAGTGATTAACATGTAACTTCTCCTTGTAACATCCACTCATTATCTAGCCAACATCTAATGAGAATACACAAACTTATCAAGTAGGATTTAGAAGCCTTGATGTAACACCAAATTCTTGTGACTTATTTACAAGGAAATGTGTAGCAGCTAGAGGGGAGAATTAACAATCAGATCTTGGGAGTTAAAGGGTTAAATCACAATTGCTTCAGTAGTTAATAGCATTGTATGACTTAATGGTTAGGTTACAACATAATGTCATCTCTCAATTTTAACCCTTTAGCCCCTAAGAGTGACTAACATCTAATCTCTCCATACTATTCACCCCTGAATCAAACATGAAAGTCATGAGAATAGAAGAGATGATCACCAACTACAGCTGCTACAGGAGTATAAATTATACATACTGATGTTAAGGTGTAAAGGATTAAACCAAAATCTAACTGTTGTGGATCTCTCTGATTTCAAGTTTTCATTTGGCAGAAAAAAAAAATCTGGGATGGTTGGCAATCAGAACAAATTCCAAATTTTCTGGGGATTTTCTCCACATATGAAAACCAGTCACAAGCAGTTACATTATTTACAAATGGCATAATGGGCTCTCTGCAACTGAAAAGGAAGAAAAACACTATGAGAATCATAATGTGTACTTGAATTTTAAAAAGCAAACCTGTTTTCCTGGAATGCCAGTCAACCCACGTCTGCCTGGTGCTCCAGTTTCACCCTAAGAAACATTAAAAAAAATGCATATTATTAATTCCCACTATTTCATGGTATATACAGTTGTTGTAGAGTTATCATCAATAATCTTTCTCTTCTTTTCCTGTGCTTCATTTTAACATATTTTGAAAAAGAATTAACATCAATACTGTAATTAATAATATATTCAAAACAAACCACTCCAATTAAAATTGGTATGCAAAAATTTTAAAGAATTACTAAAATTTTTAGATTTTAACCTTTAAATTCAGAGTGCAAAGATAACCAGACCATGCCACAACTAAGAGAAGATAACTACTAATATATCTTTTATTTGTCTGTTACAGCTAAGAACTAACTCTGAAGAGTCAGTTACCTTTGCTCCTTGAGCACCTGGTGCCCCTGGGTCACCATCCACACCTGGCTCTCCCTAACACAATGTACAATAATATCATTACCAATAAATTATTATTAATAGTTATTATTACTACTAATATTGATATCGATATTATCAATTTTATTATAGCTCAATGCAAAGTTGCTGGTTTACAAAATCAATTCTCTGGAGGGTGAAAGCCTCCACACTTTCAAAATTCTTTCCTTGAAAATAGCATCAAATAAGTGCCAAATGATTGCTTAACAAGAGCTCATCTTTTACCTCTCTATCACCAATATTTTTTAACTTTTAATACAATTATCACAGTGAATATCACTATCATTTTCATTATCATTCACCATTGATCCTTTTGGTCCAGTAAGTCCACTAGGTCCAGGATTTCCTTGAGCACCCTAACAATACAAATAAACAAGTGAATAAATATACCAGTATCCAATGACTACCCTTGTATTGGGTCTCACTGAAATGACGTGAAAAGCCTTCAAATAACCCTAAAGTCAGTGACAAAATTGTTCCCAACTTTTGCACAAAAGGGATTCCAAGCATCTTAATTCTGCCTAATGAAAAAAATCTCTTGTATGTTCTTATACCTGCTGGCCAGGAGCTCCTGATGAACCATCTGCTCCAGGGTCACCCTAAAAGAACAACATCACCTTGATTTGATTAACAGGCAAATAAGAAAGTGACTGATCACAAAGTTTATGACATGCAAGTAAATTTTAACTCTTTAACTACTAAGAGTGACTAGCATCTAATTTCTCCTTAAAATATCACCCCTAAATCACAAATCACACATTGATGTCATGAGAATAAAGGTTCATTATCATGCATAAATGTACACAGCAAAATTAAAGCCCAAATCTGGTTAGCAGCAACCAATCAATTCCCAGAACTTCCATATAGTTTGACAAACGGCAGAATGTTATATAGGGACTTTATGCCTTGATTAACTGTCAAGTTGTACATACCGGTGCACCAGTCTTGCCATCTCGTCCGGGTACCCCTGGTTGACCTGTGGGCCCCTAAGGAAGAAACAGCACATTAATATGGCATTGAGAAAAGTCTCAAAAATGTCACCTAACAAGCCAAGAACCACAGCATAGTCATATCTTAGGTTAATATAATCAAATAATACCCTGTCCCAATCATCCCGTTTCCATTATCCTATGACCCTTAAAAAATAATGCAACTCTTTCCCAGACCTAAATAAACAAGAAAAAGTTAAAAACAAAATGAAATAAAAGAATAGATATCTAACTTGTGTAAACAATGTAAACAATGTAAACAAAATGATGCTACCAGGCCCTTTCTTTCTTGAAAAGAGAGCAAGATCAGGAAGAATTGTCAAGAATATCTGGAATCAACCCTCTGACCCTAAAGAGTGACTAGTACCTCATTTCTCCCATCACCCTTTAATCACATATTACAGTCACAAGAATTAAAGATCACCCACTAAAGAAGCTACTACATGTTACACAAATTCTCCTTGTCAGAACCCTAGGAAATGTATGAAGGACAGTAAAGAGAAAATGCATACTGATCACTGATGCGAGGGCACAAAGGGCTAAACCATGAATTATTACTTTCTTCATTTCTCACCTTTGCACCAACTCGGCCAGGTTCACCACGTTCACCTGCAGATCCCTAGAAAACAAGAGGTACAAGTTTTGTTAAGGGTTAAAAAAGTCATGCAAAAGATGACCTTATCAATAGATCAGGTGACTGTTTTGAAACCCACATCATATAGCCTATGGGAGCTAACTTGAAGTTTAATTTTGGATTTTCACATTTTATTGGTTCTCCTCTAGATACCTTAATACCATTAAAAAATCACATATTTAGAGATTGAGAATGATTTCAGCTTCAAAAGACGTTTGACTGGTTCTCCTCTGTTTCTCAGCTTACCTTATCTCCCTTTGCTCCATTGAAACCATTCTCTCCAGGTGCTCCAGTTGATCCCTGCACAGTTCATAAATCATGGAAAAACTATTTAGTGCTACCCTTCAAATTAAGTGTGACTACGATCCTATACAGTCAGAAGTGAATTTGTCTAGAGCTTAGTTTCCATGTCTTATTTTCTGTCCCTATTATCTTGCTTTCATTTTGTTCCTTTCTAGAGTAGATAAGGCTTTTGAACAGATCACTGGATCATTTCTCTCTTTTTAGTAAGAATGGTTTTGCAGAACACTTCTGAGACAATTTTGCATCATTGTTCAAGTTTTGACTGCTTATTAGAAGACACATGTTTAGCTTATATGTATTTTGCTGAAACTGGATTTTTATCTAAGGAGTCAGAAGAATTTTGTCTATCAGCACATGTCGTTGTCTTTCTGCCTATGACTAAACAATGTTTTAGATGGGTGCAACTCCTTGCGTAAAGTACAAGAGGCCAGCCAGAGTTACATTCAAACATAAACAGCAGGATTTGATTCCACTTGTCAGAGGAAATGAAGACAAATCTCAAAAAGTTACCTTTCGACCAGGAGTACCATCAGGACCAGGTGATCCACGAAGACCAGGAGGACCCTGAAATAAACAGTAACTGAATAAATACAAAAGTTTTCTAAATTGAAGCTGTCGAGCAAATGATGCTGGATCTCTGTCCAGTATCTCACTTAGCTGTCTAGGAAAGTACAGAATGAGGCTAATATCTTTCACAGTTAACCAAACTGAAGTCTTGATGTACTTACCTGAGCACCTGGTGCACCAACTGGACCAGGGGGGCCTGTTGCACCAGTTTGACCCTGAAAAAATTGATGAAAAAAATTGTGAAACTCATATATTCTGGTCTTCATTTACAATTAAGATCAATTCAAACCAAAGAGATAAGCAAACTTGAAAGGTTCAAGGTTGTAAATGCAAAAGTCATAAAAACCCATATGGTGGGTAAATGTGATAATTAACTAAGGTAAAATCCTCACCCGTCTGCCAGTAGAACCAGAAGGTCCAGGTTCCCCAATTGGACCTGGAGGTCCCTAGAAAAGATCAAATCAAAGTCAATGATATAAAAACCAATAAATAACCTTGCAATTTGCTATTCGAGGTTCATTTACACAATCTTTTTAACTGATATCCATTTTAGCTGCTCTGCTGGAAATTCATCATTAATGAGGTACAACCCTTCAAAGTCTAGTCATGAGATAAAGGAAATGATTGCCTGCTAATAAAATAAGCTCTTGATTGTTCAAAAAATTCTCCTTATCAGTACCTTGGGAAATGTACAGAGAACTTTATAGAGAATACACAAACTGTTGTTACGATGTACTTACTAATATTAGGGTGTAAAGGGTTGAAGGTTTTCTTGGTTAATAACTTACTTGGCCTCCTTTTTCTCCCTTGGATCCTCGCAAACCTGGGCGACCAGGTCGACCCTATGGCAATGGAAGACATTTCAGTTTTTAAAAAAAGACACTGGATAAGCCCCAGCATACACAGACTTGCTTACAACCACTGAAAGGTGAAGTCAGCTAAGGAGCCCACAAACTGATCCAAGCTTCGATAGCATGACCTAGCTAGGACCTGGCATTTTGGCACCTGACAGTTTCATGGCATCTATTAATAGTCCAGGATTGACAGAGACATTATGAGTGGGATGTTTTACATGAGGATACAACAAAGTACCCCCAGGGCTTAAATAGAGACCTTCTTATCTGGAGTGACATGAAGTCAGTGACAGATGTTATACCAGTCCAATGCAGGTTCCCCCCCCCCCCCAAAAAAAAAAAAAAAAATTTATAAAGTTTCCCAGACTGGTAATCATTCATACCCTTGGGTGGAGAGAGGCAATATGAGGGTGAAATACCTTGCCAGAAACACAAGACAATGAACCAGCCAGATCTCAAACCTTCACCTCTCCATTTGAAGAAACAAACCACTATGTTTCCCACCTGAAGTCCAACACACTGACCACAAAGCCAGCACACCTACTACCATTGTACACTCTTAGCACTTACTCTGTCACCAGGAGGACCTGAACTTCCTCGAGCACCTGGAACACCCTGTGAGGCAAAAGAGAAATTAATTAATGCAAAGAAACTTCTCATTGCATGACAAAGTAAATCTGATAAACAAGAAAAACTTCTACTGAACACTTAAAACTGCAATACCAAGTCAGTAAGCACAGCGCTGAATACATGCCACATATCAGAGTAAGGAGCAAATAACAAAAAAAATTTTACTGGGGTGGGGATATCGAAACAAAGAATTCTTCTTTTTTGGCACTACATCCTTTATAAGCCAGAAGATATTTTGAGACAAAGAAATTTTCCCATATTCTCATTTTTTTTCCTAGCTTATTTCCCTTTTTTCTCCCAACTTTTTTCTCAACTTTTTTTCTGACTATTTTCCTGACTTTTTTCTCAACTTTGATTTTGAAGGGGAATCACTCCAGCCCAACAATAGCTTTCAATTAGGTCATCATCTGGACTTTCTCTACCCTCCTCCCCTCCTCCTTGATGCTACAATAACAAAGTAAAAGCCAATGTGTCTTGGTGACAACAGTACTAACAGCATTTCCAGGAGCTCCTCGTTGACCTTGGGGACCTGGTTCTCCAGTGACTCCCTAAAATAAGGCAACAAATGGAGTTTTTCTAGTTCTCTTTACTCATAGTGAATCAAACACCTAGTTATCAGTACTTTGCTGGCAGAAGTTTATGAAAGAGATAAAGGTAATTCCCTTCTTTGGCAAATTTCAAATTTCAAATTTGAAAATAAAAAAAGAGCCTTCTTTGGTCCTGAGTTTGGTTTGCACACAGAAATGGGAGAGAACCAAAATATATTGTCTATCATGTATCAAACTTACCCCAAAAAATTGTTAGAGCAGTGAAAAAATTAATATTGTTTCATTTTAAATAATTACTAACAGTTCTTTTAAACATTTTACATCAAAATCCTTGAAATGTTTCAGGACCTTGGTAACAATCCTGAAACTATACAGTTTTTTTTGCAGAGCCAATAAATAAAGTTTTCATCTGAGTAATACTGTTGTAGATATCATGTCTCTATTTGCAAAATGAACTGACTCATTAAAATTTTTTTTTACAAAAATTGTATAAAAACAAAGTTTATGTGGTAATTATGAATGGATAATTCTTTTTAATCCTTGTCAAGTTTTATCTAATTCAGCTGTAGATCATAGGAGGTTTCCTTTAACTCTGTACTCCTGGTGAGTGACTGGCATCTAATTTCTCCTTACAAAAACTTTCATATAGTTAAATATAAAGGTCATGAGAATAAAGAAATGATCACCGATCAAAGAAGCTCTTGATTGTTACACAAATTCTTCTTGTTAGCACCTTAGCACATAAATGAAAACTGTAACGAGAATACACTCGATTGCAAAAACATTGACACCTAATAAGCTTGATTCACGAACGACAAGACCCATCACCTTTATGGGAAATGTTCGCACAGATACACAATCAGTGATTTACTTCTCTCATTATTCATGGAAAATCTTTTCTCATGATAAAACATTTTCTTCCGGGAAAGTTTGGATAGCTCTTTGCTGAGTCTCATCGTTCATTATAAACGCTTGTTGCGTGTCAACGTTTTTGCAATCGAGTGTATGCATACTGATGACATGGTGTAAAAGGTTAAGGACAAGGGATTGAAGACAACACATATACATACAACTGATCCTTTTTCTCCTGGTACTCCACTCTTTCCCGATGCTCCATCCCTTCCATTTTCACCCTTGGCTCCTGCTATACCTTGAGGACCTTGCTCACCCAGATCTCCAGTTCTTCCTTGTATACCTGGTTCGCCAGCGTCACCTTTAGGTCCTGAAATACCTGCTGGACCTGCAGGCCCTCTTTGTCCTCTTAGACCCTGATGAGGAAAAGATGTCCATGCTTTTGGTTAATTCACTGCCAATGACACAAAGGAAATGAAACAGCTAGTAACTAAACTCAATTGGTTTCTGTTCTAGTACCCATCCAACAAAGACTGATATTTTCCAACACCTAGCATTCTCCTGAAACCTTTAACAATTAAGAGTGACTAGCCTCTTATCTCTTCTCACAATATCACCCCTGAATTACATTTTTAAGGTCACAAAAATAGAGGAAACAATGGCAAACTAAAGAAGCTCTTGATTGTTAAACAAATTCTCCTTGTCTGCAACTTAGGAAATGCACAGATAACAGTATAATGGTGAATATGCATACTGATGTTAGGGTGTTGAGGGTTAAGGGACCTAAATGTTGAAATCAAGATGAAAATCCTTGCTTGAGATGTTTTGAAAATTTTGCATGCTTCTTAACTGGAGGACACTCATTCTTAAGACATTGACATGCTTCTTAACTTGAAGACACTCATTCTTAAGACATTGAATCATCAGACTGTTCTCATGAAATCCTCAGGGAAGCAATTTTCAGAATATAAACTTTGTAACTGCTGTTGCATGCCTTCTTCCAATTTCTATCATTCCCATGAATAAGGCACCAATTTCTTTTGGAACAGAAGTCACCTGTGATGAGTGAGTCATGTGTCCTTGCTGTTCCAAAAAAGGGGAACCCTTGGGGTTTTGAGGTTAATTTGCCTTGGTTTTTTTTTAAAAGACTTTTTGTATGTCACTTGGTTGTATTACACTATTGTCACAGGTCTTAAATTTATACAATGTTCAATAAGGATCATAGTAATTCAGATTTGTAGTGAAAGTTTCAACAGTTAAATTCAGTATGGAAGAGTTTTTTTATCCACAGTTACAAACTTCCATAGTCAATCAACACATTTCCTCATCAAACAGAGGATTTGCTTCTTCTGAAGAGTGACAAAGCTTTCACAATGTTTTTGCTGTCTTTAAAGCCTATGTTGACGCACATTTATCCACTAAGGAAGTCACAAATTTAAAAGACCAGCTAGGAAGATGACTATCCTTTAGGTGAATGAGAAAACAAGGGGCTTACTTGAGACAACAGCAAATTTTGAGATGACAAGACTGCTATTAATAGTATTTGCAAAATCATTGGATGACACAAGTTACTGCAAAATTTATAGGATTAAATTCATACCTGGCGTCCTTGTGGTCCAGGGGGCCCCTCACTTCCTCTCTGACCAACTGGCCCTTGTCGCCCAGGCTTTCCTGTGCTACCAACCAATCCAGGTTCTCCCTAAAATCATAACAGAAAGTTTGGTTAATCCTCTGAAACCAAATGGTAGAAAGTGGTAAATGTATCTGTGAAAAGGCAGATAAAACTTTTTACACTTTCTTGGTATTTATCTCCATCAATCCACTAAAGCCTGGTGGGCAGCTGATGCACATTTGCTTGCTTGTGCTCAGCTGAAGGCATGCAAACTTATCACACCGCAATTATGTCCATTTTTTACTACCTTATTATTTTCTGTAAATATCAACCTCACAAAGTCCTTGCCAAGAGAAAAGAAAATGAAGGAACCAAGGATTTGACTCTGCTACTTTAAGTCATTTCTTTGAAACAGTTCAAAGTTTCTGCTTATTGACACATATTTATCTAGTACAAACTAGCCGCAGGCCCAGTTGTTCAAAAGGGAAATAATGCTATGCTTTGGATAATTCCCTTTCCAGCCAATAAATGGTAACAGAATGTGTTGTGCCATCCACTGGATTAAGATTTATCCAGTGCATAGCAATACCCAGCCTTCAAACAACTGGGGCCAGAAAGTTAATTCAAGTCATGTTTCTACAAACTCATGAGGTACAACTTTCAAGGCAAAGATATATCTCCCAAATTATTGGTATTATTTTGCAATGTGATGAAGCACTGGATCTACAAACCATGTGCCAACAACTGTTTCAAGGACAGGTTTAAATGCCAAGAGAAAACCAAAAGTAAAAAAAGAAAAAATCTGGAAGGGATTCTACATCTTGAATACACTCAAGCAGAGGTGAGCAACTCAACTAAAACACATATTTTAGAGTATTTGGGCAAGAAACTTACAGGTTGTCCATCATAACCAGGGGTCCCAGCAGTACCAGGTGATCCCTAGAAAAAATATAGATATTTGTGTTAAGATCGTTTATTAAATAAATCAAATTAGCCTTGTTACTGATCATTACTTGCCAGATACATTTTCTTCATCCCAAAACTGTGCAACTAATCAAAGATTTTCCCTAACAATTTCACCTTAGAGTAACTAGCATCTAATTTCTCCCTGAAATATCACCTCTAAATCCAGTAATAAGGCCGTGAAAATAGGGAAAATTATTGCCAGCTAAAGGAAATTGTGATTGTTGAACAAATTCTCCTTATCATTACCATGGCTAATGTTAAGAGAAAAGTATGGAGAACATGCATACTGATGTTGGGGTGTAGAGAGTAAAGAGATGCTTCAGGTTGGAATAGCTCATGCTACAAACACCACCAATCAGCATTTTGAAGTTTAACTTACCAAGTATATTACAACAAAAATTCCCACAAGTTCTCAAGTTATTCTTTTGGCTAACAACATAATTAGCAGTGTCTTCCAAGCTATCCATTAAGAGGAATCACCCAAATTTGATTGCCCATGGCACACAGCTTTTTCTGAAACACAGCGCTGGGCTTTGAACTTAGAATTGTAACCACTTAAAACCCACCATCGACCATTTACAAAAATGACTGTGAAGATAAAATAAGAGGTTTTAGTCCTACCCTTTCACCAGGAACTCCAGAGTTTCCTTTACTTCCTTTAGGTCCTTTTTCTCCCTGAAGGAAAACCACAATAAAAGTCATTACTAACTGTCCCTTGGTTTTTCCTTTCAAGTTTTTCAAGTTGGAGTAGTTGACAGAGATGAACAAATTCTATTAAAGGTGGTTTTCTTGTTGATTATTGATAAAGTGGCAAATTAGTTCATCCTTCTGAGATCCTTCTCAACCACATTAATCACCAAATCAAGAAGGAAAAAGTGTTGGTGACTAAATTTGCCATGTGACAAACAAAGGACAACCTATGTACAGAGGTCAGCAAACACAGATTAAAATTGACATTAATGAAGTCATTATGGTCTAAGTTTAAAGTGTGATTAAACAGTTGCATAAAATAAAGCAGTGTATCCTTCTCTCTTGCCAACCATATTGCTCATTTCAAACACAAGCTACTGTTTTTTTTTTTTTTTATAACCTCACAGTTGATTTTGAAAAATAATTACCCTGGAACATTGAAAAACCACCTCGATTGTTCAGAAGGATTTGAAATTACAGCACAAAGAGATTCAGTTTTCCATTCTTACCACATCTCCTTTATGACCTACATCACCAGCCAGACCAGGTGGTCCTGGGGGACCCTGAAAAATGGACATACATGTAAGATCACCTGCTAATAAACTAGATGAGAAAAATAATAATGATGATAATATTTTCATTCACTGTTGCACATTACAGATTTATGATAGAAAACATTTATAGGCACACTAAGAAATAGGAGAAATGAAGGGCCAGAAGGCTAAAAGACTGTTAAGTATTCAAGCCAGCCTTAAGTTCAGTTAACTTGCTAAAATAAGACAAATGAGGGAGAGCAGAAATATGCTTCTAGAAAATAGTTAGTAATAATATATAATATTATATAATAATGATACCAAAGGAAAGGTTGATACTAAGACAAATGTTTGCAGTGTTGTTCTGGCAGTAAAGAAAGTTTTCCTTTTTTTGAAGACGTTAGGATTTTTTAAATTACCTGGGATTTTGTCCTAGAGATTATAGTAGCTGTATAGGCAATTGTTTCTTATAGATTCTTAGGATGATTAGTACTTTTACACTATTGGCATGCACACAAAGTGGTTCAACATTTGACACGTGTTTCCTGATCATTCATATCTTTTTGCATGTCATTCTTGCTCTTGTCTTCATCACTGACCCTTTCTTGAAGGACCACACCCCTTCTGGTGCTATTCAGTGTCAACCAACAAACAACACAACAAGTATTTCATATCAACACACCTTGGTATAAAGTCCCAACTGAATAAGGATCTCATAAATGTTACAGGTTTATAACCAGCAATTATGAAATACATTACTTACTGGTGCACCAGGTGGACCACCCTCTCCATTAAGTCCAGGTTCTCCAGGGTCACCCTATGACATACATTACACACTGATTCAGAACCACATTATAGATCATACATGCCCATCCTTATTCCCATGATGCTGAGCAGAAAGGAGTATCTGCTACACCTTCAGAGCAGGATAAAGGTGCATTATAAGCCAACCCCCCTGCATCCCCTGACAGTTGCTGGTACCCATTTACACTCCTGGCCACGAACAATGCTATGACAACCTATGAATGTCAACTAAGTTGATTATGTGTATTAGCTGCTGTAAGGAGTTTCTGCAGCTTAAGTTTCAAGCGTAAGCCCTTAGTCAGCTAATGACCAAGAGTTAATGCTCTTTTTAATTATCAGCTTTAGAAAATCTTGATGGTGGCCAATATCCATGATCAACTTAGTTGACAAAACTAAATCATCTTGTAATACTCCCTAACAACACAGCACCACAGTTTCTTCAGAAAATTACCACTTCATAAAACTTTTGATTTGGGTAGCCAATCCAAAACAGATGCATCTTTGCCAAAATATAGTAGAATCCAGGTTTACATTCTAGCTTCCTTAATGTAAAGCCCATGCAAATGACTAGATACTACAATGCCATGAAAAGGCTATGAATAAAACTGTTCCATCACTTTAATGAGACTCATTTTCATTAAGGACCACAAAGGCCCAACATTTCAGATGTTAGCTGATTCAGAGCTATCAATAAGAGCCCATCAAAGCTGTTAGCTAGCCTGCCATTTTAAGGCCAAGACTTTCACCTCATTTTACCATGATGGAAGGCCTAGTCCCAAATCTTGCAACAAAACAACACGGCATCCAGCACAACCTGGCTGCTGTGTGGTTTTGTCATTGCTGATGGCCCTGTTTAACCTGGCACAACTGTACTTTACTTTGACTTACATCAAAGCCATCACGTCCAGCTTCTCCTCTGGGTCCTGGCGGACCAGGACGACCCTGAAAGCAAACCAGAAAAATACCTTATCAAACCAGATTATGACACAGTTCAGCACAGCAATGAAGAGTTCCTGGGAAAATGTGATTGCAGAATCCCCCGCTACTGTGCCAAATTCTCTAGCAACATTGTGACAACAAAGCTATTATATTTAATTTTATTTCCTGATACATTTCATAATGAGAACCTGAACAATTTGTATTAATGAAGAGGTGTTTTGAAGCCAATTCTACAAATCACAACTTAAAACTGGATGAAATTTCAACATATGTAAGCTATAAATTTAGTGTCCTATCCAAGAATTCATGGTGCTTTGAAATGGAAAGTTCAAACAATTCATAAATATATCTATAAATACATAAGAGGTACATGATTTAAAAACAACAATTAAGATCTTTGAAAGTTGTTGGTACCCGGTTAAACTTTTGTTGAAAATTGTTACTATAGCATTGAATATAAACAGTTATCACAAGCACCATTGAAAGGATATCACTGAGAGTGGATGTCATGGCCCTGAAATGCCACCTTTAGTGCAACTGCTGTACTTCAAATGTGTGCATTAATTCATAGTTTTATCTCCACTTACAGGGGGTCCTGTATCTCCTTGTTTACCAGGCTGTCCTGCTCCCCCATTTGACCCCTAAAAGGTGAGAAAATGGTTCTGTTGCAATCAAAATGCATACAAAGTACCTGACCATCTTAATAAAGTACTGAGTACTGAGACATAAGGAAATAATACCCAAAAAAAAGGTAAAGAAAAAAGTTTAAAGTATTCTGTACTTACTGGGGGTCCACGTTTTCCTGGGCTTCCTGGAGGTCCTCTGGGACCCTAGTTTTATAAAAAATTCACATAATATTAATATTTGATGACATTTTTTCTTACCTAACTCAAGAGTGCATTAATCACTATCACCCAAACCTTCTCTGTTTGTTACGACAACATGATCAACAATTACTCCACATTCTAGTTCACCAACTGTTTAATTGTCTTCTGTGCAATTTCTTCAATTGCAGCTCACCTGCAAGGAGCATTTCTTTATTTCTATATCATCTGCAGTCACAATGTTATCTGTTTCACTGGATTGTAATCAAATTTTTTTAAATAGGAACAAAAATTTCTCTAATATTTGCCAGGTTTCACCAAGTGACTTCATAGCTCAGTTGGTAAGTGGGCTCAGTCTGAAAGGCAGGAGTCTGAATTCCAACCCAGCCTTCATTTTCCTCAGCTTTTTTGTCTGCAGTTTCTCTAATAGCAGTTCACCTGCTAGGATCTTAGTCAATCTGATTTACCAAACATACATTTTTTTTACATAATGCAGTCAGATATAAATGATGTAGCATTTTGTCTCAGATGAGGCACAAATCAGAAACATTTATGAAATTTCAAGCAAACTTGTTATGCATCATGTTCAAAGATACAATTATTTATAAAGTTCACTATGTTGGCATTCTAGATTTTGTACCGCAAAAGGATAACAAATAAAATTTATAGAAATACAGTTGAAGAGACTTACTGGAGGGCCAGTTTCGCCTTTGATACCATCCCGGCTGAGACCAGGATCGGGTCCTTTTACTCCAGCCTGAAATGATCAATATACACCTTAACCCAACTCCCAGAAGTGATCAACAAGTAACTTCTCCCTACAATATCCATAGACTATCCAGCAAACAGGTAATGAGGACACTCAAATGTATTAGGTAAAAGTTGTTATCTTCATCTAACACCAAATTCTCATAACTAATTTACAAGGAAATGTGTGGCAGCTAGAAGAGAGAATTAACAATCGGATCTTGGAAGTTGAAGGGTTAAATTATTTAAAAATATATACAATGTTTAACATTCAGCAGAGCCCCTTCCTTGCATGGACTTTTGAGTGTACTTCTCTCATAAATTACAGAAACTCTTTTAAAGACATTTCTCTCTTTTTTTCCAGGAAAGCTTCAAAATATTTTTTCATCCACCATATGCAACTAGCAAGCCATTTCCAAGTTCCAAAGACCCTCACTTTCAAAATGAGGCTGATGGAAAATATATCTCATTAGCATAAGAATGAACATCGATTTTCAGACGAAAGGCTTTGCATGTACCCTCATTAATTAACCCTTTAACTCCCAGATCAAATTTGTAATTCTCCTTATTGTCAACCATACAATTCTTACAATATTAGTTCAGGGAATTTACTACTGGATCAACTAATTATCCCCAAATCAACATTTTTCTTTATTCTCATCACTTACCCAGTTGTTATTGTATTGATATTTTGAGGAGAAATTCTGTCTTGGTCATTCATGGGAGTTAAAGGGTTAATGATATTTTAGAGTGATAAACATCTAATTTTTCCCAACGTCATCACACGTTGAGGTTATGGGAATAAAGTAAGTGAAGGCAAAATAAAGAAGCTCCTGATTGTTCGATAAATCCTCCTTGTAAGTATCATTGGAAGTGTATAGAAAACTGTATGGAGAACTCAGAAATTTGTTATTTAGATGATCTCATAAGACACTGCTAACCCATAGGGGCATGTACCCTGTAGTTTATATTTGACACTCTATAGGTGTAGTTAAATATTAGAGATCACAATGAATAAATTGTTTCGTGAACATAGTTGTCCTTTATATCCCTAAAGTAAACAGCTCTCCAAGCAGTGACCATTTCAGTCACCATAGCAAGTTGAGGTAAAAGTTTTTCTTCCTTGATCTCAAACTAAAGAACTTCCAGAAACAATTTCAGACATTGTTGGTTAAATAACTGATTCTCTCATTTTCTAAATTTAAGTCAAAAGACAGGAAGGTACTAACACTTCCAACTGAACCTCCTGGAGGCCCTGCTGGTCCCTCGGGTCCAGCCTCTCCTGCTTCACCTTTCGGACCAGGTCTTCCAGGGTCACCCTGTAACACAGGCCACAAGAAATTTAGAGATCACATCATTGTTCTACCATTTATGCATTGCAGACCTATCATGATGTGAGGTATAACTTTTTCTTGGGCTTCCTGTTGAAAGCTCAAGTTTTAAGTTTGTTTAGGGTTGTCATTTATCTTCCAAAATGACACTTGTGGGAATTCTGTGCAGGTGTTGGGTATATAATTTAATCATCAGCCAACAACCTCCAACTGCTTTCATGGCTTGTTTTTCACATCACACTTTAAACAATTGAAACAATACACAATAGTGTTGAGTTTGCACCAAAACTCATAATGCTCAGGTGCTCAGAGAAAATTATTAAGTTTTTTTTTTTTATGAAAATATGGATGTTCAAGGCAAGGGGCTATTAAAAGAAGTGAAGTAAATCCACAAAAAATTTTTAGTCTCACTCTATGAGATTGCTCTAAAAGCCTCCAAAGAGTAACAGAATGACTTACTAACAACATCATATACTCATTAATACATTACTCCATTTAGTAACACCCCTGTCATGGAAGGAAGCCCAAGTGAAGGCCACTGCCTTTTTTGTTATTGACTGTGGTATTTTACAAGGTTTTCTAGCCCTGAGAAAAGCAGCAACTGCACGTATGTAAAATTACAATAGTTTTTTTTATATATGTGAGATACCACCAATCAGCTGCTGACATGTCATTTATCTTTCCGTCCACTCTGACAGGTTGATGAATGAATGGCAACACCTTCATCATTTTCAATGCGAGGTTGTTTATTGAATTTTCTCATCATTAAGGCCAAAAGGTGTTTATTTAATAAACAAAATAATACATGGATTCCTTTAGGCATGGAATTTCTCTTCTTGTGTTCAACTTGATATCTCTTTCATTCCCACCAATCACTTGTGAGATATCAAAATGAACACGAGAAGAAAAATTCGATAACAAGGGTGCTCATGTATTATTCCATAAGCAATTGCCATTTTGAATTAAGTTTGCTGTCGAGTAGTGATCCTCTGCCAAAGAATTTGTGGATTTTTGGACACAAGCTACTTGGAACATGATTAAAACAGTACATACATTATATCCTCTGGGTCCAGGAGGACCTGGGGGGCCTGGCTCTCCACGGTCACCCTATTGAGGAAAAAATTATCAGAGAAACACCATGAGAACTCATAGACATACTCTGCAGAATATTTAACAATTATTCCATGAGAGTGTGTGGAATAAAAGATGATAAATAGCCAACCAGGATGCTAAAACCATTTTTCTATCAAACAGGCATGAAAGGAATAATTGTCTTATCAAATTAACCACTTTTTGGTAATGTTATAGGAACTTACTGTGACAATGAGTATAAGTTAAAAAAGCTTATTTCAATACTCCTACATAAAACCAAGCAGTTACAAGTTCAAAAGCCCCAAAATAACTGACAACCCTGAATGTGCACATCATTGTTAGATCATTCATTGCTTGCTCATTGGGATTACTTCATGTACACGTGTATATGTTTGCTGCTTATATATATGGCCCAAAATTTATGCCTGCATACTTCTAACAGTATTTCCTTGCACTTAATATTTTAAAAATAGCAACACCGAGGTGAATTGTTTTCCAGAGAAAGTGATCCAATATATGAGCTGATTTATTTATAGTACTTCACTTATTGATTACATAATGAGAAAAAAGTAGGCACCAAGTATCACTGGTCTAAAAAGTTAAATAATTATTTAGCGCTTGGAGCTTTCATTGTTTTAGCTGCCAAGGCAAATTGTACACAATTTGGGCACCATGTTTAACTGGTCAAAGCATCTCATTATTTAGCACTTGGAGCTTTTGTTGTTTTAGTTGCCATGACAAATTGTAAACAATTTTGGCACACAAAATTTCAGCAAAAGTTGCATATTATTTTGATAACTGTGTTCAGCAGTCTGTTGCAAGCTGTTACATTTTGTTGAAAAGCTATCATTAAGGAATTTTGTAACTACTGTAGGTCTTCATTTACATAAGTTTAACACAAAACTTTCATTAAGATACTACCTTCTGATTGAATCAATATATTTAGAAAACATAGACAACACCAATTCTTATGCTTCCTTGATCAGTCATTCAACTCCTAAAGAGGATTTTTGATAAAAAGTCAGGATATTGACTTACTGGATCACCATTTGGTCCTCGAGAACCTGGGTTTCCTGGCTATAATGTTAAAAAGAAGTCAACAGTAAATGAGCTTTCCTGCTGGAAAATCCACACAGCATGAGAGAAGAAACTGAAACATCACTGAGCTCTCTTACATTAGGGTCAATGTGGAAAAGTTCCCTCAATATTTCAAAATTTCCATACTACAGCTAAAGTAAATCAATGCTTTCAATCCTAAGATCTTTTTAGAACTCCCCATATCAACTGCTATACTGTTTGACTATGGGACCTCCACAATCCTTTAACCCCTGTTACAGAGTCTAAAATCTGATCTCTTCTCTCAGTGTCACTAACAAACCAAACATAAAGGTCCTGAAAAATTAAGGAAATGATACTTGCATGCTAAAGAATCACTTAACCATCAATTGCAAATTCTCCTTGGTAACAGAATGGAAAATGTAAAGGGAACAGTAAGGAGAATGTGCATGCTGATCAATGTAAGGGTGTTGAGGCTAACAACAACAGAATACTGAGTAGTACTTACTATGGGAGGATATGTGGGAAGTGAATCTACAGAAAAATAAAAAATGTAAGCCATGAGTTGTACAAAATAATACTTTTCTTATTTGCACCCCTGACTTTTGGTATGTGGCAGCTTACAGAAAAAAAAAAAAGTCTTTTAGAAAACTTTACTTTTTATTGTGACTGACAAAAGTTCCATGATTGTTTACAGTTTTTTTTATGTATGAATAAAAAGAGCATACCTCTCTATCTGTGTTGCACAGCTTCTGAAAGCTGTTAATTACAATCAATGGCAACTTACAATTATAGAAACAATAGTAGTTACATCCATTATAGCAGCAATATGGTGGAAGACGGTTTGCACGCTTTGGGCAGTCCCGGTTCAATACGCAGTCATTAGTGACATCTTTACAGTTAATAACCTTCTTGGTTGGACATGGGCTATCATTTACTGGAATAAAATAGTTATGGAAATGTCATAAGTAAAGCAAAAAAGGCCAAAGTAAAACAGACATGAAAAGATTGTGAGAATTCACCACCATATGCTTTTTGAGGAGAAAGGGGAAATCCTAGCCAATTTGAGATTGAGAGTTTGTATTAGCTTTGTGTGATATTTCCTCTGCTTTGTTTTTATTGTGATTAGTTTAGTTTTAGTTTACAACACTCAGTCCAATAGTGCTCTGACCCCCAAGAGTGACTAGCATCTAATTTCTCCTTACAAAATCACTCTAAAAGTTATACATCACATCAAGGTCATACGAATGATTACCAACTAAAGAAACTCTCGATTGTTAAACAAATTCTCCTCATCAGTACTTCTGGAAATGTGTAGAGAAAAGTAAGGAGAATATGCATACTGATGTTAAAGTGTAAAGGACTTAATTAGAGATAAATGGTATGTTCAATTCGAGGAAGAAGCAGAGCCAAGATGGTGCTGCTTACAGGATTGAAGCAAGTGGCAAAGCTGTAGTATGTGAAATGATTTTGTGCTGTAATTCTGTTAGTGATAAGCTCTTAAAGCTAGGAATATTAGAATCTTATAAATATTTATTGGCATCCAGCTAAAATTCTTTAGATTATTTCAAATTTGGTCCAGTAAAGCTCTTTAACTGAAAGATTGACTTGCAATTGAATTTCAAGCACCTTTGAATAATATTACCAATTAACAAAGACATTTACAAGCCAGGATTCATTCCTTGTAAATCCCACATATAATCTAACAATGTTCCATTCATTTAACCTAATCAAAGTATGTCACCTTACCAGCCAAATAAATAGAAACACATCTTGGAAGTAAATGTAATGATGCTCAGTTTTAAAGAGAGTATTTCAAAAACAAGTGGGCTCTACTAAAAGTTCCACACTACAGCCTTTTTGCCACATAAACCATTGAGCCCTAGGAGTCATTGCCTACTAATTTCTCCTTACATCATCACAATCAAATCAAATGTGAAAGTCATGATAATACAGGAAATAATCACCAATTTAGGAAGCTCTTCAAAGTCAAATAAATTCTCCTTGTCAGAACCATAGGAGATACAAAGGAAAAAGTGTGGAGAATATTAACATTAATCTTGGGTGAATTTATGTGACCTGTTTCTGATACTTGTTGAAGTAAATTGAAGAAGCCCTCTTCCAGTGGGAGATACAAAAAAATGAAACCTGGCCTGTAGAGAAACTTCTTTAAACAGTTTTTTCTAATTCACATGCAAACTTAAACCACATCAATAACTGTGCATAAAATTCAGTCTGATGTGAACAGCACTTGTGAGACTAACAGATGAACAAAAAATGCTAACTTTGGAATTAATATTACACAGCAACTATTACTTTTAAATATAGCTGTTGTAGTTACATTTACAGTTTAAATAAACTACTTTTACTCTTAGCTTAACCTGGGAACAATGCTAGTACGACAGGCATTACACAGCACATTACAAGTAAAATTTTCAATGCTTGTTTACTCTAAACTAGCTAGACTTGGAAAGAGGAGAGAGGCTGGAAAAAATTTTGTACCGTGAAAGATTAAAAGGACAATAATTAAGTTTGCATTAGTGATGATAACTAATTTTACTGGAAATGATTAAGATGACACAAAACAAACAGCAACAAAAGCTTCACGACTGTTAGTTTTCAAACAACTACATGACATGGTTAACGATCTGAACAAGTAACAAGGCCACAAATATGATATGATTATCAAAAAAGAATAATAGTGCAAAGGTAATTTTAAAAAAACAACAACAACAACAAAAAGTGACTGTTTACCACTAAAATCTTGATTGACCCTTTCCCTTCCAAGATCTCATTTGTAATCCTCCTTACTATCTACCATACAGTTATGCGAGTTCACAGAATTTGGAATTGAATCCACTGATAATCCCTAAAGTGATATTTTCTTTATTCCCATCACTTGTCCGCTTGATATTATATTAATATTTGTAAGGATGGAAGTTAAGTGTTAATAAGTGTTGAACTCCTTCGTCAAATTTGACGGAATCATTTCTCAAAATCTATTTCAAACTTATTTCATATTTATTTCCTCAGCGGAGTAGATATAGCCTAGAAATGTTCCTTTCATACCTTGTGCCTTCAGGTAAGGGTAAGATGAGCGAAATATATGCAATATTGAATTGAAAATTGAAGTACGATTAGTGTAATTGACACAACTGATGAAAACAGCTGATAATGCTAAACATAATGTGGAGAGCAAAAAGTTAGAATCGTGATTACAGTGAGACTATACAATTATGCCAACAATCACTGATGCATGACTAAATTAATCAGGCGTTAGAATTACGATATGAACTGACAGTGAGAGGAATAAAAGTTGAGGTGAAGCGGTGAAATTTACAGCGCTGTAGCGCTGCATGGCGATGTCGCATGCATTCCTTGAATTGATTATTATCGTTCTTTCCGCTTACCTGTATTTCTAGCTGTTTCTTGCGCTCTGGAAAATCTTCATGGCAATTCCAAGTCTGCGAAATCTCGACCAAAACGACTGTTTTCAACCCGAAGTAATTGAAGAATTTTCTCGGAGGAAAGGGAAATCTGCGCGTTTTCTACTAGCCTTGTTCCCAGGCTTTCCTGGCGCCGCATCCTCACTTAACAGAAACTCTGCAAGAGTCTTAGGGATGGACTACAAACTTATATTGTTTCCTCAAAATTAGCGACAATCTCGCTCGGTCTCACCTTTGCTTAAATATCAAGAGCATCCGTTTAAACTTTGAGTCCTCTGTCGCAGTTTTAAAGAGGGATTCACAACGAGTGTAAACAATTTTTTGACAGAATTTCTAAATCTAATTTATTAAAACTTCTCTGATACGTCTTTTTTTTCAGTAAATAACGCAAATGGGACAGTGAGATGAAAAAGAAAACGTTTTGAAAATGTCTTAGCAAGCACTGAATACCTCATTTTATAACTCAATCGCCTTTGTCCAACATGAAACAGTATCTGAGGTCAAGCAAGAGTAACGCTATTACTACTGTGAACGATTTATCGTGACTGGAAAATTTTTACTCTTTTTTTGGCAAAAATAAAGAAAGCTTTCGGTCAGAGAATCACATGAGATTGTTCTTGATAATATAATTTGTTTCCCTTGAAGTATTCATAATGTTTTAGCGACGATTTCTCCCTTTACAAATCATGTAACGCTTTTTACCCTTGCAATTTTTCGGCAAATTCCGAAAGAATTTGAAACATATCATGTTTCGCCGAGACCTCAAATCACGAAAATAAAATACAACTCTCTTTTGTGCTCTTTGTTCAAAAACTTGAAAAAAAATCGCTCTACATAACTCTAATTAGCCCTTGGATAATTTTGAAAATTTGAACCGCCTAATAAAATACTTTCTTTTTTTTCCTTCATTTTGTTTTGTATCATTTGTGCTGTAGGTTACCGATGGAATTTCTCGCTCGAACTGGCACCTATATCTTGGTGTTTAGTAAAAATCCCTGAAGGAGCACTTTCACGTTATATAAATATTCCAAATGATCACTAGAAATAGCGAAGAAGTCGTAATTTCAACCGAAAATTCGAAGCTACATTTGATCCATACCAGGAGCGCCTGGATGTGAGCTGATCGCTCGGTAGACAAAAGCCCTTTGTGACTGTCTAACGCAATGCCCGATTATGAACTGCGGCAAGATAGCTCACAAAATAGCGCTTACGTTCAAGTAAAAAGCTTAATTTCTTTTAATTTTACCCTTAACCGATAGATACTTTCACAAGCGGGAAATCTGGGCCTATAAAAAACCACTAGGGAAAGGAGAGCTACCAGAGTTACCGCAAAACAAACGTTCCCCACATTTGCAAGTAAATGGAAACATCTAGACACACAAATTAGAATGTACGAAAGTATCAAAGACTGCGTCTGTTAAAGTTTTCTGAATGAAAGTAATGTTTTTCGATAAATCTGTTGATGAACCTTCAGAATCTGGACAAGCGCATTTCACACGCATAACGTCGATATGCTCCACTATTGAAAGAGGGGTCCTTTGTTGCGAGAGGATATTCTACCGCAAATACGAAAAACCTTGACCTAATTTTCTCCAGTTTTTCAATATCGGTAAATTTCAGTGGCCGGCTAAGGAGAAACGGTTAAGTGACAGTGATATTAACTTCCCATCTACGTGATCTCAACGGAGATCCATCATGATCATGAAGAAGCCCTTGTGTGAGTAGAAAAATGTGATGGGATCGCATGCGATCGTAATGTCTCCGCGCAAATTTGCGCCAAAAAACATTATGCTAAGCTGCCACATACCAAAGAAGCTAACCTAGTTGCAACCCAAAACTTATTAAGTATCCTTTAAAATAAAATTCAAACTGTACATGCGGTAATAACTAGAAGAACACATTCCAGCTAACCACGTCCATCAAACTTACCTTGTCCTTCTACGAGAATAAATAATGAAATTCCAATTAGAAGTGTCCTAATCGCATTGGAAGAAAACATGGTGGCAGTAAGCCTTCTATGACGGCCCTTGCTGGTGCAAAATGCTTTAGAGCACTACACACCAATCTTTGGACCTCACAAAGCCACTACAAGTTAATAATGGTGGATGCGGTGGCAGTCGCTTGAGGCGCGGTTCGCGATCAGGCTCTGAGCTGAGTGGTGAACGAAGACATTCAAGACCCTGCAAATTGACACCACTTCTATTGTATTACAGACGCCAGATCAGACTTAGGACTGAGTTGTCTTTCATAAGATCACATCTCTATGCCCCTTTCATTCCTGCAATCCCGAGCGGCATTTCGGCCTCGCTTGACAGACTAAAACTTAAAAAATAAATAGCCGATTCATGAGATGAAATAATTTATTTTTTCTTCTTCTTGACACAAAACTCCCCTTCTCCTAATCTATTATTTGAGGCAATGGTTTCAAAGGTGAGCAGAGAAAACAGCTAACTCTGACAACAAACATTCACTGTCGAGTGGAATGCGTGACACAGGCCGCGTGACCTCTCTGAAGTGACCGCAAATGGTTTTCTCTTGGGGATTTAATAGCTTGAATTTCAGAATTTTGCCTCATAGTGAACAAACAATTGTTTATTACAATATCGTAGAGACTGATATACTTTTTCAATTTTATCTGTTATTTAAAACTGACTCAAAGAGTTCCACTCTCATTAGCCTCGATTCCTAATGATATTTTCTGGAAGCGGAAAAGCAGAACTTTCTTAGACTTTCTGCTGTGAACTACACTACGCAATCAAGAAGGCTTTGTTATCATCCATTGGGAAGATAGTATTACAACACGTCAAAAGACACATGTAATGACGTGACAGAGAACTTCAAGTTTTGAGGATTTGAAAGAACTCTACGGTCACAAAGCTCTAGTTTTCCCGGAACATTAATAATCAAGGTAAAGAGAGAGAAAAATCCATTTTTTCTTCTTTCGCTGTTGCAAGCCAGGGTAAGGGTAGCTTTAAAGCCTAGAAGGCCGTTGGAGAACCAAGAGCAGGCGTGTTGCATGGCAAACTTGAGAGAGACACGCGAGTGAAAAGGCACTCGCACCTTGGCTTGGGAGAGTACGGCTATACTAACTTAGGCTAACCTAACCCCTTGCCTCCTCTCCCTATTTAACACTGAGCAAAAAGCTCCTGCTCTGATCTTCTTTATCATGCTTAGTAAAATAGAAACGACCTCAAAGGACGAAAAAAAATGAAAATAAATAAACTGTTGCCGGAAAATATACAAACAGAGAGGAGAGATAATGATAAAATTTACCGAGTAGCCCTTCTTTTCACCACCCCAGGGGGTCCCGCCTAGTCCGGTCATCGTATATCTCGCCCCAATCCTATTCGGCCCATCCTTGAGGCGAGTCTAGTTGAAAACATGGCGGACTATTTGAGTTTTTGAGGTGTTTGACAAACAAAGTAGGAAACGGAATGAAAAAATCGAAACCACAGTCCAAGAGAGGGGTTCGAAATCCTGATCCTCAAATAATTTGCGAAGTACAAAGTGTGTTGCGCGGAAGAATTTTCCATGCCGATGTACCTCCTCAAGTGCATGGCTTGGAAGGGCAAAAGAGGTTAGTTCTTGTACATGCAAGGTTGAACGAAAAGGTTTTTCATCCGCTGCGAGACCGGCATCAAGCATTTCTGTCTTTTTCTGAACAGGGAGTTACTAGATCTTGTCCAAAGGTGCGCACAATATGGAGAAAGCAATTCTGTTTTACTGATTGGTCCAAGAGGTAGTGGAAAGTCCCTGGTGAGTTCTCTTAACCCTTTAACTCCTAGAAGGGATCAACTTGTAACTTCTCCCCACGACAGCCATACACGACAGCCATACATTATCTTACTTCAAATTCTCATTACTAATTTACAAGAAAATGTGAGGCAGCCAGAGGGGAGAATTAACAATCAGATTTTGGTTGTTAAAGGGTTATTAATAACCGCTATTTTGTTTTCTTGCAGCTGGTGAAAAAAATCCTTGAAGAATTATCTAAAACAAAAGGAGTGAAGCAGAACCTATTAGAAGTGCATTTAAATGGTAATTAAGCACCCACAGTGCAAAGTTCATATAGACTGACACTGGATGGTAGATAGCTCTCTGTTTTGTGCTCCCTGAGGTTCTTCGATAGAGTTTACTTTTAGAAGTAAGATGCAGGATTGTAGAAATTATATTCAGTTTTAAAAAGAACAAGCAATTATACTAAAGAATAAAGGGGGTAAGTTTCTAAAGAAACTGTGGTGCTGCATCGGAGGGAGAGTATAACAGGTAATTTAGTGTTAACAACTGAGTTGAAAATGTAAATTAGCCACTGTAAAGGGTAAAAAGGCTGACGTTGTGAGCGTTAGCCCTTCATCAGAGTTCAAAACTTCAGCTTTTTTAACCTTTACAGTGGCTAATTTATGTTTTCAACTCAGTTGTTAACACTAAATTAACAATTGTACTAAAATTTTGGATTGTTATTTATAAGATGCAAATTAGGATGTGATGCATTTTTCTGCAATTCTGTATATCTCTTCATAACCAACTAGTGTTTCAACTGTATGGACAAATTTTGCGTGTATTTTTTTCTTCTTCTCCTCTGTCATAGCCAAACTCTATTAAGGGTGAGACTATTGATAAATAATCTCAAAAACTGTATTTTTTGCCGGTAGGTCTTGTTCAAACAGATGACAGATCAGCTTTATTAGAAATAACAAGACAACTACAATTGGAGAACACAGTTGGAGACAAAGTCTTTGTAAGTAAGCTTATTGAATTAACCCCCTGTTACTGAAATTTGCAATAATGCAGCAATCAATTTGAAGCTTTAATGTCCTTCCCCCCCATTCTTCCGGCCAACCACTTTGCATTTGAACTTTTAGAGATTAATTTGTTCAGATTCTGCCCCTGCCCCCACCACCCCTGGGGCCAAAATTGTGTTTAAATGCCCTGCTCAATGCCTGTTTTGATTACCAATATTTTTGTTTTGTAAGAGGCAAGGGTAGTGATTATGACTCTCTTGTAATCTTTGCTTTTAACTCCTCTACATCAAAAGACAAAACACACTTGTTCCGCTGGAGAGACTAAACAGTTCTGGTTCAAATTTCCCACCCCACCCAAGCAAGGCTCATATTCTTCAGGGACCAGGGGGGAGGGTGTGTTGGAGCTAAAAGTTGATCAGTATATATTAGCTTACAATTATGGCTTTTGGTTTCAGGGCTCTTTTGCTGAAAACTTTGCTTTCTTGCTGGATTCACTGAAGAGTGGTAAGTTTTTTTTACTGCTTTTTACAAAATAAAAAATTATATGCCTGAAAAAATTTAAAGGTTACATTAATTAATTTCTCAGAAATGAACATTTTGTCCATATTATTGTATAACACACTACTTATAATCATGGTTTTATTTAATGTATCCATTTTACATAATTTCAGGTCTTGCTTTTCTATGGCTAGCAGTTTTAAGTGCCCGGTACAGAACTCGCTAGTTGATTTGCCACCTAGAGTGATATTTTTGAGCACTTAGTTGTCTACAGTGACACTGTGAGCATTACCTCCCTGTGAGGGGCTCTTGGGACATACTCCCTCAGAAAATTGTGGAAAAATGAAGTAGCTTAACATGTATACCTCCTCATATACACTTTTTTTATCCAGGTGGAGAGGAGAGCCAGTCAATCCTGTTTATACTGGACGAGTTTGACCTGTTTACAAACCACAAGAACCAGTCCTTGCTGTACAATTTATTTGATGTGTCACAGTCAGCCCAGACTCCAATATGTGTTATAGGACTTACATGCAGACTGGTAATATAATCACAAAATTGTGTATCCAGCAAAGCCATGCTATACTTAAAGGCTTTGATATGTTTTTATAGGATGTACTTGCAGACTGGTAATGAAATGACGACATGGTTCTTATCAGTCAATCAGGACATGTACACGACCATTTGGGCTATTAGTGTTCATACTGAGGTACAAGAACATGATCAAGGTCTAATCTTAATTTGTTTCTCACGCAATTTGTAGTTTTTGATTCCTTGCTATTGTTTTTTTCCTCAGGATGTTGTAGAGCTGCTGGAAAAGAGAGTGAAATCAAGGTTTTCCCATCGCCAGATTCATCTTTTCATGTCAGAGACCTTCGAAGATTATTTGCAAGTAACAAGGTGAGGTCTGATCTTTTTGTTCTAATAGTGGTGTCTAGAGCAGTTACTTTTCAAACAAAATGATTTATTTACTAGAAAAGTAAAGGCAAGTGACAAATTGTTATATCTTTATTTATTTATAATCATTCACCATTTATAGGTGCTAACAATTGAGAGAAAAATCTTCTGTGTTAATTTAATAGTTAACCTTTTGACCCCTAAGAGTGAGGAGCATCTAGTTTCTCCTCACAATATCACCCTGGAATCACACACTAATGTTGTTGTGTCGTCTAGACTCAGTCAAGTTACTTCTTTCATTGCTATTGCTATTGCTCAACTGAATTTTATTAAAGAATCAACAAGCTATATTCACAATACAGTACTAGGAATCAGTAATACTACTTTTACATAGGAATGTACTTTTACAATCATGTACCGATCGTGTCTTACAGGATATAGCGTGACTATAGTAACGCTTAGGTAACGCAATACACTACAAATGTCATGAGAATAGGGGAAATGATCACCTACCAGGGAAGCTCTTGATTGTTAAACAAATTCTTGTTGTCAGCACTCAAGGAAATTTATTGAGAAAATTATAGAGAATATTCTAGCTGATGTTATGCCCAATTTTTTAAGGTGGCTGGTTACAGTTTGGCTAAGCTGTGACAAGCAATATTTAGCAAACTTGTGAACCAACTCTCCCCTTTTGCATTTAAAGGATTTCACACCTGGGTTGACAAAAGGATGGAAGTTCACAATAGTGGGTGCAGCATGGTAATAGTTATTAATATGCTCATGTTATGGGAAAACCCCATTAAACAGTTTTTGTGGATGCTCTTGAAAATCCTTATAATAGATATTTTTTTAACCTCAAGATTTTCATTTTTGCGGTAGGGCCACCCTGTTAAGCAAATTTCAATAAATTTGGAAAACTGTATCCAGCCACCTTTAATGTCAATGACACTCTCAGGCATGATGTTCAAACTGTCCTTACACAATTAGGTTGGTGATAGCCAATCACTTTAAAGAATTTTGTTATCACCAGTGATAATAGTTTTATTTTGTGGTGGTGGACTCACACTTTACAGGATATTAATTGAAAACCCTGCATGACCTTTTACATCTTTTGCCTCAGAACAGTTTTGGCGTTACCCTCAAATTTCAAGGATAGGCAATTTGTGCAAGCCTGGAATTCCCACATTGAGGTACAGAAAGATTCTTAATTATAGTGCAAGCCCTTGTAAGCAGACACTCCACAATGAAGGTGTTAGTAAGTGGCTGGGGTGTAGGCTTCCTATAGCATTAAATTTTGTTCCTGTAAGAGGTACAAGTGATAGATAGGCATCACAATGAACACTGGATGTGTAGAAAGAAAGATTTTTTTCTTTTTGCCACAAGGGTGAGATATAGAGAAACTCTGAGTCTTTATGAGACTACATATTAAGATTATAGCAATTGTCCAACTAGTCCACTTTGGGCTGATTTGTCGGCATGGAGATGAGCATCCAATTTTTCATTACATTTTCTGGTGACTGTCATCCTTAGGAGCTGTTAGATAATGAAGAAGCTAAAGCTGTATTGATGAGACAATTCAGCATAGCAAAAGATGTAAGGAACTTGCATCGTTTACTGGTGAGTTGAAAATTACTGATACTTTTCAATGCTGATTGCTATGCACATTCTCATAAGCTGCAAGAGCAAGTTATGAAGATACAAAAAATCTTCAAAATAGCACTTAAGGTGCTCATTTTAAATTAACCCTTTCACTCTGAGGAGTGACCAGAAAGGAATTTCTCTATACAACATTAAGCATTTGACCCCTTCAAGTGATCACCATCAATTCTAATTTCTCCTCATAATATCACCCTTGAATCAAATAGTAAGGTCAGGAGAATAAGCTCTAGATTGTTTGAGAAATTCTCCCTGTCAGCACTTTAGGAAAAGCCTAGAGAACAGTATGGAGAATTTGCAAACTGATTTTAGGGTTTAAACAGTTAATACATTTTCAGTGAGAAAGGTTTGGAGAAGAAAGAAAATTACCAACTGGGTGATTTCATTTGACTTCCACTAAATTCTCACAGCTAAGATTGTCATAAAAGTATATTGGAATGTGTGGAGAATTGATATTTAAATATTAGGAGTGAAAGGGTTAAGATGGCAACAGTTTTTGAAGGGCAGGACTTATGCAAGGGAAGTTCCTGAACTTTTTTTCCCAAACTGTGGCAAAATATAATTATTTATTTGCCATATAATGACTTGGCATGAACAATTTTTATACAAGGCTGACTCTTAAAGTTTTCTTGACAACACAATTGAGTCGTAATTATTTTTCCAAAGCTAACATGATCACATACTGAAAAAAAATAAGTTCATGTATAAATGTGCAAATTGAGGGAGGTGTTAATGTAAGGATTTTACAGTATGAGTTGTTGAAAATACAGTTGCCCTGACTCATAATATACATTTTATGCTTTAGACTGTTCCGGTTTGCAGTATTTCTGAAGATCATCCATTTATAGAACCAAAGGACTTGATGGATGCACAAACCAAACTTGGAATTGACTGCAAGGCAGCAATGTTGTGTGGTAAACTACCTATAGAGTTTTATCCTGCTTTCAAGAAACTGCAAATATTTATATTAGCTATAGATTTCACAATATGAAGTGCTGTCCACTGGTTTTAGAATGAGTCAGCCTAATAGTCATCAAGATAAAATCATCAGTGCTCCAATTCACAATTAGAATCCATGGTGCTGTGTGTCTGTTTAATAACAGATCACAGAAGACATCAAAATGTGGTTAGAAGTGGCACAGACAGCACAGCTTAGTGTGTTCCTACTGCATTTTGATATCATCTGTGATCTATAACTGAACAGACACAGGGCAACATGCAATCTATTTGTTTTATCCAATAACAAAGCAAAGTTTGAAAATAGTGACTCTATCTGTGCCCCTGTCCTCCTGGTCATAAGTAGGAACCAATCAAAAGGAGTGTACAATTCTGCTTTTTATGTGAATCTCTGTGATCAATCTTTCAAGCTGAGTCTTGTTTCACTTGCTACAGAACCAGAAATTGGTATTTTCGTGCCAAAGTTTACATCCTCTTGAAATTTTTAATGGGAAGAATATCATGCCTTGAAGACAACATCAAATAGGAGTATATTTAATAAAATGAATAAATTTGCATTTATTGGTAATCTTTTGTAGGAATTTCTGTGCTGGAGTTATGTCTTATCATTGCTATGAAGCATTTGATCACACTATCAGAAGGAGATTCTTTTAACTTTGAGATGGTTTACCAAGGTATTTTAGAATCATCATTAGCTTTATCATTGCCCATCATGCTTTGGGAAATATTTCCCCCTCCCCCCCCTCCCCCCACTTCTTCCTTCAAAAATTATGTGTAAAATTATGACACTGACTATGTTTTGGGATTCTAAAAATTATCCTTCCCTTTGGAAAACTGTTTGTAACTGCTCTAAACTTTTACCAAGGACACTGCCACTTTGAATCTTGCCATGGCAAGTAATTCAGCTTTCCACCCTCTCTTTTTGCATCAGTTCATTAGTCAAGGTATTAAATTAATTAGGTTCCTTGTTTATTTGCAGAATATCAAAAGTTCGCTCAAAAGAAAGGATTTGCAATTCAATCTTTTGAAAAACCGGTTGTTCTAAAGGTTCGTGTTATCTATCAGCAATAAACCTACTACAAAAGTAAAATCCCACATCAAAATGCCACGTCATCAGTTTTGGTGGTCAAAGTATGAGAAACATTAACATATATACAATGTTATGTTATGTTATGCAAGATTTAAACTTGAACTTTATCTCCAGTGACCATTTTAGGATTTGAAGTTTCCAAATGGGAGTTTAAAGAGATTTATTGTTGCACCTGTACATGTATATCAGCTGATTCACCAGTTTCTTGTGTTTTAGGCATTTGAACATTTAACAGCATTGGAGTTTGTGAAGTCAATTGACAGTATTGCAAAAAACACCCCTAAAGAATACAGACTTGTCACTTTGCTAGTTGATCCAACACAGATAAATGATGCACTACAGAGATATCCTGACTGTCCAACAGAAGTCAAACAGTGGGCTACAAGTGCCATTGTATGAGTATGCTTTGCTGTATATATTACATTTCCTTGAGGAAAAAGCTCTATCATGGAAACTTTGTCAGGCTCTGAATATATTTTTGTACTTTATGAATAAATGTTTCTGCTGATTTAAAATCAATTTGTTAGTCTCTTCACTTCTTTTTTAACTTCTAAGCATCCTGTTCAAGCTTTCTTAACCCTTTCACTCCCAAGATCTAATTAGTAATTTTCCTTACTATCTGCCATACAATTCTTATGTTAGTTCAGAGAATTTGGTATTGGATCCACTAATGATCCCATGATTGATATTCTTCTCGATTCTCATCACCTGCCTGCTTGATATTGTATTGATATTGTAAGGAGAAATTCTGTCTTGGTCACTTGTGGGAGTGAAAAGGGTAATTACTTCTCTTAATTCAGCTTCACTTCACACTTCCCTTGCTCCTAATTACTTTAGTACAGGGTCCTCATTAAGTGCCAGCTGTTAGCTTAAATGAAGTTACCTCAAGTACTGAGCCGCCTGCTTTGCGTGAAATAATGTGCGTAAGTTATGAACAAGGAGAACTACACCTCTGCACCATGCTGAGAAAGGTATACTGTACCCTCTTCTAGTTGCTCACCTAGACAGACCAAAATTTTGTAACCTATGGGACTCAACTTTGATTGAGGCTCTTAGCCTATCAGAGCAACATGGAGAAAGAAACATCAAGGAGTAAATTGAAAATATGTAAGCATAGAGAATGATTTCTCTGCATTTTACTTGTATTTTGCGACACATTTGCCTTTATTAGGGTGGTAGTGGAGTAGGCCTTTACTTACACTTGACTTTCTTAAAGCCTTATGGTTCATGTGGGGTTTTCTACCTTGTTATGTTAGTCAGTACTTCACAATTACATTTTATGCGAAAAAAATTGGTAAAAATATGTATCATAACTCCCATAAGTAAAGGCCAAGAAGTGGCGTGATTTCATGTGGCTGTGTGCAGACTTTAGTTGTGAAAATATAAAAGGGAATGATCAGTTGAACAAAGTGTTGAGTACTTCCTATTTTTCTTTCATACTTATATCCCTCTTTCAATTTCACTCTTGTTTAAAAATAACAAACTGAGTCACCAAAGAAAATTTCAAAAGTGTTTTTGGGGTCAAAATTAACCGCATCTCCACTTCGTCCGCCATCTTTGATATGATGGGGGTGATAACTGACCGAAGAGATGCCTACTTGGAGGCTCATATCGAGATTTAGCCAATAGAATTCTAGAAAAGTGTTAACGAGAACCAATCAGATTGTTGCGCGGGAAACATCAACCAATCACCAGTGTAACAAAGTAGCGGGAACAGGCTGCAGAAACTTGCGCGTTATGTTTGTTGAGATGAAAGAAAATATATGAACTTGAATTTCTACCTCTTTTATATGACGAGAGGTTAGCGGGAAAGTGCGGATTTTTTCTCGCTCCCTCATGGAAGCTTTCCGAAAGCTTGAGAAAATTGGAGAAGGAACATACGGCGTTGTCTATAAAGCAAAAGATATCGAAACAGGACAAACGGTCGCTTTGAAAAAGATTCGGTTAGATGCGTAAGTAGTACAAAGTTTTGTGCATGCTAACCATCGGTTCATCCCTGGAATTTCCAATATTTAGTTTCACTTTAAGGTCTATTCGAAAATTAAGGATAGTTTGACTAAAACTCTTCGTGTTTTTTGCAGTAAAATTGAGGAAAATGGCTTTAGTTTCTTTAAAAGCGTGGGGATAAACGTGGAAACCTGCGAACGCTCATTGTGAGCTGGCATGAGTTGTTTAGCCATTTATTTTGTAGGCTAGTTAAAATTGCGTTACCTTGCATTTTTCTCTCAGGGAATCTGATGGAGTTCCAAGCACAGCAATAAGGGAAATTTCTTTACTCAAAGAACTAAATCACCCAAATGTGGTGAGGTAGGTGAAAATAATTGAAAGCTGTAACTGTTGTGGTTGTTTAGACCTGTGGTTTCTCTTGCCTTGAGCTCACTGCGATTAAAACAACGGCAATCAAATATTGAAGACACTGTCGGTGACTATCGTCAAATGGTACGAAAAGAAAATGCTTCTCTAAACACCAAATAAAAATACCAAAAGTCCTGTAGGAATTTTGTTAATGAATGAATGAGTGGCGAATGTTGGACTCGACCAAAATGTAGTTCAATTTGTGAAAACCACCCAAAGAGCGTAGGATTATTGTCGTGAAGCCTCTAGAACATCTCAGACGAATACGTTATTTAATTTTACGATTGTATTTCAACTTCAGCGCTTTGTGTAGCATTTTACAGCTAGGGAAAAGAAAACTATTTGTGGGATCTTCGTGTGTCCTTAATTTGTGTCGTGTGATGTCCATTGCGATGTTTTTCCTTATGTTAATTGGGTTCCCTCTTCTTATGAAATCCCACCAGAGTCACTCAGCCTCCATTTAACGAAACTATTTTCATACATTTCTCTTAAGTCAGGCTTTTTATAGTTAGATTGAGTGCTGGTAATCTCATAGCACTGCATCTGAGAATATTAGGCTGATTTCGATAGCCATTGCGTTCGCTATAATCTCTCAGATTGTTCATTTCGTTAGAAAGTACATAAATAGCGCTCACTGTCTAATTTGACCTGGGGTCAAACGGTAGAGTAAGTTTTCAAGGTTGATATTTTTGATAAGCAAAAGGAAAGCGACAAAATCGTTCCTTGTCATCTATTGTTTGAATTACACCACCATATGTATTATACCCACGTGTTGACAATGGTGTGAACAATGGAGCTAAGCTTGCCCCTTTTTCACAAATGGACAACTCCTTGTAAAATATCGGGATTCAACAATTGAATTCAATTCATTCCTCAACTTGCAGTTTTGGTATTGTTGTTTCTTTTTCTCTATTGTCATCTTAATCACAGATGGAACCTAGGTTTTGTCTCAGTTGCATTAATAATATTAAAATAATAAATATTACATCAATAATGCTGATAATCTTGATGAAAGTAATCTTGTTTTACTGTCTGATTGGCTGTACTGTAAAAAAACCCTGTCAAAACATAAGGAACATAAGCAACATGCTTTCTTTTGTCCAAAAAGCTGATTCATCTGAAGATTTGTATTGCTAAGTTTTAAAACTTTGGGAGGAATTTGGAGGCAGTTGTAATCTTTCTTTCATTCACACAGATTGTTGGATGTGGTTCCCAGTGAAAAGAAGCTCTTCATGGTGTTTGAGTTCCTTGATAGAGACCTTAAAAAATACATGGACTCAGTACCTGCTGGTGGAATTTCACTACCTTTAGTCAAGGTAACATAATTTCCATCAGTGAAATTCTACTATGCCTCAGTGTTAACTGTGTTACCTGCCTCAAATTACTTTTTCACCTGCAAAGAATCAAATTCCAGACCTTAAAGTTTTCCTCTTGGATGTTCTGCAACTGAGCTACAGTGAACCCAATGATGAGCTAGGTCATTATTAGATCTATATGTCACATGCAGCCTGCTTACTGTAACGATCAGCTATCTTTTTGAACAGCCTAAATCCATTAAACAATTATGCTGAGATTAACCATCTGTGCCAACTCTAAAACTTTTTATTTCCAGAGCTACCTCTATCAGTTGTTAAGTGGTATTGCATTCTGTCACTCACACCGAATCCTACACAGAGATCTAAAGCCACAGAATCTTCTTATAGACGCTCATGGATCCATAAAGCTGGCAGATTTTGGTCTTGCTAGAGCTTTTGGAGTACCAGTTAGATCTTATACACATGAAGTAGTAACCCTGTGGTATAGGGCACCTGAAATTCTCTTGGGTTGCCGTTATTACTCCACCCCCGTAGATGTGTGGAGTATTGGATGTATATTTGCCGAAATGGTCAGTACAGCTGCTTTTTCCCCATAACTGCCTCTTATCCCATCTTTAATGTGTTCTCTTGTTTTTAAACATACCCATTGACTTTTCACAGATAACCAGAAGAGCTCTTTTCCCTGGAGACTCAGAAATTGATCAGCTATATCGAATTTTTAGGTAAGTTAAGAGAACAAACAAGATTTGAAACATATCTCCAATTAATACTGTAAAAATTCTCAAGGGTTAGTTTTCTTCAAACCATCACAGAACTGACACCATTAGTCTCTTAATGTTAATTGATAGAAGATTCTTATCCAAAGAAGAGATATTAAGTAGTGTGGCACTTTACTTCACAGAACATTAGGAACTCCAGATGAGAGACTATGGCCAGGAGTATCTGAGCTCCCTGATTATAAAACATCTTTTCCCAAATGGCCTGTGCAAAATCTTCTCCAAGTTATTCCTGCTTTAGGTCAATCAGGTGCTGATTTATTACAGGTGAGGCTAGGGGATATTCACTGAATGATGAAACAATAGGAAAAATTGATAAGAAATCATTATCACTCATTTTGCAGGCTAAAATGGAGATCAGCTCATGTGATTGATCAGACTGTTTTGTGAACCTTTTCTTTTTTTCAGTTTTAATTCTCAAAGCCCTTCAAACTGATAACAATGGTAACAAAGTATATGTTCTTGGGTACAAATATTTCGTTTGAACCCTCCCCTAGCAGCATGGGCTAAACTGACTCGTAGTCAGTTACTTCAAACATTAATTCAGTTGTTTTATTGGTTGTAAAGGTTTATTCAGTCCAAAGTAAACACTTCATGATCTTTTAAATGAAAGAAATTCATAACTTAATTTATCCAACTCTGCTTGTGAGATAATCATCAACAGTGCATTTTTGTTATTACTTCCTTGCAGCAAATGCTTAAATATGAACCAACAAGTCGCATATCAGCCAGGAATGCTCTAAGTCATCCTTTCTTTAGTGATGTAAGAAGAAGTGCACCAAAATCATGAACCACTTTCAAGGTTCTCCATCTTCCCCACTTCCATAACTAGAGGATGACAGAATAACTATTTATAACTAAAAAAGTGTTTATAAATGTCACACAAACTTGTTCCTGGAGCTCAATACTCATGGAACTCACCCAAACAGCATGGTGGCCATAGTTTTGTGCTATTTCAGATAAGGCACTTTTCTTCTACTCTCATTACAATATTGTCACAAGAACATCATTTTAAAAACTGCAGTAGAAATGCAGTTTCCATACTTCTTTCTTTACAAGATGAATTAGAATTATTGCAAAGAAATGGCTTAGAGTCAGCTATATTTTAAAGCCACTTCAAATGCTGGTGCTTTTAAATTTACTATTTTGTGGAATTTCTGGTCATTAGCTTTACATTACTCATTGTAAATACTTGTACTCGTGTGCCTGTTGTACTGTAGATACATGATACCTTAAGATGAAATGTTTCCATTGTATTACTTAATTTAAAGTACTGATGAAAGGCACTAACAGGAGTGCAAATATTTGAAAGAAAATTGTACATGTATGACAACAGAAATAATACATTATATAATTCAAAAATAAATATTTCAAAATATATAATGTTCAGTTTTTTTCAAAGACAAACTTGTGGTCTCTGAAATATTTGCTTCTGAGCACTTAACAGTATTTGTTCCAAATGACTCCAAGAATCAGCATCCATCCCACTCAAGGCAAGAGTCTTGAATAAAATATACAAATGCTAGCCAAAAAGTTATTTTATTTAAAAACTCTAAATATATTACTGACATGGACAATTTTTGCAAGTCCTATACAATTCTCCACATAAAAATAAGCCATTAACAGATCTGAATCTCTTCTAAATGCTCTCAGTGCTGGCAATGACTCTAGGTCTCTCAAAACAACCAAGATTTACTGCAATCAAGATCACAATAGGTATATAAATGTAATGAAAACTTGACCTTTTTTTTTTTTTTTTTAACAGCTAACACAAACAAGAATTTTGACTGGGAAGGGCAAAACTATTAAACAAATAAAAAGAAATACCTTGATCAAGAAAGGTGTGCTTCAGCAAAGATGTGCAAATAGTAAAATACCAAAGGAAGAACATTCTTTAATTAATACTACAAACAAAAAAAACCACAGCCAGATTATAACGGCATTAATGGCTAAATAAACATTCTAGAAATGTTCCACAGTCTTTTTGTGATGAGAATCACAAATTTAACCAATAAACCAGAAACAAGAAATACTTGATTGCCTTGTTTTCCTCCAAAAAAGGATTTGGTCACACCTTGTGTTAACACTACTTGCAGTTACATATTTCCTTTCAAAAAAACGAGGGAATTCTACGGAAAATACAAAATTAGTTGACAATATTGAAATATGGTTACAATGAACTATCACAGTAGCCGAGTGTATACTATATACATGTGGCATCTTATAATAGCTTTTAATTACTTTTGAATTTGAAATTTGAAGTGCAAATAAATACATTGCAAAGGGTGTTTGACAAGACATCAGAGAATGTCATGTGCAATCAAACATTTTAATGGAATTTTACTTCATGAATCTGTTCATTATGGCAAACAATGTTTATTGAGGACAAACTTTGCGAAGAGAGAAAAATTGTCCACAATTGCTCTAAAAGCAAAATCCCACATAGCTCTTAAGATGAAATTAAATATACACATGAATGTTTCTGTACATACTCCATTAACTGCCACACCATAATTTTTTTTGTGACTTAGTGCAGAACTTATTCAGAGGCTGTGTTGAATTGAGGGCCTTGCCTGACTAAATGTCCTCATATTTCTTAAAATGAATAAGAGTAAAATAGGAAAATAACCAAAATATCCTTCATTGTCTTGATGGAAAAATGCATTTGCCTTCTGCGCTGACTTGCTCTTCCTTGGCAAAAATGCCTAGTCACTTTCCCCTTTGTGGTCTGATTCTGAGAACTGCATTAACACTAGAGGAACTGTCCTTTATTTGCAGTGAAGACATTGTTTTTAGAGAAATAAGACCAAAGTGTTCCTCATTTGTATATAAAAGTTTTATTCCCTGAATAAGCTTACTGTATTCAAGTAAAATTGTTATGTTATGTATTAAGTTCTCCCTCATTTGAGAAAAGTGAAGAATATCTTTCTCTTATCTTCAAATTAGCTCAAAATCATCATCTTTAATATTTTATTTAAACAAACATGTACTTGTCTCTTCCCAAAGATTTATTATCTAATGTTAACTTTCAGCTGCCCCTTGCTGTACACTGTTATTATGGCTTCAGTACACTGACCATGTGACACATACAAAATTCAAAGAAACATTTTTTTAACTACAGTTATAATAATGTAGCATTGTCTAAATTTTGTGGCACTTCTGGTCACCACTATCAAGGACAAAACCTTCCAGATAATACCTTCTATGAACAAATAGGCTAGCCCAAATCAGGACAGCATTGTCTACTGAAGAAAAACAGGAAAGACATATAAAGCAAGCCAATTCAAATCAATCTTTTTTCCAGTGGTTTCAATAACTTTTTCCATAAGTAGCTGGCAGTTGTGTAATAGGTGGGTATGCCATAAGACAAAATCCAAACATGAGAACCTGCTTGAAGCATAGACAGACAGCTGTCTTGAAGACGGCAATGGACTGCCAGTGACCAACTTATTTAAACACCTGCTTAATCCAGGGTTTCCATTGGCATACTATAGTTGTAAAGTTTAGGCTGAAAACTCTTTGTCGTTATGGTCACTCTGTATTCATGGTTACCCAGGTACAAAGACTAAATGTTGGCAGCCATTAGAGTTGATTTTCTTTCCTAAACAAAATCCAGGCTCCCAATGTAACCATGAACTGATAGCAATTGCATGATAGGTCTAACTTTTCTAGAGAAGTCCAATTCCAGTACACATTCTCACTGATAAACAGAGAGTGTGTTTTGCCAAAGTATTTAAAGTTGACATTCATACAGTAGTCATGGTCATACTGTTGCTTGAGGATTTATCCACCCATGGATAAGTGGCTATAATAGGTGGGGCATTAGACACAGGACCATTGACACTTGACAAGCTCTGTGAGTGTGATGTGGGGTAGTTTTGGAGAATCTTCTGCACAGGGTTACCACTTGATGAGACGACAAGACCGTCTGGGTAGTCCTTTAACAGTTCTGAGAAACGTTCCTTCACACACAGTGCAGAGAGTCTGGCATCTCCATCTTGATCCCAACAATCTTCTATAGTTTCCTTCAATGTTCTTAGACCCTTTAAAGTTAGAGCAGATTTAAGCATTGATTTTGTTTTTCTTGTCTCCTCTTAAAGCTGCTTATCTTCACCACAGTCAATTAACAAGCAAAACATTACATGGGACAAATTCAATCGTCCTGACTGAACTTGCCTTGTTGATAAAGGATTTGACATAAAGCATTAAAAGGTTCCATTGAAGAGTTACCAAATAAATTGTCAAATCTTTCCCTGTTTGTCCTTTTGTGTGAGTGTTTGTTTTTGTCTGTTTTTCATTTTGTTGTTGTTGTTGCTTGACTTTGTTTTTTAATGTCTCCAAGATATGTAACAGTAAAGCTTCCAGTGCCTCTCAAAGTTCTTAAGACACAGGATATTTCACCAAGGAAATAAAAGCAATTTCAAGTAAATGGCAGATTTCTCACAAAAAGTCTACACTTAAACAAATGCATTGAAAACTTAAATACATGGGAAAATAAAACTCTCATCATCTGATAATCAAGATGAGAGCAGTCCAAAAAAGACTGTTGTTAAAGACAGAGATTGATTTTTTTACTACCTGGGCAGAAGTTCTTAACAAAGGTAAATGATTGTTACTTCATACTCCATTTCTGATAATTACTTCTAAGTTTGTTCAACTTTTGTTCCCTTTCACCAACAACCTTGTTTTTCAAGGGTACCCTCCCTCATGTGATCTGACCATATTAACAACTGCATTTAAAATTACTAACTGGATGATTATGTTTCCACACATCTGGAAACCCTGGCCTCTTCTTCTGCCTGGCAACATAATCCTGGATGTCTTCACTTGTGATGGATGAGCCCAGCTCAGCTTCAAATGGTGGCCTGAAGTCTGGCACAGGCTCATCTGGAGGGGAAAGAAGATGAATGTTCAGAGGGACACATTTCAAAAAAATAAGTAACTAAAAGAAAACTCCAAAAAATTCTTGCTTAAGTCTACCTTCAAGACCAATAACCATTTGCAAAGCTGTTGAGCCTTTATTTCTATAGCACAAATTGACTAGGAGTGTCTACTCCCAAATACAACAAACTCCATATCATGATTTCTCTTTGGAATGGCTAATTGTACAGTTTCTGAAGCATACGTTTCCTTTAACAGACAGAAGAGCAGTACCAAACTTACTTCCATAAATGTCAGACCATCTCATTCCTACTTCCCAGAGCACAATTGACATGGCATAAACATCGATTTCTTTCAATGATGCCTCACACTCCCTTAAGTTGACAGCTCCATCTAAAACTTCAGGAGCCATATAACGAAGTGTTCCAACCTACAATAGAAAATGTCTGAGCATCACAAGGGGAAAGTACATGGCTGTTGATGATCCTGCCTTACTTGATTGAATTGTGCAAACTTACCTTGAATAATTTACCCTGTAATGAGAATGCATATTAAGGAAAGGTCTCTCTGCATCTGTGACCTGAGCTTTCAAAGCTTTCATTGAACTGATATGTTATGAGGTTCTGTACTGAAAAGACAGTCCGTACCATTTTCAGCATTGTTCAAGTTTGAAATTATGCATATCTTAGTTATCAGTCATACCTCTGTGATTATGTCATCACTTCCTTTAGTAGCTCCAATTTCTGGCATTTTCATGGCAAAACCAAAGTCCGACAGTACACAAGTGATGTTTGGACTGACCAGTATGTTCTTACTGCTTATATCACGGTGAACAAAACATGGTTTACCTTCATTGTTATCTGAAAAAAAAAAAAAAATAGTGAAAATGTCATGATAAACATGCTTGGTTACTGTAAGAAGGGTCTCAAGGAAATGACATCACATATGGTTCTAAGGAGAGGGAGAAACAAACCTGGAAAACAAAAAGACAGTAAATTTGATCTACCACAAATGAAACCAGAAACTTAAAGCTCTAAAGGGGTAGAATTTCATTCCATCAACTAATTAACTACAAGTGTACTCTAAGTAGGTGATAAAAAATGCCAAGAACTGGTCAAGTTACAGCTGCAATGATTTCAAGGAAAAATTACAGGTTACGCAATTGAAGTACAAAACTTAGGGCTTGAACAAACCAAAAGAAGAAATTTATTGGATCAACTTCAAATCTTGCATGAAATAAATCAGATTCTTTCACAGGAAAGAAGAACCTAAAGAACCAAAAATGACCAAAATTTTAACCCTCTAGTCTCTGAGAGACACAGGTGTGAATCCCATCAAAGCCTAAATATTTTCTTTAGGGCTCTTTTCTGCAATTGCTAAAATTGTAGTTAGCCTGTGAGAATCGTTACTTTACTACATCAAAGTAAAGTAAATTTGAGGTTACTAAAATACATTAAGAGGACATATTGAGCCTTTCACTCAAAAAATCTTTTTACTAATTCCTCTAATTGTGTACTATTCTTAAGATGTTATTTTGCAGAATTTGGTATTGAATCAACTAAAAATCCCCTTGTTGATATTTTTCTCTATTTCCATCACATGTGTGCTTGATTATGTAAGAAAAAATTGTGTCTTAGTGAAAGGATTAAAGCTCTTGATTTACCATCATTGTGTAAGTAAGCCAGCCCAGATGACAGTGAATGGCCAAGACTGCACATTTCTTGCCAGGTCACAGTGTTACACTTTAGATACTGCAACAGGGAACCTTTACTGTGGTATTCAGTCACAAGCAAATATTCTGGTCCATAACTTTGCTGCCTTTGAGTTGCAAAATAGAACTGCAATAAAAAAAATATATAAACTTGTCGATAGTATGAAATTAACTTAGGGAATAAATGCCATCTAGTAGCCTCAGGTGGAATTTTCTGGACTACTCAAAAGATTAAACTGAAGATTACAGAGGGTAAAAAAAATAATCAATGAATTTGAAAATGTCATCAAATTTGCACATATTTTTTTAACTGTTTAGCAGGGAACCCTTATTTAAGTAATATTAGATCACGGTATTAGATTTTTCCTCCTGCTGCTATACAGAATTATTCAACTGAATAATCCTCTGTTAATTTACTCTCATCATTCACTATCCCATATATAAATGGACACCCTGAACATGCTGCAGCAACTTTATTTGAAACAAGTACAAACAGAACTGCTTGTCAGACACCCTTCACTCCAGCATGTTGCCTGAATTGTGCTGCCCTTTAATACAGAAAAGTCCATTGATGCAAACATACCCTTAAGATACTTGGATGTGATAACTGTCCTTCATACACCTCCCGTTCAGACTCCCACGTGCCCCTGTGCCCTGGCGGAAATACTTTGACAGCCACTACTTCCCCTTTAAGGTAACATCTCCACACCGACCCATAGCGCCCTTGTCCAACCATTTGTTCAAAGTGCAAACCACTGATGTCAAGTTCAGGTCCAGGAGGTTCCTTCTCTTCGGGGTCAGCTGGATCATATTTACTTTTAAAGCATTTAGACTTGTATGCGTAGATAACACCCACTGTCATGCATACAGCCAGAACAACAAACATAACACATGCCACCACAATGGCAACCCTGTCTGATCTATCCCCAGCAGAAGCTGTAAACCAAGGAAGTAAATAAAATGTTAAAAATTTGCTTTTTTGCATCACAATCCACACACATTTCTCTCCTGTATATGGGAAGAAATGCTGTCCAGTAATTCCTTAAGGTGTAATGGTTACAATGGTGAATGTACTTGTACTTGCTTTAAATCAAAGTCAAATTCTTACTACATTCTGTAAAGGGGGTAAGTTTCCAAAGAAACTGTGGTGCTGCATCAGGTAATTTGGTTTTTTTTTATGACATGAGTAAACAATTGAATTGACTTCCATGAAGAGCGCTAGTCATTCATCACAACAATACATCAGCTTTAACAGGTCTTTCTGTTGGCCAATTTAAATTGTCAACTCTGTAGTACTAGTACATGTGTATTTGCTCACCTGTTGACATGTCTGTTGTTGCCGTCGTTGTTGTTGACTCGGTATAATAAACAGGAGTGAAATTCCTGTTACACATGTGGATGTTGCAGCAACAAAACCCAGAGACATTATGACTTCTGAAGGCATCATAATTTGGATTTTGAATACAATCATCTTTACAGTCTCTAAAAGCCTCATTAACAGACACTTGAAAACACCCTTTCTTCAAAACTATGTAAAATGTTTCATTTCTTTCATTGACATTGTCTTTCCACAGAACGAAGCAGGAATACTCTGCAGTATCACAGGTTTCATTTCCATTCAAAATGCCCTTTTCTGGGTGGTATGATTCACATGTTACACCTTTTCCACCCTCACAAGAACCTGGAAATAGAATAAAAAGAGCCAAGAGTGTTTCATTGGGTAAAATTACAAGGGGGGAAGGAGTTAAATATTAAGTGATCATCAGTGTAATTAACCCTAGTTTGGAGGTTGAAGGACTCTCTCAATGTAACACGGGCAACACCTGTGCCACTGAGTGAATTCTCTACACATTTCTCAGAGAAAAACAGCTTATATACAGCTTTGATCTAAAAATACATCACCTCTGTCGCAGAACCAGATAAACATAAGAAGCCAAAATTGCACATGTTTATAAATTTGATGTGATCAAATCATGGCATAGTTCAATTTTTGGTCAACAAACCCATTTCCCTTGTCAAAATATGCATATGATTGTGTATCAGAAGAGGGGCCAATATTTTCTAGTATCATTGTATGTTAAGCTGCGTATATTTCGTTTATTTCTCTCACGTAAGACTGTCTGCGGTTAACATTCATTCACACCCTGATAGCTAGAGGGCAATTTCTTGTTTACTAAGAGCATCGTCAAGGAGCGATGAAAATTTAACTTTCTTGACAGTATGCCCTATCTACCTCTAGGTGAGGATGTAGACGTGGATAACTTCTGTTCCAAGATTAATGCTCCAAAATTCATTCGCCATAGACGTTCAGTCTACGAGATTGATCTCGCACAAACCCTCGAGGCCATAAAGTCTTGTAATGGATTTAATGCGGTTGTCCCGAGGAAGAATTCTTAAGCATACTAGTCAATTTACTGTCTAGATAGGTTTGCTGATGCATTCTTACCTTGGTTCACACACATCAAGGATGTAATAACGAGCAGGAATAGGAGACAGGAATCTTCCATCTCAACAAACGATCTTTACCAAACTGCAAAAGGATAAAATCGTTAGCGTGACTATAGCTTTTGATATGGAAGCACCTTGTGTGTGTCTGGGCGCCACAAAGGGCAGCAAATCGAATAGTTCTTCCATAATGCGTAAGTCCTCGAGAGACGAAAGTATATTTGAAAACAAATGCAAATTTAAGAAAAACAGTGACTTGGGAAAGCTCTAGGTCATAGTAGACAACAGATATCTTAAAACGAGAGTACTTTTGCCCGAAAAAGGGAAAGATTTTGAATTGAGACTGTTTGCTTAACATGTCTGGCTACGCGGAGTTGTCCATAAATCAAGAGCAGAGGTGATTTGGTGTTTTCGGGTTTTCGTTTGACTTCCTAAAGTCCTTCAGATATAATTTTTTGCAATAAAACGTAAGATAAATTCTACATTCAACTCTCAGAGATAACAAAAAGACGTTTTTACAGCCATTCTAAATCACATCTACTAAAGCAGCCTTCAAGTCGCCATTAGCTGAAGGGGTACAAATGGTCTCAGCTAAACGAAAAAATCGAGATTTTGGCATACATTACCAAACTCTAACCTTTCTTGAAAAAACAGCTGTACATTTGGCATGAAGAATCAACAAGACAACGCTTCGAATGATAAATATTTCCTTGGAATCAACGATGGTGTAGTAAATACAGTCTACCTCCCAACAGCGAATATTTAGCTGCATGTATTGAATATCGACAGTAACCAATCAGATGCCTCGAGGAGAGCACGTCAATCAAGAGAACCTTATCTCAGGTAGAAATTTGATCCCCTGTATAATAAATTCCTTACTTGTTATGGCTAAGCGCTATTATTTCGGAATAGCGAAATCATGCAGCTGTTTTCGGTTCTTGTGAAGACTTCTCAACTCTCTGACATGTCTTTGTAAAGACGCCAGAAACATACGTAGCTTGGTCACGTACTTAACGCAACAATACGGAGAGCTTTGTTTTCAATGGGAAGGGACGATTTGACTCTTGGAAGAATTAACAAAGATTATGTTTTTAGTCTATGGCTCCCGTGTGTCTGCGTCCTTTCGGAGTCAATATTGCCCAAACGCCATTAAACATAAAACAAATTATGTATTTCTTAACTTCGTTCTGGGTGATTTTCTATCACTGAAGACGACATTAATAGTTATGTGATGTTGAAATAACATTCAAAATGCCCTGAGGCTTGCCCGCTTAATTTTCACCAGATAAGCCGATTGATTAGACACAATAGCGTTTGTCGCGAGAGGAGGGTTGTAAACAGTTTATTTCAATATAAATCCTCGAGTAGATTCATGTTTTTCTTTATATCTGTTAATTCATCAATTCAGCCACTCATCGATTCATTCACCCCTTCATCTATGCATTCATTCCCGATCGTTCATTCACTCGCTCCATACCTCATTCATCCACGCACGCACGCACGCACTCACTCACTCACCCTCGCTCATTTATTCAACCACTTTCCAACCACGAACGCGATCGCAATGTAGACCTCATAAAAATCAAAGGGCATGATGTTTGAGTTGTGGCTGAATTTCAATTTGATCAAATTTTTCCCATAATTAAATGATCTATACTAATTTTAAGTCGTCATTTGAAAATAAAACAAGGAAATGAAATTATAGACTGTTATATTTAATTTTAGAGCAGGGGAAATGAACACGCCGAAGGAAACAAAGGATGAAATCTGTCGGTTTTTAAGAACAGAAGAACCGTCTAGTAGCCTCCGAGCAGACACTCATAATTAGCAACAGCGTTTCGGCAAAAGCGTTTCTTCGGCCGTGAGAAAGTATGAGGCAACGGAAAGAGGTCTTCAGGGGATCTAGTCTGATTCCGTCTGAGACACATTTTGATTCTTGATGTTAAAAAAAGAAAAGAAAGAAAAATAATGGTTACCCCCGGATGCCTTGGTATTTAGTAGACACTAGAAAATAAACTGAAAACTTGTATCTTATCGATTGACAACTTTTCATAACATCCGAAAAAAAATTTTTACATTCTACCTTGTAACTATATAATTATCAATTTCTTCGAAATTAAATTGATCCGACAGTAATCTTAAAGCCCTCTCAGTTTACAATTATTTTCACTATGCAAACAATTTTGCTTTCGGGTTTTGTTTGTCTTTTTTTGTCTTTTAATCCCTCTCCTTTACCTCTACCCGATTTCTCTTGGAAGAATTATATGACTAGTCAATTATTTTTAGCCTAGGGAGAGGAGGGGGGTTGGAGGATTTCGTGAGATCACATGGTTTTCAGCGGAAAGAGAGGGGAGATCAATCGTCGCTAACAGAGCAAGCCAACGTGAAGCCGTACCCTCCTCCCCAAGGTGAAACGGAAGCGAGGGAACGTCGTTCCCTTGCCTCCGTTTCACCTTGGGGAGGAGGGGTAAGGCTACACGCAGGCTAGGAAAAGTAGTGCTTTAGAAAATTGACTGCTAATGAGGGAGGGGGGGGTAATTAGAGTACTACAGAGTTTTAGGGGGGATTAGAGGGGGGTTAATTAGAATACTACATTGTTTTAGGGGGAATAGGGGTATTTTATTGTGACGCAAGCAAAATCCTCCAACCCCAACCAGGGTTAAGGCGACTCTAAGGCGACTCTAACTGATTCGAACTGAGCTAGTTCAAAATTCATTTTCTGACTCCAGAGTGGAGTAAGGTTTGACAGTGTTAGAACGCGAGGTGTAAGTAGTTCCTGACCGAGACGAAATATCATCTTCAACTCTACTACTCTCATCGCCAGTTGTTGTGGATGCAACGACATTCTTCAACTCTTCGGATTTAACATAATAAACGAGTTCATCTTCTTGGTTGTAAAAATCGTCCATATCTATATCACCAAAAATTGCCTCTCTTCCGCCTCGGGAGGGTTGCGCCTGTTTCTTCTTCGGCAACTTATTATCACCCTGTTCTTCATCTTCCGGTGGTTTTTCGCTTCCAGGGAGGCCAGAAAAATACGAAAACGAGTGCATTCTGTTAATTTCACGGGACAAAAATGAGTAACTAAATGGAAGAGACCTAAACCTAGCTAGGGCCAGGGCCCTGTCATAAGCCGTCTTGTGCTGCTCCATGCATGTGTGGTCAACTTCGCTGCCAATTTTGTTCATTTTTGTTTCTCTCGATTTCACTGGAAGCTTAGCCCTTAGCTCCGCTGTTTTGAGTAGTTTGGGTAATTTATTGTAGTAATCTTGCGCTTTTTGTTTCAGTGCATGTTTACAATGTTTATTTCTGTGGAGCCTTTTTCCAGCTGGGTCCTCGTTCCCGTTTTCCGTCAGCTCTATTCCACCCTCGTCACCAGACTGTTTTACGTCTAAATCATCGTCAGACATAAAATCGCTGCTGTATTCGTCGCCTGAGTTTCCCTGTAAAAGAGATAATAGATCCGGACTAGACAACCCTCTATGAGACTTCCTAGAACGACTTGACTTTTTGGAATCTCTTAGTCTTAAACCAGTTGTATCTGCGCCTTGATCGCCTGCTGAGTCGAACTGTCCATCCGAGACCTCATCTCCAGAATCAAAACTCAGGTCGATATCACTCGGGTCCAATCCCTTGTTTAATCGTGTCCGTTCCCGTCGCTTAGAGCGCGCGAGGGACTTGGCGTCGATAGCGTCGGTGTCGGACTCCGTCACGTGATCACTGAACACCACCTTACGCCGACTTTTCCCTCCGTTACTTCTTGCATTTTCTTGTTCATTTTCATTTTTTGTTGTCATTTGTTTATTTCCCTCTTCATTTTCACCGAAGTCATAATCGTAATCTTGGAACTTCGTATCAAAGCTCATACCCTTAATGTCCTTGGAAGTTTTATCTATTAATTTTTGGAAGTCATGCAGATTGTCTGTTTCACCGTCGGTGTTTGCGAAGTCAAAGTTAAGGGGGCTGTCTCCTGCGTCTGCCCTCATCTTCATCAAAACACGATCATTGTAAACCCGTTCGCTCATTAGATAATAACTTTCACGTCGCTTGGGAGCCCATTGGACCTGTAAATTAATAACACGTGTTCATATTCAATCAGACACACACTGGTCTCATGCACTGCAGTCGTTTGGTCCCATCACGCAGCGCGTTCTAGACGTGGTGGGAGGGGAACCCGTTGCATGACGAGACCAGACAAGGCTTCTGAAGGACACTAATCGGGAGAATGAGGGAGTAGGAGGGGAGGGTAAGTAGTTTCCTATACATTCTCTCTCTCTCTCTCTCTCTCTCTCTGCCCCCCCTAAGGTGGGGCTGCCGTGATCTACATGGTTGAAAATGCAGTGCGATTCAAAGACTGAAAAATAACACTAAATTCCCGTAAGTTAACATACCAAAACTGGTAACTTATGGGCCCCTTGTTCCCTTGCTCTGAAAAGCAAAGCTGCGCATCTCCTCTGATGATGACGTAATTCGTTTAAATCATATCGAGGCCGAGGTCTTGTTCCAAATCGAGAGGAGACTGGTGTTTTCATTGTCGGTGTTAACTTCTTCTGCGCCGTAGCTTTTTTCTTCTGCTCGATCAAAACGTCAGCGCATCGCTGGCGCTCACTCTTCAAAGCAGCTTCAACTTTCTGAGGATAACAAAATAAAAGATGATTTTTTAGAGCTTAAAGGAACGCTAACCCTCATTTTATTAGCGATACACTCAAATACTGGACCAAACGACGGAGAAAACCTCTCTTAAGACAGATTAGTGTTGTTGCTTTTTTCCCCTTCAACTAGAGATTTCAAAGTAGACAAGAGATTTCCTCCGTTGTAGCTTTCTTTTCTTTCGTCCCATTTTCATATGGAAAAATCATCAAAAACTTGTGTTCAAATGGTTACCTGAGCGTTCAAAGCACTATCACGTGCAAAAAAATAAGGGTTTATATAACAAAAGGTTTAAATCCCTCAAAGAGAACACAATTGGTTGAACTCAAGCGCGGGAAAAACGCGCGTGACCACGTCGCGAATAGTTCCTTTCTGAGTATATGATTAGTTGAGAGGAAGGGATGACTTCTTAGGACCAATCACAGAGCAAGTGCATGAGGCTCCTCAGAGATTCAAACTTGCGTGCAAGCTAGGCACTAGTACGGTACCAGACTTTGCATTAATACATTTATAGCAGCTGTGCGCATGCACGCATGAGGATTCGCGCATAAACCTAGGAATGCTTACTAATTAAGGAAGGCAAATTGTACGTGACTTACCTTTCTATAATGCTCTCCATATGTCATCTGCGCGTATTTGGCATCGAGAGCAGGAGTCATGCTGCCCAATATGCGATGACCGGTAGTAAAATGTCGGCCCTGAAAACAAAATGATATAATGATATGCATTGAATAAAAAGGTTGCTTTTTACATATGAAGCAGGCCTCATCTGCAGAGAAACAGTCCTGTCCCTCTCTGTGTTTTCAAGGAGGGACTGGTACACAAGGAATAAGTCGTTCACTCTGCAAAAGAGATCGGCAACGATACCTCCTAAGGGTTTTGGTTTGTCATCCGCCTTGTGTTTCTCGTTATCTCAAGCCTAACTTCTTCCTAAGCGTTCAATGCTCTTTTTTTGTCCTCGTCGTATCCCTTAAAACGTAGATTCATTGGAAAAGCGCAAGGGTTTGTAATTTGTTGTCCCTTATCCTTCAAACGTGTAATGTCTGTGCTGGACGACTATCCGACCCTTTTTGTGTCAAAAAAGTCAACCCATCACGGTTATTTGAAATGGAATTACTATGCGTGATGAAACACGTGGTCGACTATTATTTACAAGCTCTCTCTGACTTTGAAAGCATTTCAATCTAAACGACTGTTTCATTTACTTAGCTGAGTGTTCGCAGTGGAGCAAAGAGAGCTCTGATCCATGATAAACTAGCAAAATCTTGATTAGGAAAATTTAATTAATTTACCGCCGAAAGAAGCTGAAAGTTGAAACGCAAAGCTTTAGAGCCGGTTTACATTCAGTGTGCAGATACAAGCTATGTTCGAAGCTTTGTATTATATTGTTTACAAACACTTTGAGAGGCAAATGAAAATAAATAAAGCGCGCAGTCATTTAAGCGACCAAATTATCCTCAAGAGACTTATTGCACAAAAGATTCAGCAATTTTAAGAGAAAGATAATTGCGGAATCTTCTTAATCGAAAAGTGCCTTCCCAAGAGATTGGGGCTACTGTGGTAAGATTAAAATTTGCATCCGAAAAATACGTCAAAGAGGGCTTTATTTGCAGCGGAAGTTATTGTGCAAATAATGTTTCACTTTTTGAGGAGTCAAGCTTTCATTCTCCCCTATTTGAATAAACAACTAAGTTGTCACATTATTATATAAGCAAAACATTTGTTAGCCCCATACGGTCCCAAACATTGCAAGCGAACACTGAAGTAAACTGCGTTTGCTCAACGACTCCGTGAAAACACAATTAAGTGAACCGGTGCAGAAAATTACTCAATGCTGTTCTTTTCTTGCGTTCACTGAAAACACAGCCTTAAAAGCGTACATTGGTAATAACTTCGTGCAGCCGCGCTGTGACGTTTCAACATTTCATTCGGGTTTATCATCATCCCTGATTGTAAGGATTCGGCGTGAATAACGAGAAGAAGATCAGATAAATGTCGTTCAATTAACTTTAGGAACCTGTGTTGAACTCAACTAAGGTCTACTTGTTACCAAAAAGGTCCTTGTAAAACTTTATAGATTCAACCGGATACCTTTTTCTTTTAAAGTCTGGTGTATATAGGCTGAATTCACGAGAAATCGTTCAGTTTCCTGGGTTTTACACTAAAGCAGCTAGCAATAACTTCTAAATGAAACTTTTTTAAAGAATTCAAACTTCGAGGCCAAAGTCAAATAAACAATCACAACGAGGCTAATTACTCTCAAAACATTTGCTTCAGTTTAAAAATAGGTTACCAAAAACATTTTTTTGTCTCGACTGAGTGAAATGTTTATCTTATGGAGTTCTGTTGTTTGCTCATTCATCTTTAAACAATCTATATTTACCAAGAAAGACTGAACTTCACATCAAAAAGAGGAACAGGCACTAATATTCCTTTACCCAAGTTATTGCTTCAGAAACACGTTGTTTTTCCTATTGCTAGCTGATTAACAACCTTCTTTTTTAAATTAAAGAATCTTGAATCTAAAATATTTCCCTAACTGCTGGAAATCGTAGAGTAAAACTCAATCTAGTACTTCGTTGTCAAGCAGCGAGACTACAGTACACAAAGAAATTTCCTAACTACATACCGGCTGTGCTTTTGGTATTGGCACAAGATCTTCCAAACCAACACCTTCTGCTAGTTTCCACAACATTATGTAAAATTTGCCTGCAATATTTCAGGAAAAGACAGTCGCTTTTTAGTCAAGATTGAGATAATGTGCTGTGTACTATGTAATGTCCATTATCATTCAACGTTCTAACTGTAATCTTCATGCGTTTTGTAAGCATACACTCATTAATTCACGTGCTTAAGTGATTACACGCGCGGCAGTTAAGGTAAAGAGGTGTGGTTTGATTGGTCAACAAAAGGGTTTCATACCCAGGCTTCTGGAGTAATGGTTGCTGGGGCTCGCGTTTTGATATCTGATATCTTACGTGCGTAAGTAAAGAAGTAAATTCTTATCAGCTCAATCGTTACTTATGTTCTATTGACTTACAAACACCTTACTTCTGCGGCAAATTAACAGGTCAATTTAAATGTGCCTTGTAAAGAAAATTAACGAAAGATGAACTGTTCCTCTGTCACGAACGTCGAGCATAGAGGATTGGAACATTTGTCCTAAGGGTCAGCGGTTTGTTTCTCTTCAACTGAGCTCCAGAGAACTCGATAATGAGTTGGCGCATATATTAAGAGGATCATACTTGACATGCGTCTTGTAAATTGCGAGATTCAGTGGTGTTGAAGCCTGCGAGCAGGCCCTAATTGTTAGCGCTTGTGTTGCTTAAGGCCACACGCCTTCTCGCGAGCGATGAAGCTCTTGTACCGAAGCGCTAATGATGGTGAAAAGTGTCGGAAATGTTGAGTACGTCACAAACGATCAGGCTGAGTTTAAAAAGATCAATTTTTCTAATCTATCTGGAAATCTGTCAATACCAGATCATTCGCTTTCACAATCATGCAGCAAGTACGTTAAATCATTGATAGAATTAATCATTAAAAAACTCTCTTCCTGCGAGAAAGACGTGCTTTCTATTTCAGATAACTGCCCGCTCCAGAAACTCAACGGCGGAAACTTGGTGGAGAAACAAAATTGTTTAATAAGAAAAATTATTTTGATCAAAATAGCAATTTTAACAACTTTTATGCAACTTAGCTTTCATATATAGAAAGAACCTTCTCTAACTGATGATAGATGTTACGTTTTAAAATCTCATCATGAAATCTTGAAAAATAGGGAAACCTGAAAAATGAGCATTATCATAAAAAAAGTAATTAAATAATTTGTAAGTACAAGTTTGCACGTCATTTTTATCTTGTTAAAAAGACAAGCTGAAAATCTCAATTTTTACAAGCAAGGAAAATAACAAAAAAACCAAAATTAAAAGATGAGAAAATTATATCTTTTCTTCAGGTAGAGGGCATAATTTTTTTCAAATATTTTTGTTCAAACATTTTTTTCACTAGGAAAGATTTTCGTTTTTTTAGCAAATTTCGATGGATTTTAACAGCCATCTTTCCCTGCTTTAAAATTGAGAGCGAGATTAAAATTCAAATTTTTAATAAAGGGTTAACATCTCATTATTTCACCATGAAAGTTCTAAGAAAAAACCATAAAAGATTTAAATTGAACAAATTAGATTTCTTCTTCAGACAGGGGGTGTATTTGTGCTCAAATATTTTTGTTGGGGACGATTCTAAAGAGCCTTGTTTCTTTTTGTTTAAATAAGATTTAATTGAAATGCTACTTTTTATTTGGAGAGTGTTATAAATAAAACATCAAACTAATTAAAATGAAGACATTTCCGTAAACCAAGCGTGTAAAAAATGCACATATTTGCTGCACTTCAGAGGGCGCTGCTCACAACTGAATTTTCAATAGCTGCATTTGCGTCTGCCCTCGCAACGTAATTATTGCAGTCATTGCTTTCCGTGAGATGTTGCTATCACATCATTACATCTTGCAGAATTCTGACCACAGAGAAAGCTAATTATCATTAAGACAATCAAGAACCTCGAACATAGCAACTTGCGTTTTCCCGCAAGTTCTTTACAATTCATCTTCCAGTCTGTTGCCCCGGGGGAAAATATTTATTCAAGCTTTCAGTCGCTTAGGATTTGGTTGCTGACAAAAGACTTACGCCTTTCAACAATTTGGAAGCGTTTTTTCAGAGGATTTTTTTGTAGCATTTCGATTGAAACAAAGTTAACCAGCAAACAGAACGCTCATCTTGAAATGAGCGGGCAATGAATCTTTGACCGTGAAACGCGAGAGCGAGGATTCAACAACCGCCCGCCAATTGAGAACACTGAAGAATTTGATCGAAAAACTGACAGTGCCAAGCAAGATATAAACTAACTCGACGAAATGGAACACAGTACCTTGATAACATCCACCAGTTTTACGGGGAACTTTTCGACTACTTCTCCGCCAACAAACGGAACTTGTAAGTTGGTTGATGTCTTACTTATGCGTAGCCAGGTTAATGTAAGTCAATGTGTTTATTGGTATGGAACGCCAAAAGTTAACCTTGATATCTGCTTAACCTTTTAGTGTTGAATATTGAACATTTCATGGAATTTTTACTTAGATTACGGAGTTTGTTGTTTTAACTGGCGTAAGTCAAAAGTACATACATTTAATATTCCTCAATTTGCGAGATAGTTATCAAAATAAACGTTGATAATAACGAATTCACAGTGGGTGGTGTGTAGCCCCTTTCAACTGAAACCAGACTTACACGAAGACAAAAAACACACGATATATCTGTACTTTTAAGCGCAAAATTACTCTATTAACCTCTCCGCACCTTCTTCTCAAAGTGAGAGGTCAAATTTCGTATCTAATAGAGCTCTTAAATAATCGTGTATCGTAACATTGTTATGTGAATTTAGTTGATCGCCTGCGCATTACAAAAATAGATTCGCGACTCAGTCCCGCAGTCGTTTGAGTTCGTATCGTTTTCTTTTCCCAGTTAGCACCTTTGTGTAAGATTTCATTCCATGCTCAAACGAGCAGGTTACGTTTATGTATTTGAGGAAAAGTATTGTTATTAAATTCCTAAAATGAATAGCCAGGCTCATGCACATAGGTCCGCAAAGCGTTCGTACAGAAATTAAACAAACAGAAAAAGGTACAAACAAGCATCGATAGACGCTTGTCTTCGGTTTTTCGAAATACTTGTTCCTGGGTGCAAATAAAAAAAGGATAGAAAGTCTTTCATATTAAGTATCAACTTCCACTCGATCTTGAACAACACTCTTCAATTTCTGGCTTTTAATTCGAATTTCGTTCATTTTAATATGATGCACTGTTATATTTTCTTATCACAGTGGTAGACAAGTACGCGGGCGCAGCCATTGCATTCGTTACAGGAAGCAAGGCTGGGTTGGTCGTAGGAATCATTGTAGCAATCATCATTGTCATAGTGGTATTGCTGTGTATCCGTCAAGCTTATAAAGGATTGAAGGAGGCAAAGGAGAGAGCTTTGACAAAACTTGAAGCCCTGATAAAGAGAGATGCAAGCGTTGAATTGCTTGATGCCGCCCCCGATTTGGAGTTGACAGCGGTGCAGCCGGCCTCAACGGATAAAAAGAAACTGGTGAGGAATATGATAGCAATTAGTTTGTTTAGTTTGATATCTAGTTTAAAGCCAGTATAAACTCTTAAAGCAAAGTTTTTTTTATTGATGGTTTGGTGCAGAGGTCAAATGATGTTTGTTTCAAGGTAGTTTGGTACTATCAACTGAGTTGCTAACCTACATTGGCCACCGCAAAGAATTTCAAAGCTGACGTTTCGAGCGTTAGCCCTTCGTCTTCCCTCTGACGAAGGGCTAACGCTCGAAACGTCAGCTTTGAAACACTTCATGGTAGCCGATCTACGTTATCAACTCAGTTAATTATACTAAATTACCTTTTAATACTCTCCCACCGGCGCAGCACCACAGTTTGAATAGAAACTTACCACCCGGCTTTTTATACAGATGTTTGTTTCAGTCGCGCGGTTACTCATAACGGACATGGACACGCATTACAGACCTATCTTGACCCTTACCAATCGAAAAAGCAGTGGGCGTACAAAGAGCTCAAATCTGAGTTGCAGACGCATACGCAGGCAGCTTCTAATCGGCGCCTGTCGTAGCACCGTGTGATCAAAATGCAACGAGCATGCGCGACTACTCAAGAAAGGGCTCCTAACAGGTTAATTTACCGTTTGATTCTTGTAGGAAAATCTTGGAAGGATCAAGTTTTCTCTTGCTTACGACGAAGAACTGTAAGTAGAGATACTTATGCAGGAGTCGTAGAACTAAACTTTTTCTTCCAACTTCTTGGGCAGAGAAAAAATTGTAGAAGTTTAAAACATAATTCTAAGTAAATAAAAGGAGTCTCCCAACGGGTTTCATTCCTAAACCTGCTGTCACATGAGGGTTGACTCTGTTATGAGAAGTCGTTCTTACCTCAAATTCTCCATGAATCAAATAATATTCTAAATTCAAATTAAACCAGAAGCAAAGGAGAAGCAAAGCTCTATCGTGGTTATCCGCTACCACCACTCAATATCTTTATCCGTATTCATCCGTCCGACACTCCCACCCTTAATTATTGGGACACTTCTCCTGAACAGCGTTTAGGATGTCCATTCACCCTTCTTCCCCCTTCCAAAGCCGTTCGTTAGATATGCCTCCATGGAATTTGCAGACCAAAATTGAGAGAGGCAGGATGGGAGAATTGAATTTCTCCCAAGTTTTCCAAGTTGAGGTCCATTTATTTCGATGGTAATTATTTTTTGCAGATCTGAATTAAGAGTAAAAGTTTACTTCTGCGACGGATTGCCAATGAAATTCGTAGGTGGAACAGTTTACACTTACGTTGAAGTAGAAATGTTTCCCTTTCATCGAATGACTCCAACTAAACCGCGAACAAAGTACATCAGAAACGAATTTAGTCCTGTTTTCAACGACGAGGTTCGTATCAAAATTCTCAAAGAAGAAGTCGACGATCAAAAGATGTATCTTCACGTGTGTGACTACAATCAGATCTCAACCAGAGATTTGATTGGCTCCTACAAGTTAGAGCTTGATGACGTCAGCTTTAAAAGTAAAGCCAAAGAAACTACGTATGAAGGCGACCTGAAATGGATTGATTCGGTGAGTGACACTTTGTTCTATGATTGCGCATTCGCAACGCCATGCAACGCCGTAGTATGGATTCAAAATTGAACCGTTGATTGCATTTCGCATTAATTTTACAACGATTATAATCAGTTAACCGAGAGACAAGCATTTAAAAACTGCTGTGTGTCACTGTTAGAATTTCATGGGACTTGTATCGACTTTTCGTCGCTTCTTATCACGTATCCATTCGTTTCCCGCCAAAGTGTTCTCCGTCCTTTCGTTTCCCGCCACGGTGTGTAACGCTGACGACAGTTTTCGCTCATTTTCCCGCCAAATTTTTATATCTCTGAGGCACCCTTCCTCCGCGCTCGTTTAAACACTTTTTATTATCTTTTTCAGGTCCGTGGCGCAGAGCGCGGTGATATTCTGATATCGATGCGATATTACGGAGGAAATAGCGAATTAACTGTCAAAATTAAGGAGTGTAAGGGACTGAGACCCTCCCCCGGAAAAGTGTCTTGTAGTAAGTATTTCCTCGATTTTTATCATCATTTAAATTTTGATAAATAGTTAAGTATTCACGGGTGCAGCCTCTAAAAGTTTCTTAAACTTTGAGATCTAAACGTACAGGCACGAAGAACATACGACGAAAATACAACTTGCCTACGACGAAAATACGAGGAAACAAATAGACGAACAGACGAGTAAACGAACAGTCGAACAGTCGAATACACGAGCGCACGAACACACGAATACACAAACACACGAACAGCCGAACAAACGGGCAAACGAACAAACGAGCAAACGAACAGACGAACAGACGAACAGACGAACAGACGAACAGACGAACAGACGAACAGACGAACAGACGAACAGACGAACAGACGAACAGACGAACAGACGAACAGACGAACAGACGAACAGACAAACACAAAAACCTACGAACAAATAAAGTATAAGGAGTATTAGGCGCTCTTTGCTTACGGTTCTCTCTATTTAACTACAGACTCCTACGTCAAGCTTCACCTTGTGCGAGGCTCAAAAATAATAACGTCAAAGAAAACAAAGGTGATGAAGAAAAACCTCGAGCCAAGATTTGAACAAGAACTACAATTCATAGTAGAGGAAGATCTTCTAGACGAAGTCAACCTCATTATACATGTCAAAGACAAGCCGCTGATTGGTCGAAAACGTCTCATAGGCGAGCTTTGCATTGGTTGCCAAGGAGTTGGACAGGCGCTTGCGCAATGGCAGCTTATGGTAGAGAAGGAAGTGGTGATGTGGCATCAACTTGAACTATTGAATATTGTGCCAGGAAAAACAGATCTTCAAACCACCATGGCAACTTTGCATGGCTGGGAATCGACTTCGGAGGAGGAGAGCGAGGAGGATGAGGGGATATTCACAGGACTCTTACCCGGTGGCTTATTTTCTTCAAACAATGATAAACCTGCAAAAAAACCTAAAAAGCAAAAACTGTCAAAAAAGCAGTCCAAACTTTGACAGCTTTGTTTCGCTAGAAAACAACGTTAATTTGGATATACTTATTCAATCCTTATGCATGAACTCACCCAACGCATCTTCAACCCAGATTCCGCTCGCAAAAGTTGTTTGAAGTTTGGGCCGAATGTGGAGATGTGGCAAAGTCATTACGCAATGTTTTGCTTTCAGCAAAAATAACGACAACAATGATCTGAAAACGAAAAAATTCAAAACGGGGTGTTTCTCCGGCTCCGCGAATTCAAAATGACGACAGAAAATAGAAGCTTAGTTCGTAATCCTAAGCCCTTACAAAAAATCATTGGCAAATACAATAAAAATTTAGTACTAGAGCTGGTTATTCTTAAAGGTTAAAGTCACTTTGGTTAGAAGCTTTTCAGAGAAATGTGTGACTATTTTGAAAAATAATTGTGACAGATTTTGAATAACTGTACATTATTTATATTGCGTTTGTAATAAAGTTTCTTGTTGCTTTTCCCGTTGTTAATTGAATTGAGAATCCCTCACTTAAAACGGGATAACAAAAATTTTAAATTTAGTGTCTTAAATAATCCATGATTGCATTGCTTTTTCTTAACTTCGTTCTGTGATTGGTCCAGAAAACTCCCACCTCCCTCTTAGCCAATCAGAATTTAAATTAAAACCGATTGAGCCTGGGTCAAGGGAGTTTTCCTGCGTATCAAGGAGTCTGGCACAATTTTATCAACGATTTTGGTACCTAAAGATAAGATGGATTAAAAATGTTTTTCTTAATTTCTGTGTCTGAGTAAAACTTTGTTCGATCGATATTGGACACTTTTAGGTTCTAAAACGGCTAGGACTACGAATTCGACGACATTGGGGAAAATCGAACCAGCGAAGAACATACAAAATGTACGTAAAATTTTGCTGCAGAGGTTAGGTCTTGGATTCAACGAAATGGTCCTAAAGGTCTCTATGAACGGGAGGGGATAAAATGATGATAAAACGAGAAATGAAAACTATTACCGCTAGAGAGCGATAAAAAATAATGATGATGGTCTTGCGTTTGCACATGGGAAAGAAACCTAAAGCACACTCTTTTTATCATCAATTATACATCGTCGTATGAACATGCTCTTAAAAGATTATTTTCGTTTTCGAGTAGCAATGATTTCTATTAGACTAAACAATGCAATTCCTTTGACATATTCCCTTGCAGAACAAATATCAAACAGTTTGCGTTATGTTTCCATGGACCTAAATTTTTAATTCTCTGAATACAGAAATCCAAAATATTGGCACACTCTCCCTGTTTAAATCTAAATTGCGAAAATTACTCCTAAGTTAAGTCCTTTTTTATTCTTCTTCATTTATTTATTTATTTTTTTTGTATTATTATTTTTTTTTCTTACTTTTCTCACGCTACTTAAATATATGTTCGTTTGAGTACCTGCTATTGTTGTTGTTGTTTTATATGTGTGTGTCCTTTCCATTTTAACCTAAAATATCTTGTTCCTAAATCACGCCATAAAACTGATACCTCACTGTTATATAATATGGGAAGCCTGTAACTCGCATAAGTCTCATGGTTTCCCTGTGGGTTTCCTCGCCTCATGCTAAATCTTCAGCTATATCATATGTATATATATGTAATTCCTTTTTTATTTCTTCTGACGTATAATAATTACAAAATGGCAAAATAAAAATAAAAAAACAAGCTTCAATCATGATCTCAAACATTTTAAGACTCGTTGATCATATGATAAAATAATCATCGACTGAGTTCAATCAGGCCAGACAGGAAAATATCGAAAAAATACTTTGCTCTTGGTCATGACGCACAGTCATGCATCTCCTCAAGTCAAATACTTTCCCGTGCAGCCCTCCCACTCAATCAATATGTAGACTATATATACCTTTTGTAACGATTAAATCCCCTCGCATGCATTAAAGCGGGATTTTCATGAGAGATTTTCCTTCGTGAAACAGCTGCAGAAAAACAAACCATCGAAACAATTACCTTAAAAATCTTAATCCATCCCAGTAAAAGCCTGCGAATTCAAATTTAAAAAGCTAGAAAACTAAGATTATTTTATGTTAACCATTTAAGATCCGAAATTAAGGATGGTATCAAGATGATTTGCTCTTCCTTTCAGCATTTTCAATTATTGTTAAAAAACACGTTTTAAACCCTATGGTACATGTAATTGACATAAGATGTCTGAGCCTCACGCAGGAGGTTAATATTGTCAATATCGCTGGGACATTTAGATGATAAGTGCAAATATTGCCTCTTAAACGAAAATAAACATTTCCCTCTTCCAGTTTTCCAATCATTTTAGCTTTATATAAAAAAAAGCTTTTCAAGGAAGATTGAATTTTTTTCGAACTCTTAAGTTCAGCGTACTGCTGGCTGTAATCAGTAAACAAAACTCAACTGCTGTAATTAAATTCTTGTCAAGATCAATTATATTTCAGGAAAAGTATCATTATAACAAGGTTTAGTTCAACCGCACAGTACGAAAAGCGAGGCTAATTTCCACACCGTCGTTTCGATAAATATCTGCGGGACTTTGCGATACAATTCAGCTGAATTTCGATTTGTTCAAACATGTGATTTCTTAGTGGAGACTAAGAGAGCGTCTCTTGATCTAGACATGATCTACACGGGGTGATTTCATTACTGCACTATATTTAGACGGCTTAAATCTGCCAAACTTGTTCGACCCTGAATGATAAAATAAAGCGCCAAAATTTGGAAATTTACGGTTTGAAAGAATAGAAGCCATGTTGTTCTGGAATGCAATATTTTCTAGTTTCGAAACAACCTATATCGAACCTTTCATTCAAAAAAGGCACATAATATTATGTTTGTTACGTAAAAGTTCTCGAATCTTTTTAAAATTACTTAATAATAATAAATTCTTTGACCATCTTTTTTCCTTCAGCAAGAAAGCCAGCAAGCTGTGTCGCAAGACATCAATAGCCATTTTACTTCCCCGATTTTTAACTCTAATTGCTGCAAAAAGAAAATCATTTAAGTGTCGGAGTTCTCTTAACATCACACTGCTTTGTATGCAAATTTCAAATCAATGCAATTTAAACGCTGCAATATCAACATGCTTTAAACTTCGTCTTTGTTTTGTCGCTGTTATTTGGTCAACTGTAAGACCAACTTCACGCGTTGCCCAGTGTGATTGGTTGAAATCTCGTGACAATCAAAGCCGAGTAATTTTAACCGTGTGTGAAATTGAAGTTATTCCCAACAGAACGAGTAACTGAAATATACCGTCCGGCGCATAAAATGCGCAGAAATATTATGGCTAGGAACGAATACTCGAAGCTTACTCAAGGCGATGAAGAAATTGGCTGTCAGTTTATAAAGAAGGAAAAAGACAGTCATGAACATGACGCGAGAAAGCGTTTGATTATAGCTTGCGCTTTCTGTACAGTGTTCATCATCTGTGAGGTTGTTGGTGAGTTCTGTGGCTCGATTATATTTATTTTACCCTCTGATGTAATAGCAAACAGTAACAACTAAACATTTTCACTTTGTCAGTGTGGCGAGAGCCGATTTTTATTCAGTCTATTCTTGACAAAAAAAAAAAAAAAAAAAAAAAAGCCTATGGTTTTAGACGATCTTTGCGGAAACGAGTAAATTTAGCCGATGGGTTTTTCTTCTCTGGAGTAAGCCGAATATCGTAGTCAAATATATCTCTGAAGTTAATTGTGTGGCGTTTATTTGCCATTTATATCTCTCCTACTTTGGAGCATCATTTCAGCATTGACTCTTGGGAAAGAAAATTCTCACATAAGAATAGAAAAACCAGCGGAGATTCAAAGGAGTTTCTTCATTCAACCAATACACACTCTAAGTTGTCGCTTTTCATTTAACTATTTGGTACTAAATGGTGTTAAATTGCTTTGACGATAAAGTGTATCTCTTGACAACGCAAATTATGCTCCATTCAACTCATTGAAAAACGGAAAAAGCAAATTGTATTTATAGCAATAAAATTGAAACACAATAGTATTCGATTTCTTCCATATAGACACTGAACGGGAAACTCAATCCGCAGAATTCACGCGAGAACTTTGTAAAACGAATTATTAGTTCGATAGCTTTGTTTGAAGTTTCGATACAACGACAAACACACCATTTGTACAACAGCCGGGTGCAAGCTTCCTAAAAATGTCAAACATGCTTTTGTTTGCCAACCTTATCAGAGTTTTTGTTCTGCTTTCACAGTATCGGCCGTTGAGTGGCATGATGCCCTTACGATGAGTTTGAATGGTTTCCAGAGTGTTGATATATTTCAATCAAAACCTTTTGACCTATCTTTCTGATCTTCTACCTCGATTATGTAACCTTTTAGAATATATGTATCCTATTTCCTTGGCTACACGAGGGACTTTCATCCTTTCTGCGAAACGCAAATAGGAGAATTCTCCACGTAGACTAATGGCACCTTGTCTTTAACCAATCAGAAAGCAGTATTCAAAAAAGCTTTTTAATGTCCGCGGTGGGTTTAAATGGTCTCCCTCTGTTTAACCTATGTGAAACACCTACTTAAAAGCCTTTTGATTATTTTTAAATTGGGAAATAAAAGAAATTTCCAACGTTGACCATTCATGCCTCGATTTTTCGGGAGGATTAATTAGTCTAAAGGACCTCCGTTTTTCTCTATTTCTTTTTTCTCTCCTTTTTTGGGTGCGTAATGTAAATATGTTCTGTTGTAAGCTTGACGATGGCGGCTTACTTCCTGACGCCTATTTACACCTCGTCAGAAAAAAGGCAGCTAATTAGTGATCATTTAAAAGGACCTCTTGTTGCAGCGTTTAGATCACCCCTGATGAAGGCACTAGACAGGAGTGTCGAAACGTTGGGTCTATGAATTGTAACTTCTTCGGTTACATTCATTAAATCTGTAAACCAGAGTAGCATCAAACTATGTCTGAACATAAGGTTGTTGAACATTTCTGTCATTGTTTAGGAAGTAATAAGTTAATTTTCTCCCATAAACTGCTATGCTTTGAGACAAACTGTCCGTGAGCCACTAGTTAAGATAGACCGAATCAAACTTCGAAGGATCTCATCTATTTACGAGTTGAAAGAGAGAAAGATGAGAACTGAAGAGCTCGACGGCGTATAAAGAAATACTTTTAACATCATTTTGTCGGATGTGTGATCTGAGTCTCCCCTCAAGATTCGAGCTCACAGACTTTTCATTTTTGTGGTCTGAAGACTCGTCCATAAGCAGGCCATAAATTAGATTTATATTTGACTAGCTTCTGCGGACTGTTAGAATCAGAAATGTCGGAGGCTTTGTGCTCAGAGAGACAACTAGATCGTTGATAAATTTGAATGGTGTATGGTCGAGTATAGAAACAATTCTCAAACATTCGTCAAGAGCGGGATACAAAGAATATTATTTATTAAATTTTATGCTTTTCCCTCTTTGTTGCAGGGGGAGCTTTGGCCAACAGTCTTGCCGTAATGAACGACGCAATCCATCAATTCTTTGACTTGAATTCCTTACTGTTAAGTTTGGCTGCCTCGTGGATCGCAGGATGGAAACCAAACGACAATAAAACATTCGGATATTACAGAGCTGGTAATCCGATTTTCCTTTCTTAATCCCATCTTCCTCTCGTTAGTTCTGCTGACATGTAAACCAATCATTATCATCTGCTTATAATCTCTTGATGTAAACCCTTTGTAACTGTGTCATTTTTTCATTGGCAGAAATACTTGGTGCATGCGCTGTAATAATCACGATGTGGTTGCTAACCGGCGTGCTCGCATATGAATCAATTTTAAGACTCATCCCAGGCCACAGCGGTCATCACAGTCACATTAACTCCAACGCGATGATATTGACGGCAGCTTTAGCTTTCAGTGCCAATATCATGTGAGTATGTAACTCAAAAAGGCAAATGTTTCTGAGAGTACACTGTAGTTCTTCGTTAGGAGTTGTTTGCTGCGTCTGCAAAAAGAATTTATCTAGGGAATGGTCATTGTTTATCGGTGGGGGAGGGGGGTCGCAGGAGTTTGATTTTCCCACGGTAAAATTTACGTGATTCCCTCATAAAATTCTAAAATATTCCTGTGTTCTCCCCTCATCGGCAATTAATTCTCTATGGTCCCCACTGTATACTCTGTTAGCGACGACTGGTCCCCCCATCCGCCCCCTCTTCTGAAAACTATGTGATCTGTAATAATACCTCAAAAAATACGCGCTGTGCTCGAGTTTGCGTCTGGACTTGCATCAAAGCACAGTTTCCAATATTTTGTCGTCTGAAAATGCTGCGTGCCATTGCGTTTTTATGAATCCATCCCTGTTTACTCGCTTGCAGAATTATTTTCTTGTTGAATGGTCATTCCCATCTTGGAGGCCATCACCATCACGAGACGAACATGACAGTGAAAGCCGCCCTTCTTCACACGCTTGGAGACGTTTGTCATAGTTTCGCTGTGCTGGTTGGCGCAATCCTCATCAAAATTAATGTAAGTTAAAAGTACGAGTATGTGCATGTGTTGTACAGTTGAAGACACTCTAAGAAAGACACGCGCAGAGGCAACAAAAGCCGTACTTGTTAACTCAGGCGTCCGGAGACTGATGTGGGATGCTGGAGACGTCCTTATGACGAGATTGAGTAACTGGCCATGACTGTGTAACATAGGGAGGTATCAATGTGTTCACTTATCGAGCTTTTTCATTTTGTCTTTATCGTAAAAAAGGGTCTCTACGCATTCGACTTAGGTTTCAAAGATTTCTTTCTTTCTCTGAGAACAGCAGTTTTCAGAATACAACAGAAGCACAGAAGCGTAATCTTAACAGAAAACTTTTTACAAATTTTCCACTGCACACTGATACTTCAGGTGATATTCAACGTTCCTGATGTCTCTCCGTTTGCTTTTCAGCCCTCCTGGGAAATCGCCGATCCAATAATAAGCCTGGTAGGAGCATGCGTGGTTCTGTTGTCAACTTGTCCTGTTTTAAGACAGTCTATCAATATTTTACTAGAAGGTATGGGTTTCCGAATTTAGATGAATAACTCCGAAATCCTTGACATATTCAGGAGGCCTGTTGCGTTTGACCCCTTTGTTTATGGCTCAGCTAACTAGCGGGTTCTGTGTAGCTTAGTGTTAGAGTATTGAAGCGTGAACTACTACTTCTCGGCTGCGGTGCTAGTGCCGTTTCTTGTGATACGTACGAGGCGAGGGAGGGCACAAAGAGTCAGACACGCGCGAGAGGAGGCGCGCAAAGAGTCGTCTATCTTTTTCGCTTCTCTACTTACGAGTGTCTCGCCCCCGCGGTTTCCTCTAATTTTACGCGCACTTTCCACGAGCTTTCCTTGCACTTTCCACGAGCTTTCCTTGCGTTTGCTGAGCACTAAACTACGCTCTCTTGAATGACGTTTATTCCGTCTTACTCATTATTTACCTAACTGCCTCGTTTTCAGGAGTGCCTTCCAACATAAGGATTGCTGACGTAAGAAAAGATTTGACTAATACGGATCATGTAATAAGCATTCATAAGACGCATGTCTGGTCTATAACTACTGGTAAGACGATCCTATCGGCTCATCTGGTCGTAGGTATGTGCCTCTCCAATTGTCAGTTATTATTCTGCACGCTCCTTCGTCCTGTATTAACAGGAAGAAACAGATGTATATAAATGCTATGTCATCATTTTTCGACTCATCTTTCACTCTAGGAAGAAAATGACCCTATTTAAGAGTTATGAAACTCGGGATGGTGGTATATTGTTCCTTAAAGGTGGAGGTTGACTGATTAGTTACCACTGAAGTATTTTAGGTAAATAGTGGACGAATGAGACAAGTTTTCTGTTGCATTTCAAGTAATACCTTCCGAAGCCGAGGCACGCCAATGAAATACAGGTCTTGTATCATTTAAAGATTTGATCCTCAGCCCCAAACCCTCAGGAGCCACTCCGAATGGCAAAAATACGAGTTTGGTTCTCAGCCCAAGAAGATTGAAACGAATTTATCAGGGAAGTGACCAAGCTGATTTTTCTGGGTGAAATTTGAACAATTCTTGACATTGGCACTCATGCCTAGTTTATTCCTTCACCAAAACATAGCGCAATGGTTTTCAAATTACATCATGCAGAAGGTAGGTCTGTGGGAAGGTGTGGAAAATAGCATTTTATGGACTGAAATGGGCCCAGGTTTTTTCGAAGAAAAAGGCGACACGACCCCATGAGGAATTCCACAACGCTTCCCTGAGTTCTCTTCACTGGCTCTTTTGTTTCTCTCGACAGATTCCAGAGCGAATGCCAACACTGTGTTAAAAGAGGCAACACGGAAGATGTGTGAAAAATATCAGTTTTATTACACTTGTTTACAGATTGAAATTCCACGTACTGAATACAGAATTAATATTCAACAAAATAACAAGACAGAAAATACAGAACACGACAATGGAGATTAAGAAATCCTTATGCAAACGAATTAATATCATTCTCGATTGAGAGTGTTCTGAGTACTCTTAGTTAGCAAAAGTTGTATAGAATAGATCACTTTTCTGAAAAACCTGCATTTGCAAATTAAATTATTAACGTGTTTAGCCTTCATGTCTAATGCAATGGTTGAAAGCGAACCCAACTATGGTACTTAATAAAATGAGCACTGTAAAAGAGATCAACTGGGAAGGGCAGGAGTGGGAGAGGAGGAGATACCCGAGGGAGAAGGCCCTCACTTTGTATTCACTGGCTCCCTGCCTCTCCTATTTATTCAACCGCAGAGGTCACTAAAATTAAATTCAGACGATTGGTGGCGTGAGGCACGCACACACACAGGTACTAATAGGCCACTTAAAAGACTAAAGGGGTAAGTTTCTAAAGAAACTGTGGTGCTGCGTCGGTGGGAGAGTATAGCAGGTAATTTAGTGTTAACAACTGGGTTGAAAACATAAATTGGCCACCGTAAAGGGTAAAAAAGCTGACGTTTCGAGCGTTAGCCCTTCGTTAGAGCGATTGAAAAGATTAACAGACTGTATGGTCTGGGCCTCGGTTGTTAGAGGCATGGAAAACGCTATCCACTTACTTATCCGCTGGATAGCGATTTATCCGTTGGATAGCGTCATCTGCCCTTTGAACAACCCGGCCCATTTTTACTAATTCGTTAGGAAACTTTGATCGTATGTGGAACGAGACCATATTTTTTCAGATTAGTGTTTTATGATAACTTCGAGTCAACAGTCTTGAACCAAATATAATGGATAACAACCTTTAATATTTGCGCTTCTGATTAAGGCGTTCCCACGCGCGCGTTCAGCTCATTAAAACAAAAATATCTAAAATTATTGCTAACCCAATGCTCTTTTTGCATATTTATCATTAAAAGATCATCTTCCAGGAGGAATGCTCAGAATAGTTAGATAGGGCCGAAAAAAAATGGGAGCTAAGAGTTAAGAGGAGATTGAAATAGAGAATCTAATTGCGATTTGACTGCGCTTGTTTGCGGAATATCTGCAAAGGATCATATCCTACGCATACGAAATTTTCTAGTTCAGAGAAACTCATCTGATTTCTCTTCTGTTTGCTTCGCTTTGATTAACGATTTGGTCATTCAGTGCAACGCACTCAAACGTCACGCTTAATTAACTTTCAAAAAATATGAATAATGCAGCGAATAATTATCTCAACGGTTGTAAAAAAGTGGCGCTTTATTTTCAAGCATTTACACACTGATTCAGAGCGTGCAACGAATGGATCGAGAACATGTAGGCGCAAGAAGCCTTGGAAACGGCTTGCTTTCAAGCTCGCCGTGAAAATGGCAAAGCTTAGAAGCTTGTAAAATTACTTTTATTGGAAAGTTTTGAGATATTTTGCCGAAAGTCGAGTCCGAAACTTCCTTCAGAACTCGTGGAAGTGAATCAGTCAAACAGTAAGCTGATTTTCAGAGCATAGTGTTTTAAAAGCTTGGGCATAATATCGTAGACGTAAATTTCAAAGGTGAGTTTTAGATATGGTTGTTTTGAGAGTATCTATTTTAATTTGTATCATCATCAACTAAAATAAGTTTTAAACTGTAACGATATAGTTGTTGACCCAAACGGTTGCTGGCAGACGTCAGGAGTCAAATTAATATTTATAGCTGTAAATTTCCTGCCGAAAACAAACTCAAAAACCTTGCCTTGTCACATCTATACGTAAAGATGCATCCCCAAATACTAAAAAATTGCAAACTGTAAATCAGCACATTGCATGATTTGATGAGACAAAAGTTTTGCCGTTACGAAATCTTTATAATTATACAGCGTCACTGAAGAGTATGCACTCGAAATTTTTATATTTTGTTTAGTTTTGGTATTAGAGCTAATTTCCCGACCAGGAAGATAAAATACGCTATTCTAATATAACTGTCGGTTTTCAAGCCTTGTTTACAATTTTGCATCTCCTCAATTCAGTTTCCGCCAAATTTCTCTAAGTATGGTTTAATTTGTTTACATAATCCTTTTGCTGTAATGTGCATTTTTCCAAGCTGCGCAAAGGTCTGTGAGGAACTAATTCATTTAGGTTGCACATAGTATTTTACATACTGAGGTATTTAATAGAAGTTGGAACTCTTAAACAGATTTCTTGAGGTTTTTAGCACAGTGAAAGGAAGTTAATTGATTTACATGTTAAATTAAGAAGTTATTATTCAAGCTTTAAATTGGCGGGAGCTTTCATGAACTCCCTTTTCTCAGAAATAACTCGTTTAGCGATTCGTTTCAATTCGATTTTTACTTTTTAATTAAACTAATCTATGTAAAATTTCGAACTTGATCTTTCACTCGACGATGAGTTTCAGTTTGGCGAAATTCTACAAATTTAGAGCCAGTTTCTTCCAGTAGACAATGGTTTCTTTGTTAAATAATTCGAAATCAATCAGCTGTAAAACGCAGAATCCTTACAAATTATACCTTACCACAAAGCCTAATTCTAACAAACATTGCATGTATTTTGTTCTCCTTCTTTTCAGTTCAAAAAAAAAATAACTGTCCTGTCGAAATAAAGATAAACAGTAGTAAAGACAAAGTTAACAAAGAAAACTGAAGGATTTCAAGCGAAACAATAGTTTTACTAACTAGTTTAACAGTGTAAGACTCCTGGAGTGATACTTTACGAAGATATTAAGGAGAATTATTTGAATTAAAAACGTTTGCTCGTTTTTCAGTACTGTCTCTGCTGAAAAGTTTGCGCATGGAAAGTACACAAATTTGATTTTCTAAGTCAATAGACAACAGTTTTTCAGGCAAACCAACTAAGCTAAAATTTCAAATTTTTGGTCTCGATTGGAAACAAATTTAGCGAGAAGATTTGCGCAATAAACTTTATAATAAATTTTGCCAAAAGATATGTTAAGGTCGGATTGTTTTGGCGCTAAAATAATTTCCTAGTTGGAATGAAATTACTCCTTAATTATGAGAAAATATAAATATGTCCAGAGGCATTTATAAAATGAATGAAATACTCCAAGCGTCCTAATTTGGCAAGTTAATTTTATAACACAATTGACCGCGCACTTTTTATCGGTTTACCGGCATAATAACCCATTTAAAATTTTTTGAAGAACACTCGCAAAGTTTGTGAGTCAGTAGCCACCGGCTGCTGATTTACAAACAGTTTCGAGTGTTTTCCCAGCATCAAGCGTGAGTTATTACGCAAGTTAACCGATTTAAAGTGCAGCCTTTTGCTTAATAAAGATGTGAATAAAGCCTAAACTGATATGTATTTTCACTCAGTAACCCTGAGTGCACCTGTCGAGCCTCTGTCGAAAAGTTTTCAGTTCTCTTCCACTCTGCACCCCTTATGCTCCTGTAAAAGAACACCAGAGATCTTTGCCAAGGTCTTTCTAGAATTTTTATACAGGGATTCTTCCTCTTAATTTTGACTCTCTTGTCTAAGATTAAAGACCAGTACCCCTCTCTGACTTGAAAGAGCTTCCGATCTAGGGAAGATACCATCCAGGCATGGTCAGTGGTTTTGACTATCAGAGTTTAATCTCTTTGTTTCTTTCAGAGTGATTCAAGGCAAGTTCACATGGCCTTGGATTTAGCTGCGGTGATAGTGGTCAGCGTTGTTCTGTCGTTGTTAATTTGCCTTTACATTGCCTTAACGATAAGGTTCGCACTGAGAAAGGCTTCGGGGAGGATCTCTGATGATGACCGAAGGAACTCTTTCCTGTATCATACGGCAGCATGGCACCCTTTCGGCGTGGCAGACACTAAGTGCATTCCAATACAGCCCAGAACATACGATGAACTCAGAAGGGTAACATTTCTTCATATCGTATTATTCATTATATGATAAGCTAAATTGCACACGCATTTTGATTGGTCCTTACTTAAGATCTTTCGGAGGACCGACACATAGCTGACGTCATCATTACCAAGATTTTGCATTTTTATAACTTAAAACAAAATAATTTCATGTTGCCATGGGTCTTTACTCTAACATTTTGACGTCATCTGTGATATAATACCGATCAGACCCACGTTAAAATGGAATCTTTTTGTTAAATGATGGCCTACCGTCAGTGGTCAGCGACTTGTTGTGAGCTCTTGAGAACACACGCGAGATAGAGGAGGTTTTTCTGTCATATAAAAAACATCAAGGTACGAAAAGCTCACTGAGTTTTGCCTGGTTCCGTCACCCAGTGCCTTCTTCCCAAAAGTATACTGTGAGCTGATTGCGTGATGAGCTTTCTTTGGTTCTCAGACTCGCATGCGCGACAAACTCCTCAAAATTTCACCCCGTATTTAGACTGGAATTGCGAAGCGATGACTGCTGAAATCATTGTTCGACGTCGCACGGGCGTCAGATTGCTTGAATCATCTCGAGTAGAAGGCGACAAAAGACTCCCTACCCATCACACCACCCGCTCCCCATGTACAGCGGACTTTCTATTGCCCCAAATTAAGAATGAGTCGTATACTGTCAAAAGTGATATCACTGTTTGTGTTAAACTTTTTGAGAGCTCCTTTGAAAGCTGCCTTAACAAGTTGAGTGCTCTTTTAATTATTATTGTCATAACATTATCATTATTATTAAATAATGTAGGTCCATAAGTGTAAAGATTATTTTCAGAGCGAAGAGAAGCTGGTCGATTCAGGATCAATGAAAATTCCGCCGGAGAAAATTGCTGGAAAGATCAAACTGTCGCTTCAGTATGATTCTATGAGGTAACAGAGTGACGCAGAGTTTCAAGTACTTTTTAGTAGACTTTTATTGTATGTAGGATGTAATTTCTTCTTAGGTGGGTGATTCACAGTTCAATGATAAGAATATTGAAACTCAGACCCAGGGAACACTGATCTGAGGATCACCTCTCGGTTCAGTTTTCCTTGCTGGCATGACATCACAGCTCACGTCTAAACAAGAGCTTACAGTTTTCAGGATAGCCTTGTTCTAGGCTCTTGGTCAGGAGGGAGAGATCAGCTACAAAAAATAAGTGCTAATGAGCATCTTTTACCCAGATCTCCTCTCCGTTTTGAAGACGGAGAAGACTTGGGTATGAAATAAAAGCCAGCGCACGTAAGACACATAACATTTGCTTTACTTCCGGTCCTATTCACGCCCAGGTCCACTCTCATGGCCACCGTCCACACAGTCGACCTGCAAGAGCTTCCTTCCACTCTTGACGCCAACTATTACGTCACGCTGAAGATCCTGCCGCTGAACCATCGCTCGTTCCAGACCAAAGCGGTCAAAAGGGACAAGAGTCTCGACTTCCTCAAAGAGACGTTTGAATTTCGAGTCACGTTCGAGAAACTTCACGCTCAAAGTTTGAAGATGACGTTATGTTGTTTCGATCGATTTTCCCAGCATGAGCCTATTGGTGAACAGACAATACATCTGGCTGACCTCGAGGCCCGCGGGCTCAGCCTCTCAAGGGAGATAACGTTATTGCGTGACATTCATGCAGTTCCAAAGGTAAAATTTGCTGATTTTGTCATTTGTGCCCAGGCTTTCGGTTGGTAGAAACGAGAGAAGTGAGCGTGGGGTAAGCAGCCGTTTCCAGAACACCCGCAAACACCATTTGCGCGGGAAATTGGCGCGAGTCCGACCAAATTGATCTCCTTACATACGCTTGACATTTGACCGCTGTGTTTTTCCAAACCCTTACTTTGGTGTGGAGTTGTGGCGTGCCTTTGTCTACTAACGTTTTTTTAGTGAGCACGGTCCCACTCACTTTTGGTGAACATTTATAGGACAACGTTGTGATGTTATTTACATCGCTCGCAAGGGCTCGTTTGCATCATAATCTATTCTCCATCTTATTATAACTATGTTCCTCTGAATTGCAGGCATCGGGTGTTCTTGGGGAACTGATGATATCCCTGGGGTATCTAAGGCTTACAGAAAGATTAACGATAGTTGTAATAAGGGCGAGAAACCTTCCTGTAAATGAAGACAAAGAAGATCCAGGTAAGTGACTCTGATGGATTTCTGTCCAAGTTTTTAAACCGCAATTATATATTAATAATCTCGTGATTCTGTTTCGATGATACTTGATGTCGGTCGTATGGTTAGTGAATTACTGCAGGGGTTCAACGTTTTCTAGCACTTCCCGTTCGTTGAGGTCCAGTTCAGGAATGATCTGTATTCTCTGCTACTGCCTACGGGTAGAAGTAGCAGTCTCCCCACCTCACTCCCCTCGTCCTCTTTATCGCCGGCCATGAACACATCCGAAAAACACATCCAAAAGCCAACACACCCGAAAAACCCTTGGATGTGTTGTTTTCGAAGCGAGGGAGTAACGAATGTTCACTTAATAAAACTGTTTACAAGACAAATTACAAAGTGTGAGCCAATCGATATCAGAATGGAGGGTGGTGGCCTTGTCGCTGTGAGAGTGATGGGGTGCACAAGACCAGATTGAAACCTTACGCATACGTATTTCAATTTTTGGATGTTGTTCTTTAAGTATCATTTTCAGGTAGCAATATATTGGTTCAAAAGCAGCCCGTTACTTAACATCTAGTTCTTCTCTTTTAAAAACAAAACTTAAAATTCCAAGCTCTCGCTAATCCACATACTGGTTTCATTTTTTTTATCTTGATTGTTATAGTCATTTGCGTTTTGCTTGAAGTTATTACAGCCAAATCCTGAAAAGAGTTAAACTCTAGTTCTAATGAGAAATAAAGTTACAACCAAAGAGGTTTCTCAGTATCTGGTTTAAATTACATTAATTGGCTTAAACCTTTCTTTTTTGACAGCTTCATACGTCGAGGTCTCCCTCATTCACGAAGGACGAATCCTAAAGCAGAAAAAAACGGTCGTTAAGGAAGAAAACAGAAGTCCTGTGTTTAACGAAACCCTTACATTTCACATCCCTGTTGGTATCCTTCATCAGACAAGCTTTATGTTGTCCGTGAAAAGCCAGACTCTAAAGAGGACTGAGGACGATTTACTCGGAAAGATTTTTCTCGGCCCATCATCCACCGGGGGCGAATTTGACCACTGGAATGAGATGAGGATTAACAACAAACCAATAGCACGCTGGCATAAGCTTCTTGATTGACAAGCGCGATAATTCAGATGGATTTCCATTTTACATCAGCCATGAAAATGAAAGCTTTCAAATAGTTATGGTGCTTAACGTTGTAGTTCAGTTATAATTTCGAAATTTAGAATTTTAAGTCAGCCTGCATTTTCAATTTTTTCTCATATTAAGTGAGATTTTTTTATAACTTTTATTTTTTTTCGTAAACATTATATTTGAAGTTTTATATATACAATTAAGTCATGCAAAGTTATGAAATCGATTAAAGGGGTAAGTTTCTAAAGAAAATGTGGTGCTGCGTCGGTGTGGAAGTAAACAAGATAATTTGGTTTTATCACCTGAGTTGATAATGTAATTTGACCACCGTTAAGAGTTTGTAGAGCTGACGTTTCGCTTTGACCAAATTATCTATGAAATAGACTGCCTCTTTTTAGCATCACTGACCAGCAATTTTTACCCCTGTTCTCTGTGTTAATTCTCGTTCTACGAAAACTGCAGAGAAGGTGAACTTCAGTGGCCTTTTTTCCATAGCTGCTCATAAATTCTTTGTCTAACGGTTTCCTAACGGTTTAAATTCTTCTCCCTTCAGGTGGTGTATTATTTTGTCCCATTGAAAGGTTTAAATGTCTAAAGAAAGCTAATAGTTTTTTTTTTTTTTTGACACCGAACCCTGCTTGGCGGCTTACAGTCTTTTAAGTGGCAACTGCAGCGGTGCAAGATATGCTCCGTATAAATTGTTCAATAATATTGTGAAGCTTTCGCGTCGGTTCCCTGACGTGAAATTTTCCACCTTCCTCTCTGTTGTTTTCTCAGTAAACTAGAGTATTTTTCCAACTTTTGCGTGCGCTTTTGAAGCGAAATTTGATACTAGTCACAGAAAAATTTGTCTTTTTCAAGGAGCTTAAAATTCTTTTTATGAAGAGTCCTAGGAAGTATTGATCCATGCAAGAAACATGAAAGCCTGGATGACGAGAACAGTGAAGAAGTAGAGCAAATATTGGCAGTCTTTATGTAGACAAGAATTCTGTTAGTCCTTCGGATAAATTTCCTCATAGCTTATTTAGGGATCGTTGAAACATCGGGGTCGAAGATACGGAAAGAAAACAATTCAGTTGTTGACGTGACAGTTTTGTTTTTGATGCTCGATGTGACAACTTTCTCTGTTGGTGACCGTAGTGTAATCGAAGACATAGCTGCACTCTCGTATTTCAACTGAATTACAGAACCTTTTAAATCCGGGGCAGTGATATTGTTGCGTATCGTCTGCGCTGTTCTTCTTGTCATTTCTTAAACCACACGGGAGATTTCAATCTATCGAGGACTTTCCAAGCTTTCTCTGGTTTGAAGCATTTACGAACCGCTGAAACTGGCCAGCGATGGAGCTGCCGAAGACATAGCGAAACGCCTCGTCTCATTCGAAGGTATGAATTTGTTTTTCAATCTCCATCACGTTCTGTAACTAATTTAAGGGAGGAAAGTTAAGCTTTGGTACCGCCTATTGAAGTGTTTAGTAAGTTAACAGTTCTATTGCATCGTTTAGCGCTGAATTTTCGCGATCAAACTGTCCCATTAGAGGCATGATCAGCTAAAGGGCAGGACACCAAGTAGATTTCTGAGATTTCTTTCCTTCCATGTTTTGACAGAGGCTTTACTAGAATCTTCATCGTCTTTCTCTTTCGACGAGTTTCGTTTCTATTTCCATTTAACCTGAAATCACAGGACAAATTTTTCTTGAAATTCAGAAATGTTAAGTTGGAACCTCATTTTCTTCTTAAATATGTTTTTCATTTGTGAAGAATCTTCTGTTTGTTGATCTCTGTCTTTCTTAATGACAAACTAATTTTACAAAACGCCGTGATGCAGTGGAAAATCTCTCAAATAATAGCAGATGTACAAGAAATGCTTTGATAAAAGAGATATAAAAGAGAGGCAACAGATCTGCTGTTTTTTCATACAGTCCCGATTGCAGGAGATAAAACATTTTATATCTAACTAGGGAATCAGTTCTTACGAGAATTGTACATCTGTGACCTTTTGTCTCCGCAATAGCCTATTCAAGGTCAGAGGTGTTTTTGTGACGTGTTCTTAAAGCACGGCTCAGTTTTACGCTGTGTGCTTCGTTCCCTTCATTCTTCAATCAATATTTGTGCATTTTTCGTTTCGCCAAGCTAACTTTTTTTTTTACTTTTGTCTATATGCGAGGGCTAAATAATTTTTGGGCAAACTATTTCCTCAATCTAAGGTCTTGCAGTAATACGCCACAGGAAATATAATTCCTCGCTGTAAAACTCTGACTAACAAGGTGAAAATTGGTTGTATTAAACGCTTTGAGGAACTGTTTTAACCATACTGTATTCTCTGGTGTAAAACTTCTTATCATAATGTCTGAAACGATTCAGAAAATTTTTCCATCGTGCTTTGTCATAAAGAATATTGGTTGAACATGGCTACGAAAGTTTGACATGTGATTCTGTGGAGTAGTAAGGTAGAATATTTCAGGAAATGTATTTCCTACTGACACGATGCATTCACAAGATCGCTAAATTAAGATCTTTATGATAGTGCCTTTTTGATCTGGTTTAACTTTGTAAAATTTAGATTACCTTTACCTCACTCGTAGAACTGAAATCAATTACAATAAACAGTCTTCCTTACTTGTCCCAAAATCGTGGAGTTTTTTAATTTCAAATGCAAAATGCTCAAAGCGGCATGTTTCCTTTTTGTTTTGTTGTTTTTGTTTTTTTGTTTTGCTTTGTGTTATTTTCAAGAATTGATTTTATTGTTAATTTTCAATTGAATAGTCTTGCATTAACAATGTCTACCGATGGTTTGGTTAAAATGTTCACAGATTGCAAATCGCCTAAGAGACTACATGAGTAAAAGTTGCGATCGAATTCGGTTCTTCGTGATAAATCTTCTACTTTACCAAAGTTATCGTAGATTAGGCAAAAGAGAAAAGCCCTTTAGAGCACCATATTTGAAACCCATTTGATACAAAGTCACGGGGTCGTTATCTTCAAGAATAACATCATTGTGATATCTCGATAACTTTTAGGACAAGACATTCTTCTTAACAACGGAGACTCTCTGTGACAAAATATTTTTCGTACATATTGCCGCGTGTCTATTTTATATACTACTTTTCATATTCGGAAGCTATTAAAATTGGATGGCGTGACTCAATTTACAGAACAGAAATCAGGATTTACTTGTTTCCTTGACCTCGAGCTTTAAGCTGATATTTCATTGTCTTTTGCTGAGACTTTTTGAAAATTAGCTTTTTTACTCAAATATACCCAAGTACTACTGTATAGCAAAATATTCAAAATATATCATAACATCACTCAGCTACTTGCTTTCCTGGTTTCTGCCGGTCGCTTGGTAACTTGTGTTCGAGCCGCATTTTTTAAAAAGTAATCGTTTTTTTTTCGGTTTACAAATATCGCTCCAGGCCAGTATTTGAATTAATCTCACTGGAAAATGACTTTGAACTGCTTTATTTAATTCTTAAATGTTTACCTTTTGCAATATCACTTTGCAATCTACTTCATCTGCAATCTAATGATTTCATGATGATAAATCATTTATAAATAGAATCTAACAGGTGGTTTTTCAACTCTGAGACGGTAAAATATTACGTGGTGCGGACAAAAATAAGCTGAAGTCACTCACAGGATATTGCGTTTCCACGAAAAACATTTTTGTACAAACAGTAGCATCGTGTTTACCCTCTGAATTAATTAACTCCTTAAAAATGATTTATTCCACTCGAATTTTTTTTCAGCCCCCAGCGGTCTGCTTTTGAACTCAAACGAATTTTCCAAGGGGTTTGCAACTTTCCGCATTCTAGAGCTTCAGACAAGAAAATGCCTGTCTCTTAGCGCAATCTTATTGGTGTTCAGCGTTAGCGCTTTGTTCTAAATCGCGAAGGTTGACCGAAAAACGTTACGTGATTTTGCAATTCAAATGAGCTGGATGTCAACATGTTTTTGAATCCGTTGGCAGATCAGTATAAACCACAAAATAACGACACGTTAAAAACTTTCAGCTGATATCACTGCGGGAAATCGTCTTAGATTTGACATGTAGTGTTTCAAATGCTTTGAAGTACGCGTAGGAAAGTTTTTTTCGACATGTTAGCACGATGGATTATCTTTTAAAGATTCCCAGGTAGGTGAAATTATCAGGTTGTTTCTTGCAGCGAATTGGTTGAATGGAATAGGCATGTTGAATAAGCTTTTAACTTGCACTATGTGATCAAAAATGAGTTAATATGCATTCTTCTTCAGTTGTGTAATCATCTGACTCCAGTTTTGTTCTTTACAAGAAATTGTACCTCGTCGAAGACTTATTTGACTCTTCCAAAGGACATTTACGTAAATAGTTTTTTAGTTTCAAAGGATAACAATCTTTCTGACCAAATACATTGTTACTATCCCTGACAGATGTGGAGTCAAACGTAGGAAGTATTTCCTTCACACGTTATACAAAGTCAGAAACCGAATTTTGAAGATCGAAGTCGAAAGTTGAAATCTTCAAACACATAGCTAGTGTTTACATCCGGTGAGTTCATTAGCAGCGTCCAGCTTTTGTCATGCTTTTAATATTTTTTTTAAATGTTGTTTGGTTAACATTTCTGCTTCACTTGTAATTAACCCAGAAATTCTAAGCAAATTTACAACCTTTCTTGCCAATGCATTCATTTATTTTCACACTTTTGACTGAATTTTATAAGAGATGCAGCGATTTGTGTTTCTATAGCTATTAAAAAATTAGTAACATTTCGCAATCTTGTCCTTGGAAACTAACCGAAATTAACTGGCGCGAAAATGCAAAGCAAATGCGAAAGGTATTGCCAACCTTCTACACATCACAATTTAATAAACATCTTAATAATTTGAATTCCTATCCTTTTTCTCTAACGTCGTGCTCGCGTGTGCATCTAACGTTCTAATTTGGCTAAAAAAAGTCATCGGTAGAATTTAGGGATATATATTGGATCGGTAGAACTCACTTAAACCGATATACTGATCTGTTTAATGAAGAACTTAAAAGATTTTATTCATCGCACAGAATTTAAAAAGATAGATGTTATGCTACGTGATTGCTAATAGAACCACAATCACGCCAGAATAAAAAAAAAACGTGAACGAAACCAGATAAATACCTAATTAATATGCGTCTCAGTGTTTTTTTTCTTATATTCGTCGATTGGATGTTAATTTCTCTGTATTTCCTCTACGTACAATATACTGGAGAATTCAGGCGCCTGCAGACTTTCGAACTTGCGAGGATTTAAAAAAATAATTGCTTTCTAGGGATTAGGTTACGAATTGCTAAGTTACGAATTGTCAAGCAAGGGGTTTTTTTCAGTTCTTGTTGACCGAAGAGCTTTATTGCCGATGAGTTCTAACACCTGTATCTGAGCAGAAGGAGAAAACTGACGGACATGAATAATATTCGGTTAATTTTGGCCACCGTTCGCCCCTCTGATAGAAAAATTCTAAAATAGTAAGCTCGTCGTCATTTCAGTGTCACACAGTGTAATTGTTGGAAGTAATTAAATTTTATTTTAATATTAACTCTCCCAAGGTTTACCAGAGTTGGTGGTGCATGAATCAAACAATTTTTTTCAAGAATGATTAGAGTAATATTTTCAGCATATCGAGCTAAAAGAAAAATATTATAGATTGTTACCGAGTTCTTGAAATTCGAAGTGGTACTCAAATAATTCCTAGAATGACAACAACCTTTATTTAACACTTTTTTTCTTTCTGCTGTCTATTAAATCCCACGAGAATTGCGTAACTTTTGAATGGTTCACCGTCTTGTACAGTGGTAAGGTGTTCCGCTCCAAACAATAGCTTTTAAAACCGTAAAGAGATTCTATCTGGCCTTAAAAGAGATAACAGTTTTTGTGTAAAGTATGTGGTATTTCTTTGGACACCTTTCAGGAATTGTACTTATCTCGCCCCATCTCGTACCAAATACCCTCAAGTAATAAATAGTCTCCATATTTTAAGTTTGTACGTACAAATTTTTAGTCAAATCACGGTTTTTGGTAGATCATGAATAACACCGCAGGACCATAATTCAAAATTAAACCACGAAATACTGGATAATTTTCCTCCAAAATTTAAATTTCTTTAAAAAAAAAAAGGATATAGCTAAAGAATTGGGCTTGGCTTTCTCAGCATTAAATCTAATTTTTTTCAAAAAATAAAGAATGCTAAGAATTTGCCCCATTCTCTTCTCTGTCGTTTTCATTTGCAATTCGATTGTAAGATTTCTTCAGAGTGTTTTTCACCATGAAAATATTAAACGTTTTAGATAAAATTTGTAAAAAGTTAAACTATATTGCTGCTGTTGGTATCGGGTACGAGTATTTGAGTGACTTGACACTTAACAATACAGAGCCAAACCATTTCATGAGAGGCGCCCAAAATTTCAAGAAGTCAGTGTTTGTTTCAAGATGTAATGACCTCTAATTAGGATCGTGACGTTTCGTCGACCGCACACTATGGGCGTTGTAATAATTGACTTCCACTCCATGATATGAGAAAAATTTTGATTTAAATGCAATCACACGCTATTTCCTCTAAACTAGGCTCGTACAATTCTTTTTATTTTATTATTTTTATGGCTGCAGTTTTTTTCTTCAAAGTCAACATGCAACGCGCCCAAACTAATCTTATTTGCGTTGCATCGGAAACTGTTTTCATGAACAAATACTTTCTCATCCGCAGCCAATTCGAGTAGGATCTTCAAACAGAATATCAGTCATTTGATCGGGGAATTTGATCGTCCGTGTGAACGAAGTCCTGAGAAGAACTTCTGTCGGTAATGATTTGACAACTTGGCGCAAGTCGTTTTTAAGAGTTGAGTCCTTCTTAGGACAATACTAACATAGCGGTCAAACGTTGGGCATGTGTAAGGGGGTTTGCCGGGCGTGCGCCGATTTCCCGCGCAAAATCTCCGAGGAAACTTAAGAAGCAACCGCTGTCATGCAAAATGTGCAAAAAACAAAAACAAAAAAAAAATTTTGGAAATCTGTAAAAGGTAGCAAAAGTAGGGAAAAGGGAAACTCGAGTATTTTTTGTACAGAAAGCTTATTTAATTAAGGATTTCTGGCTGATTTAACGCTTCGTTTTGAGCTTCTCAAACATCGCGACCTAATCGCTCGTGTGGTTGTTTACAACTTTCACAAAACAATTTGACTCTGGCGGCCTGAGAGCGCGCCACCTAGCCAGACACCAAGCCACTAACACGTTTGCACATGCGCAGACGTATGACCGCTGTAGTTCTTTCACTCAGACGATCAGACTACACGATCAATTGTTACTCGTGGACTCAAACCTTCCTATCCTTGCTAGAAGACTACGGAAATTTTTATTTTGAAGAATCGAAAAATGAAGAATAAAACTCTCCAGTCTTTAGACTGGAGGCTCAAAATGTTAAATTATTCACTGGAAAAAATTATAACTATAAATAAATGGTAATCATTTTTGACATTAGTATATTGTTTCAGCTGTAAATAAATTTTCAATTATATGAGCTTAGATAGAAATAACCAGACTTCATGTCTGTTTCTCGAGAAGACAGCTTGAAATTGCCACGGTTTTAATTTTTCGATCCAGTAAAACACTCTCCAAGGCCACGAGAGAGGTTAGTTGAAACTTGTTGGCGACTGATTTCCTTTAAATCGAAGAATTTCTCTCGATTTTACCTTTTCCCTTTGTCTTATCAGGCCACTTGGATATCGAAAAATTTGAATGAGTGAACACGTACTAGCCAAGATCCATTTTATCAACAAATTGATATATTGAGTTCAAGTACTTCAGACCTGTCTTTCTTAAAATCTATCACAATATGTCCAATATTTCACGCCACGTTGTTTGTTTGTTCAGTAACACCTAAATCCCCTTGAACTTGAATAATCTTTTTCTTTTCCCTAATTCAACAATCATTTTTACGTCACGCACACGTGACAATACCTCGTTTGCGACAAACTGAACATGTAAAACATGCAGGCCAAGACAGCCAAGTCTTTATTTGTCTGGTTTAAGATCGTTTTGTTACCACTGAGTTTTTCAAATATTTGAAAAAACGCATCAGATCTGTCCTTACTATTTAAATAAGACCTTATGAAAGAGAGATTCTTTACAATCATTTTTCTAAAGCAAAGCGCCTCACGGACTGAGTTACGTTTAATGGAGCCTGCAGAACAGGCGCACTTATTTGAGGAATATGCAGACTTGTTTGGGAAACAAAAAAGTTTCACCGAAAGCCTTTTGGACGTAATTCCGGTTGCTTACACAACTGGAGTTCTGGTCTTTGTGGCACATAGAGTATTGTTACTTTTCCTGGATGATATGCTGGTTCATCGCAAACTCCTGGGTTGGGCGAGGCACTGTGAGAGTCTTGTCTGAGCAGCCAACACAATGAGCTGACGTGGGCTCGATCCCACATCTCTCGATCCGGAATTCGGCGAGCTAACCACCTGGCATCGGTTGTGCGAAGGATAGATAACGCTATACCCTGGATAAATATCTATCCGGTGGATAGCGCAGTACATTTTATTAACACGTATCCGCCGGGTAGCGATGAATCCGATAGATAGCGCTATCCGGCCGTTGAACCACTGGGCCTTGGCCACCAAGTTATCACTTGGTATTGAAGCTTATTACTGGGGTCCGATGGGTGAGGGAGGGGAGGGGAGCGGAGGGGAGGGGAGGGGAGCGGAGGGGAGGGGAGTTAATGATTGTAGGTCAAAGCCCAACCCACCTAGGGAGAGGGCTACGTGTGTGAGATTTACTTGTCTTGTTGTATTTCTTACCCTAACTTAAACATTTCTCATTTTGTATCATCATTCTAGCTGAAAGATGCACGGATATGTTGTTACTATCTCCATCGTAGCTGGCGTCTGTGTCTTTGTAGCCCTCGTCTATCTGGTCTTCAGAATCTACAAGAAGAGGGCAGAGCTTGGAACTGATGCAGAGACTGTAGGTCTGTGTCCCCCCAGCATCATTCTGACATCCGACAGCCCCGGAATGTCGAAAAAAAGACTTTACTCGCCCATCAGAGAAAGAGCTGGATCGAAGGAAAAAGATGAAAAACTCAAAATGAAAGAGAAGAGAAAGGATATTAAGAGTTTGTGGCTTCCCAAGAAGAAGACAAGTTTACCCGTTATGCAGACAACCATGGTTCAACCAGCTGTACCTGAGCAAACAAAGGCATGTCAATTAACTTGTTGCTCGCGTGATTGCACGCGTGCGTGGTTACTGTTTAATTGCGTGCTTGGTCATTGGAATGGTATTGCCGAACGCGACACTTCTTTTCTCTTCGGGTCATGGCAAAAAATGTTTGCGAATTTTCAAGTGTTACGGTTTCTAGCTAATTTACTCCTGCAAAGAGAAGAAAAAGTTTCGGAAGACTGTCCAATGGCCAAAAGAAGAGCTTTCGTTACAATTGATACTAAAAACTCCAGAATACTCTTAAGAAATCAGAGTATTTTGTCTGTTTTGTATTACACCCGATTTAAAAAGCAACGCAATTTTCTATGAAAAATTTAGATTTAATTTCAGCAGATTTAAGACAATATACTATCAATTGGAAACTCAACCACTATTACTAGTGAATCTTGTTTTTAAACATACAGTCACGGTAGCTTTACAGTCCATGTCGTGTAAAAGTCTCGAAACTTAGAACAAAGGCTGCCTTATTCTCGGTTTGCAACTGAATCATTTCCAGTCTTCTTCATAAAGTTACTGAATGTGATCCGCGCGCGTTTTTAGAGAAGAGACAACTACGCGCGAGTTAGGATATGACCTGTGTTTGATTTGTTTCAGGATCAAGGTGGAAGAGGCCGGTTGACTTTCACTCTCCATTACCATTACCAGTATGCGTCGAAATCGTAAGTGGATCTTGTTGATCTTTACGTCCTACCCCGTTTCTCTTCAACTAACAAAATTACCTTTCATCAAATAATGACCCATACAGTCCTGTGTGCGGCACACACCTGTCAGTGTTAAGAGGTGAGCGAGGGCGTGAGCGGGGCCGGAGAAAGCCGTTCGACCCCGCGAGACGCGATCTGAGGAAAGAAAAGATGGACATGAAAAAAGTGACTGTCAAATGGCGAAGTGCATATTGACTGATTTCGGTCGTGCTAGACACAAAAATACTTAGCTCTCGGTCTTGACTAGCCTGCAGTGCAGGTGTCTTATTGGTGCGAGCTAACGTTATAAGCTCGCGATCGTTTATCCGACCGGCCATGTTTGATTTGCAGTTAGAGTGGACGGTGGGGTAGGGGGCAAGGGAAGGGCGAAAAGACCCCACTACATTCCCACCCCTCTTCTTATTTTTGACCGTCAACCGCCCCCTTGGTACAAATTTATTTCTCTCCCCAGCCTTCCGCTGTTATTAAAATCAAAGACGACGGCCATAATATTCGTTATGAAATTACTGAGCACTCGCTCGCCAAAATTACGCCTGCTCTGCAGGCTAGGTCTTGACGAATGGGGCTAGCTGCCTTCGGTTCGTGGCTGCTTTCGGTTGGCCTTCGGTTCGTTCGTGCACCATGACCTCGAGACAAAAATTTTCCCGCACGGCTCTCCCACACAGCTGATAAGTACACATTGTTGGACGTGTGTGAGCTGTATTTTCCATAACGGGGTATTACTCTTGAGTTTCGATGGCATTTAAGGGTATTCTGAATTACTTTGCCGTCACAAATTATCAGTTTTCCTCGACAAAGAGGGACACAGCCCTACTTTCCCCCCAAGAATCCTCGTAGCCATACCTGCTGATTCTACGAAGAATAATTTTCTTACATATTTAACTTTTATAAATCTGTACAAGAAAGTTTCGACTTGTATTCTCGCAGATCCGTTCTGCTCGTCAAACTTGCTAGTGCCCAGGATTTACCGCTAAAAGATGATGACGATCCCCCGGATGTGTTCGTCAAAACACAACTCGTCCCAAGCCGCAAGCGAGTTTACATCTCTAAAGTGCGTAGAGAAACCTCGAACCCAGTCTTCGATGAGACATACGAGTTTGATATCGAATATCAAGAGCTTCAACAACAAAGGCTTCTATTTGAGATTCTTGACTACGACTGCATGTCTAGATACAAGTCAGTTGGAGAGGTCAGCGTTCTTCTCGCAGAACTTGGAACACATGGTTTTAACATTTTGAGAGAGGTATCTCTGTGTGTTTACATATCTAGACCCCGGAAAGAATGAATCGGCCTATTTTAAACGTATTTTATTCGAACTGATTTTATACATGGTTTTTCTGTCATTGATTACAATGTAAAAAAATATATGACGGGCCTTCTTCACAGACCTGCTATTTAACAATGAGATTTTGAGCTCGAGATTTCTATCGCATAATAATTGATGAGGGCGAAATTGAATGGGGATCAAAAGTGGATAATCTTATTGTTATAGTTTAAGTCTATTAGATGTTCAAATTTGACAACAAGACAGGCCCAAATATTTGTTACCATTATTTTGTCTAAACCGCACACTTTTTACACAGCGGTCAAACGTCTGCGCATGTGCGAACGTTGTAGTTGCTAGAGTCGTGGCTAGGTAGCGTGCATTCAGGCTTTTAGGACCGAGGACCAAGGACGAAGTTTTCCTTTTCTTAACTTTTGTTTCCTTTTACAGATTTCTTTGAACTTTTCCATTTTCCACCCATTTTTTTCGTGAGGGAAGTAGTTTCTTTTGTTTTCCTTGCAAATTTTGGGCCGGAAATTGGCGCGCGGCGAGCCGAGATTGATCTTCTTACACACGCTCGACGTTTGACCACTGTTTTGTCTACTGTGTTCACTTTACTCATTTTATTATCAATCAAAACGAGAAAGGGGAACACATGACTGGTGGCTTAAAATCATGCAACCGAGAAGAACACGGGAAAAAGTCAATCGAAAATGCCTGATATATTGGCATAACAAACATAAATAAAATAATGTAAAGTGTTTAGCGGATTGTGTCCGTGAGTTGTAGGAAAATTATTGTCAAATTTTACTCGCTGATACTTTATATGTTGTAGATATTTGCTCAAAAATCATCATTTGGTTTATCCATAGATAAATTATCAGAGCATTTTACTTGTAAAAGGCATGAAAGTTGTGTATAATTGTTTAAGTTTTAACTTTTAAATAAAGAATTTTAAAACACTATTTCTTGTGGCTTGGCTGATTTCCCACTATGCAATAGTTTTACAGGATCAACTAAGGGCCGGTTATTTTTGCGAGGTCTGACCCAAACCACGGTTTTATGCAAGTAGTGGGCCGTTGGTATTCTCGATAAGAGGCTTGTTTGCATGGAATAAATTTCGGTCCTCTAGACACTTTTCACAAAAATAAATGTCCAGATAAAAGATTCAGCTAAATTCAAGATAGTTTAGAACGTGATTTTGTTAAACAACGGCTAAACTTTGTTATAATAGGTGGCCTTAACTTTTTATCAGGAGAATGTTTTTTTAGGTTAGGGGAGGGGTAGGTGCGCAGTTACTGAGACACTGACACTGATCCGTATTTCCATCTAAGAGAAGATATACGCTACTATTGAGTTACAAGGACTGACAGAAATACAAGAAAATCTCTTTCGAAAAAATACGCTGATTGATCATAGAGCGATTCCACATGATTGTCGAGGAACTTAAGTACCGGTAATACCACAAATAAAAAAAAAAACAGGATGCAAGAAACTTGCTCTGTGACACAGGGGAAAAAAAACTATTGTCATTCTAAACTCACCAAACTAGACCAATTAGATTTGCGCATTTTGCTAGAGCATATTCACGTGCAAAAGTTTTCAATCTCCGCTTGTTTGGAAGGTCGCGTCGCCCGTCAAAACGTTATCCGTGAAATTTCGTCTTCTCTACATTGGAATTTCTCTGATATTATCGCAAAATATTTTGCCACAAATTTCAGGTTAGTCGCAAATATTTTATATATTCTAGCAATCTGTTAAATTCTTTTGTGGGGGTTTTGTTTTCGATGCCCTTGTTTAAATTAGCGAGTGTTCAACACAATGAATACGAGATAAGAATGAGAAGTAATTTACGAATTTAGTTCTGGACATTTTTTTGTTGCTCCTTCGATATAAAAGCCGCATTTGTCGCCAGGTGAGCAGAAGGCAGGCGCTTAACAGTTTACTAACCTTATCCTTTCCTCACGAACATCAGTATGCAAGTTCTTCACACTGTTCTCTATACATCGCCTATGGTACTTGCACGGAGAGTTTGCCTAACAATTAGGAGCTTGTGGAGCTCGTGATCATTTTCTTCATTCTCATGACCTTAATGTTTTATTCAGCAGCTACACTGTTGGGAGATATTAGATGCTTATCACTCTTAGGGTTTAGAGGGTTAACTCAGTTGTTGGCTTTGAAGGTACCTCATTTATTGTATATAAAGTGATAAACTTTTACGTTTTAAAGGCAAGCCCATCAGATGTTACCATAACATCGTCGCGAATATGGACACAACACTTGTCTACGCTCTTCCCTTTGTGATCTTGTCACTTCTGTTTGCTGGATTGGTGTCATGTCTCCTCATCTTAAGAAGAAAGGGAAGAAGGCGTCGCCGTCTTCCAACGTCTTCTGAGCTGCGGAGTAAAGGAATTCCTGTGATCGAGAGCACGGAATTTTGGGTTCCAGGGAGAATGGGAGATGTTGTTGGAATAGAGATTCAGCCTTCGCCTCGGATGCCGTTCTCCTTTTCAACGCCAAAACCATCCCAACGTGAAAAAGGGGTGCGTGAGTGGCAAGCCATCTAAATGCTAGCCTGCGGCACGCGGTGGTTCGTGCGGCTAGCACGAATCACGCGTGAAAACGTGACACTTTAAAAAGTGGCGCTTGAACGCACGCCATCGTTTTAGTTGTTCCAACTTTCATATTTCAATGTGTCTCTTAAGATACCATATTTGTTTCGCACTCCTCCCTTCGTGGGCGATTCGCCCTCGCGGTCGTCTCGCACCTCCTTCCGCGCTCCTAACTAACTAAACTTGTCGAGCAAGAAACGCTCTTGCAGAGTTGAAAACTTCTTCTCGACATTGTGTCCGCCCGCCGCTCTTTAGAGAATGTTATTATTTATTTTTTCACAGAATCGAGATGAAGCCCCGAAGCTTAAATTTTCAATCCAGTATCACCAAGCTAGGTAAGACGTTTTTGTGACTTAACGTGCTTGAATAATCGCGCACGGGTGTTTCTCTTTCGCGCGTGCGTGTTTCTCGTGCCCTTGCTGAGCGCCTGCTTTGTGCAGGCTAAAGAGAGAGCTTTTCAGCTAGCGATGTTTGTTCATCCGAAGGAGTCATTTTCCTCTCGCTTTCAAATCTACAATTTACAATTTACGACACGGCTTTTTTCCAACGCATTATAATGACAAAGGTTTTTAATTTTATATAGTGGTTTCCTGGAAGTTCAGCTTATTGACATTCAGAACATATCTGAGGGCAGTAGCCTTGACGAAGACGACGACGAGTTTTACGACTCAATCTTCACGTTCGCCGACGTTCAACTCACTCAGCAGGTGAGAAAGTAGCAATGAAACTGGGAGGTCCCCTCTAAAAGAGGTTTGATGTGTAAAAACGAACAACAAACAGCGCACGGTTTTCGGGGTCTCTTGAGCCCTCAGACTATTTTCAGCAGCTTTAGTCGGAACCCTAAAACAGGGTGACCTTGGCGGCGTTCGACTCGCTAAGATATGCTACATTTTGCTCCCCAAACTTGTGTGACAATGAGATTGAGTTATAAATCAAGTCCCCATCTTGGAAGCCAAGATGACGTATGATTGGTGATTGGCCATATGATTGGTTAATTTGCATCAGGTGGTGAAAAATCTAGAAGACTAATTACTGTGCCCCACAGTGCCCCCGTATAAGACTTTATTGGTATCAAGGTATGCCAACTTTGCCAACACCGCTGCGCGTTAATATCCCGCGCAAAAACAAATGACGAATTTGCCAAAAATTTGGAAAAAATTAAGAAGTTCGAGGAATATTTTTAGAGGAAACCAAAATAAAGTGAGAAACATTTGAGACTTCTCGAAGGCAAAAAAATGTTATCACAGTAGCCAATAGCAACAAAGGTAAAGTCAACATAGACTTAAATTGAACAAAAAACGAACGAATTGACCGAAGCGCGGGAAATTTGAATGGCGAAGATGCGATTGGTGCTAATTTGTCATGTGATCGGTTTAGAGGGTGGCGCAAGTTTTCTGAACCAATTACAGGGCGATGTGACGGAAAACTAATCCAATCCTGAATTACTTATGACACCCGATGAAAATTGTTAAATTTTCAAACTGTATCGCCTCAGGAAGAGTCAAAGCAGAGAATGCGCCTGATGTCCCGTCGCCGGCGCCGACGTCACAAGTCTTTTGAAATCGAGATGAGCTACGAAGAGCTGCAGCTTCAGACCCTCCAGTTCTGTGTTATGGGATTTGACCGGTACTCAAGACAAAAGGTTATCGGTGATGTGTTATTACCACTTGCTGAACTTGCGCAGGAGGGTGTTGACATAACCAAGGAGCTTGTGATATGGAGGGATATACAAACGAGCCAACCGGTACTGAATAGAATCTGTAAAAGTTTTTATGATTCCTTCCTTAAAAAAAAAAAATTATAAAGCGGGGGATTGTGTCGGCTCGATTATGCTGCGCCTTCAAGTTGGGGAGTGCAGGCTCATTTCCTGAACAGCGGCTGCTTATTGAACCTGGTTCAGGCGTGGTAAAAGAAATTGTTGGTTCAGGCGTGGTAAAAGAAATCTGAACGCAAATAACAAAATTTCCTGATGAAAAATTCCAGTATTCATGAAAAGAAAAACCCATCAACCAGTTCTGTAGGGGAAATAAACAGAAATAGGAATAGGAAATAGGGGAAAAACAGAAGGGATTGTTCCTACAAACCCGGAACCACAAGTTAAAGCCGGAAAAGACATTCAAGCCCTGCTCAGAGAGGAAATGTTGAAGCCAAGCAAAAAGGGAAGTACAACCTCGGCAAATGCTAAACCCAAGCAGTCCAAAGCAGAAGTAGCACAGAATATAGCCCCGAGTGATCATGCAGAAAAAAAGTTGAAAGCTGCATCTTCTGAGCACAAAATACAGAGTGTGTTAAAAGGTGCATCTGGTGCTCAGAAGTCTTCATCTGTTACTCCCCCTAAGCAACCAAAGATTCCATCAGGGAAACCTCCTTTAATTGCGCAGTTCCGTGACGTGAAGTTTGATAAGGATAGCAGTGATGATGATAGTGACAGTAGCAATGTTAGTAGCGGCAGTGATAGTGGGAGTGGTAGTGAAGACGACAGCGATGAAGGTGAGGATGGTGAGAATGAGGAAGATAGCAGTGGCAGTGACACTGACACTGACGGCAGTGATGAGGAAGAGGAAGGGGGTGAACACCATGATGACGGTGTTGACATAACCAAGGAGCTTGTGATATGGAGGGATATACAAACGAGCCAACCGGTACTGAATAGAATCTGTAAAAGTTTTTACGATTCCTTCCTTAAAAAAAAAAATTATAAAGCGGGGGATTGTGTCGGCTCGATTATGCTGCGCCTTCAAGTTGGGGAGTGCAGGCTCATTTCCTGAACAGCGGCTGCTTATTGAACCTGGTTCAGGCGTGGTAAAAGAAATTGTTGGTTCAGGCGTGGTAAAAGAAATCTGAACGCAAATAACAAAATTTCCTGATGAAAAATTCCAGTATTCATGAAAAGAAAAACCCATCAACCAATTCTGTAGGGGAAATAGAAATTTTCACATCAAATTTGGGCTTAGCAAGCTCACCCCATCTACGAAATTCTTACCCTCTGGCAGTTCGTCCTCAACTGGCCTTTGAATCGATCGGTCGATACGTGCATCTAGATCCCGCCTTTTTATCTTTCTTTAATTCTAATATTGACAGTGTTATTCGCTGTGTGGGGGAGAGGGGGGGGCTAGACATGCACCCGTGGTTGCTCAGCATTGTGTTATTGTTGTCCCTTCCAGGGTTCATCAGCTCTAAGTGGAAGAATAAGTAACCTGTCCACTATAAAAAGTACCACGCCGGAGAAAGACTATCAGCCAGGAGCCACTGGACAACCAGCTGAACGCAGATGCCGTCAGTCATGACGGACTCTTGGATAAAATTTTTTTCACCGCTACAAACGTACGAGACAGAGTGGCACCAAACACAGCAAGGACTTATGATTCATATTTCCCATTCAGAAGGAAACTTTAATTAATTTTCCTTTTTTTAAAATTGTTATTGTTTTGATTGATGTTGCTAACGTGGACACGTGATGCATAAGTCACACATAAGACCAGGAGTAACAGAGCACGCGAGCACCTTACAGGCCAACAATTTTTCAACCTAAAGAGCGAAGCAAGGAAAGGCAAATAACAAAAAAAAATTTAATTGGCTGATTTACATGCTCCTCGTATATCTTAAGAGGTATCTGATCGCTTGCAGTCTCATCAAAGTTGAGTCCAGAACATACAGCGTGCGGAACAGGCGTAACTTTTTTGCGTTGTTCCGGAGAACAGAGGCAAGCGCGAGTCACTCGCAAGTGGAGGAGCTCCTCCCCTCGCACGCAACTCGCGTTTTAATCAAAGAGTTTTCAACTCGTGCTTTTACCAATCTCGGGCCAGCTTCGTTAACTTTCAGTGAAAATCTAATCGATGATTATATGAATTTGTCAATTTATAAACCCCACTCCGAGCTTACCCTTTAGAGCGTAGGCTGATTGTCCAACCAGTCAACTCTGCGCATGCGTAATTGATTACCAAAGGCAGACCTCCACCGCGAAGTGGTTAGCGGTTTTATTTTAAGCTTCCCTTTCCGTTTTGCGCTTTGCTCTTAACCTCTTCTCCCTTACTCGCTGAAACTGGAAGCTTTATACACTCGAGATTTATATTTGTCGTCTCAGATCCTCTTCAGTGATTTGTCGCGTGCAAGACAGCCATCTTAAACCGGAAATCTTTCTTTCTCATGGAGTGTTAAATAGTTTAGGCTTCAAACACGATAATCTCGCAAGATCGTGATCACGAAAAGAGGGCCTCCGCGAAGCAACATTCGTTGAACTGTTTAAAGAACCAGATTCACATCGTTACAAACCAAGATTTATACAGCGAAATCTTTAATTGTAGTTGATTAAAACTTGAAATAACATAATAAAACTCTAATCCACCGCCATGCCTAAATAAACATTCTTTTGTTGTGACTGTTAAGCGGCGAACAAAGCAGCCTTGAATTGGTTAAAGTCGTGTTACTGAGAACACCTGACCAAACCGGAAATGATTACAAAGACGCCACTTGTTGGTCGGGGAGGAATTAAAAGAAAAAGCAAAAAAAAAAAAAAAAAAAAAAAAAAAAAGGAAAAGAAAAGAATGGTTTTGAATCACTTAGATAAGACAGTCATTTTCCTGCTAGATTCAAAATCTCCAGGAGGTGCAACTCTGACTCGAGGATCCATAAATTTGCTCTAGAATTTTCGGCATTATTCTTATCAGCCTGAAAATGTTGAACTTGAAAGTTTGATTGATTTGACTCTGCTTACTATAATGCCTCTCTTCTCGGCTGAAGTAAAGAATCTAAAATTTTTCATCGCTTCTTTCGTCAAACCGTTCTGTATCATCTTGTTCTGCAATTTTAAGGCAAATTGAGTTGATCAGCCGCGCTGAAAAAAAAAATTTGAATGAAGTTCTGCAGCCTCTAACATTGAATTATAAAGCATTCGAAAAACATGAAATAAAAAATAACAATTCATAAGATAATTACAATTTCGAAAATTTCTGTTTAGTTCTTGATCTCGTCCAAAATTCCTAAGACTAAGTTCTAGTAATTTTAGCTTCTCGATCGATCATTCGATTATTTCCTACATCGCGCGTAAGTTTCGAGTAGAACCCACGAGAAATTTGAATTTCTGGATAAGTCGTGTAATCCCTTTCAGTCGGTTTCTGAGAGATTCTGACTCCCGGTTTACTGAACGCTTTACTGCTGTAAAGCCGAGATGGACGTTGCTCCAATTAAGTGCATTGTTTGGGTTTTCTTTTTGTCTAGTTTTGACACATGACGAACGAAGTGCACAAAATGCAAATATGTGTATTGAATTCTGGCCAATCAGCGAGCGAGATTTCAATAGATTTACGGGTAATGACTCTGTTATTTAACACGGGCTCGCGGCTCGCGAGTTCGTAATATTTTTACATCCCTGAGAGAATTCATGTTCTTGAGTGTTTTACATAAATCAACTTTACATCTCGCGTAACCAGTTATGCGCGCCATAATTAGTGGTCGAAAAACTCTTTTCGCGTGGCGCTCGGCGATCTCTCTCTCCTCAAATCGTCAATCGTTATAAATAGCCTCCTCAAATTATTGTTACTGTTTATACACCATTTCAGTTAAATTCGTGTCAGCGAAAGGAAATAAATTCCCCATATAAAACCCTACCTGACTATAATGTTTAAATAATGAAAAAGCTGCATTTTTAAATTCTTACACGTTTTGTCCCTTTAATTTCGATGGAAAAGAGCTAACCTTGAGTTCCAGAAGCGTGAAGCGACAATATTTCCTGAGGTAATTTGAGATTTGTGACAATCACACTACTTGATTTTCCCGTCTCGCTTCTAAGTTCCTAATCTTCGGGTATTTCATTTAAAATTTGATTATATTTCTCTTGGATTCGCCGTGTATAGCTGTTTGAAATACGGTGCCATATATTAGGACTATTTCAGTACTGGTTTGCTCAGTCTATCATACTGTGATCTAGTGTATTTTTAGACCAACTATAGCGGGCAAAACCACTCGATCTGTAGTGCGTTTTTTTCAAGTTCCTCAAACAACGAGGAAAGCTCTGAAACCGATGCAACCATTACGAATCGAAATCGTCCTACTCGCGTCACCAAATCCAGGCAAAAAATCACTGGGAAAGTCTTGAAACTTTAAAAATACTAAGTTTTGCTAAATTTACATAGAGCACAGCCACGGGTTTTCCTTTAGGGCCATTTTTACCAACCGGCGAATTTCAAGACGAAATTTTTTCTCGGTCAGGCCAGCTTTTGGTTCGTGATCCGAGCAGATAACCTTTGAGAATTCTCAAGAAGGAAAATTGTTGTCTATGAAGCTTTTCCGGTCGCCAACTGGCGAGAATTTGGGGGGAGGAGTAATGAGATGAAAGTGGTAATTCTTCACCGTAACTCGTGGCGTAGCGAGTCAGTTTACTTTTGATTATTTCACGAGGCATTGTTTTACAATTCTGTGACGTCACGTACCACATGCGCCTTATGCTTTCCTTCGCCCTTCTTTCCTCAATATCGCACCAAACAACCCTAAAAGGTAAATTTTCACGTTCATTCCAAGTTTCGCCGCTTTTTTCAATACCCAATAGTACTGGAAACTTCAGAGACTCTGTAGTTGTTCATAAACTCGCTTCGCTCACGTGTTGCAGCTTTTCCAGAGCTCGCTTTTGCAGGTTTCCTAAGCTTTCGAGAGTTAAAATTCCCTCCAAACGCCATCCAAAATGGCTGTTTTTGTCTTAATTCGACGAAGGCCAGATGATGCGTAGAGGACAGGCTTAAAGTTCAAGAAAAGATTGGAAGCAAATCAAGAACGACTTTTGCCGGTAAGAACTCGATTTTAATGTATTTCCAGGCTTCCTATCCTGATCAAATAGTTTGTAACTTTCCTCTGCGTACTTCGTTGTAATTTTGTCGTTAAATTCAGGGCGGGGAATTACTCGGCGAAGCAAATCGCTTTTGCTAGCTTTTTCATCAGCTTTTTCAACTTTGGTCGACGGAATAATACTCTGAAATAGTTTTTCTAACAGTTGTAAATAAACATAGGTATTAACTACGCATAATACGTCTCTCATTGCTCGATATTCTTGAGTCATCGTTTGCACGCATTTCGTGGTCACCTACATATCTAGTTAAGCTATTGTTTCGTTCGTTGACATCGTCATTTCTAATCCCCAGGCATAGCTGCGAGTTCGAAATACCTCGCTGTCCTGGAATGGATCCTAGAGACGTCCCAAATCACAGTCCCGCACATACACATAGCTTTTTCGACGGCAATCCAGGTGAGCGTTGAGTTTAACATCGTTTTGTTTAAACGTTTTTTTTCTCTGCCGGTACTTCGCCGTCTTAAAACAATTGTCGGTGAGATTTCGTTTTCGTTTGTTTAAGATCCTACTTCGAAGATAACCTCCCTTGTAGTTAACCTAATTGTTGGTTAAGTTTCCATAGTTCAGCCGCGATGCAAGCTGGTCGTTAACTGTTTTAAGCTTTTGTTTTCAGGCCATGCTAACACAGTACTTCGCTCACCTCCATTGTCCCACGATCCCACTTATGGAATGCATCCTAGTGCATTTCCTATGATGGGTAGAAGACCAGGATTACCAGACTTCAGAGGCCCTTTAGACCCCATTCTCGGTTCTCAGAGCAGCTTGACGTCCCCTGGAGGATTGCATGGGTCACTCAGTAGCACTGGGGGTACCGGCTGGTGGTTGCCTCCCCATCCACGTGCGCATGGAATCACACCAGAGTACTTCACCAGTCATCTTGGAGGAAGTTGGCTTTCTCATGAGCACGACTGTGCAATGGCCAATCATGAGAGACTAGAGGAATGTCTGTATCAATCTTCCAGGTCAAGGAACTCTCTAATGAATGGGGTGAATTCCTCTGGAGTGTTTGGAAGTGGATCAGGAATTTTTTACCCTCCTCCATCAAGTCCACAATCCATGCACGGTTTTGTACATCAGGCAAGTCCTACTACAAGCACATCAAAAAGTGGATTATCTCATTGGAGTAGCCATGGCAACCATGATGGTAAGGGTCTTCTTGACTTGGGCGAAAGTCGTGATCTAGATATGATTCCACGTTTGAACAGGAAATCGAGCAATTGCAGTGAAGAAGGAAATAATAGAGACAGTGATGTACGACCTGGTGATACAACATTACTTCACAAAGAAAGAACAAAGGATACAAAAGTTGAACGGACAAAAACCAGCAACAGCTTTTCTGAAAATTCAGATGCAAGATCTGAAAATTTGATGCAGTCAAATTCAAGTAGTGAAAGCAACAGCTCATGCAGTCAAAGACAATTGGATCTCCCTCGACATAGTGATGTTAGC